TCACATCCTTGACTGCGTGACCGAAAATAAATCATCCTCGTGTGCGCGCGAGCCAGAAAGAGAGAGGCTTCGCCTTTAACATTCGAGCAAAACTGTAATTTATCTAGATATGCTTTTGCACAGTTGACGGTAGGCATTGATTAAGATCATCGAAAGAGCGAACGAAAGAAAATAAAAAACAAACAAACAAACAGCGAGGGATGAGATCGATCTTTTATAATTTGGAGGCTCGCCGAAGCTGTCAAAAAAGTCGTATCTACTCGAACGACAAAAGCACAAGTTCCGAGAATATTGGGAAATGTCTGTCATAGCCGATGCCGCCCGTCAAACGCACGCCGGAGATCGTCCGGCCAATCAGCCGATACAAAATCGACCGAAAAAAAAAACAAAAAAACAAAAAAAAAAAAGAAACCAAGAAGTACGGACGAAAAGAGCGAGAGAGAAAAGCTACGTACGCGTCGCGTTATGTAAGCCATAGGCAGTCGATGAACGGCCGTGACTGACTATCCAGGCGTATACGGTGAAAACACAAAAATACAGAGCGAGCAGTAGCTTTTTAATGCTCCGCGGGACGCGGACGCGCTCAATGTTTCGGCATTGAATTCCAGGCTTCAAGTTCGGCGCTTCTCCTCGGGACCTGGGCGTGCGTGCGTGTGCCCACGCGGCCTCTCGAGCCCGTGGTTTTCCTTTTTCCTCGTTATTTTCATTTGCCCACGGCGTACGTACGCGATGGAACATCTGTTACTACGCGGCATTGCGGGTCGATTCAATTTCTCGCGCCTTTTTTATTTTTATTTTTCTTTTTTCTTCGCTACCGGTCAAGTTTTTACTATGTCTCGGCGGATCTCAAGTTTATTACACTTTGTCCTCGGGAGACTGCTACTTTATTTTATTTTTCCTTCCAGAGGTACATACTCGAACGGTTATTTTCTTCGATTGGTAATTATGCACGGACGAGCGTTAATGATTCTCGTGCGTGCCATGAGCAGGAAAAAAAGTAAAAAAGTATTAAATAGCATATTCATACGCGCATCCCATGGAATTATGCGTGCTGCTTTTTTTTCATCGTCACTTTGAGCAAGGAAACTCGCGAACGATGATGATTTTTTAATTGCCTTCCAAGACTTTCGATTAAAGAGCCGTTGGTAAATAAAGAGGGGCAAGTGAACTGCCACGTGATGAATTATGCCACGTGCACGTAACGATTAGAGATGTATAAAAATCGATTGCGAAATAAAGCAAACACAGGAGGTCCGCTTTGAATGGCAGTTGTCAAAGAAAGCAAACAAGAAGACTTCACTGGTCGCGGAAGCGATTTTCGACTGAGGATGCATGAGATCATGCTCAGTGTAAAATGTTCGCTTGGAAAGAAGAAGAAAAAGAAGAAAAAAAAAACTAGGCATCCGGTCATCGGTGTGCGATGACCTATCTCGCGCGCTAGGTTGGGCTTTCCAGAGGCGTTTAAAATTAGCACCCGCGCCAAAAACCAGCTCGCTCGGAATGCCGGTTTTCCCATAAGCCCGTGCGTGCGTGTCCTTGCTCTCTAACGTCAGACGACGGCGCTTGCAACTCCCGCTTTTTTCTCTCTCTCTCTCTCTCTCTCTCTCTTTCCTCGTGTATCTTTTTTTACACCTCGTCTCCGCCGCCGAGAGTCCTTGGCCCGGCGCTTTTTTATTTTTTTCGCGATTTCCGATGCCGCTCGATCATCGTCCTTTGTTTGCCGATCGACTTTTGCAAAAATAACCGATGAATAATTGTAAATGGCGTTGCGGTGTTGTTCGCTTACCTGTGGTATCGCCTGGCCGCGGGTTTTTTTTTTTTTTTTACGATCGGGGAAAACTGATTTTACGCCCAGGGATTTCGTCTGGGAATCTCGCGCCGCATGTCGTGGCGTCGAGGAATGCAAATTAGATTAAAATGTCGATGACCGTTGATGAAAAACAAACGGAGGTACGCGCGAGTCGCGGACGAATGTTTTCGAAAAAGTTGTTCGCTCGAGTATCATAGTGAATCTATTTACCACCTTGTTCTTGCATCTCAAATTGGCAAAGCACGCTGTTTCCATAAAATTCAAATGTTTTATCGTCATCGGCAACTCCATCGATAAGAAACTGATTGTAAATGTTCAACGAAGCCGATCAATACGTTTCGGAACATTACCGTTTTTTCTATCTCTCTGTCTCGTTTTGATAATTAATGTTTGAATTCAGAACAAGTAAGACAACCAAAGTGGTGCGTGCCCATGGATTGTACCTCTGTTATCTTATCGTATAATCGAAATGACTTCCATTATCCTTGTACTTCGATGGTGCCATTGTGAAAATTTTTGTGCCTTCCACCTGTTTCGAAATCTCTCTTGGTAAGAGAGAGAGAGAGAGAGAGAGAGAGAGAGAGAGAGAGAGAGAGAGAGAGAGAGATGCGTGCTCTCGCGCCTATAATAATAATAATAGATAAAGGACGCGTCTGTTAGGCAAGGACGTGTTAAAGCGACGGAGAAATCGGCCAAAAAAAAAGGCAGCAAGGCCGTTCTTTGACCTGTAGTCAACATTTTTACAGCTCGCGCAGTAGCCTCTTCACGCTCTATAACCGGTATTCGATTCCACCAAAAAGCTACCATCGCTCGCCACCAATTTTCTCCAGTCGTCAAGTATCACTTTCATCCAACATCCAGGCTGCACGCACTTGATTTTTCGCTTTCATCGTTGTCAAGTGTACGTACAATCTAACCCTTGCCCGTAGGAATACTGGCGTCATTTTTTTTTTAATTCAATAGGAAATGACGAAAAGTTAACGAGAATGTGCATTTGAATTCGAAATCTACGCCTCGAAATAAGTCGATAACGATATCTTGGCTTGTCTTTTGCTCCTCGAAATGTTGGTCTTTACAGATCTTGTCAAATTTAATTAGCAATGCGTTTTTTTATGCAGTGCTACAGCTTTCAGAGAGCTTCGTATGGTTGAGATTCCGAGAGGAAAAGAAAATAGGATATATGTAATTAAATAAAATAAAATAGATGTGATTTCCAACACAGTTCGATCCGTACAAATCTTTTTTTTTTTTTTTTCAAATCAGCAAAACGCTATAATTGTTCGTATTTATCAAAACCCAAACAAATTACGGTAAAATGTGTGTTCTTTTTTGAGGAATCGGACACCTCTTCTTCTTTTATGGACATAGAAAGGTGTCACAAGCGTCCCCGGCCTAATCATTTTCTTCAGTTTGAAGTTTAGTTTGACTGGCAAAGCGAACGACTCAGGAGCGCTCGCGCACCAATTTGACATCTGTCGAGAGTCAAGCGTCGAATCGGACAATATTTTCCACTCAACTGCTTATCCTCGTCGCTCGATATACGTCGCCCATTTACGCTGCCTCGGCGTTCCCCGTCTCGTCTTTTTTCACGTGCCTTTACGCGAGCCCACATATTTCCGACTGCCTCGCTCTTCCCTATCAAATCTCGTTGCCGTCATCTGCCAAAAGCCCCTTCGCACGGCGCGCTACTCGCTGCATCAGCGATGCACTTGCGTCGCGCAAGTTACGCAAGATTTGCACGCGCGTAACGCAATGCACACTTTGAACTTGAAAGTGCAAGTGACTCCAATTTTTTTTTTCGCTCGGGCTTACGTAAGGAAAGGATGTGGCGCGCGCGCGCGCACGCGAGAGAGAGAGAGAGAGAGAGAGAGAGAGAGAGAGAGAGAGAGAGGAGAGAGAGAGAGAGAGAGAGAGAGAGAGAGAGAGAGAGAGAGAGAGAGAGAGAGAGAGAGAGAGAGAGAGACGTGGTCTTCAGCACGAAATTTCTGGGTGAAAAGGCGTGCGTGCGTGCGCGCACTTGCGAGTCGAGCGATGTGGGAACTGCATTGCGCAAGCAGCGCTTCGCCCGAATTTTTGTTTTATTTTTTGCCAATCGCGAGGCTCTCTCGCGCGTCGTCATTCGGCGCCCGATTGCATGTACGTCGATTTCGCGCGCTCGCGCAAAAGGATCACCTTGGCTCGTTGCGCGTCGCACGCATTTGGGCCGTGCAAGTTCAAGGGAGCGCGCGCGCTGCATTTGCATTTCGCCTTTGGGTTCAAGGTGCCCGGCGGCGCGCGACTGCGCCGTGACGCGAGCTGCTTGTCGTTCCAAGCGAATCGCGCCGCGGCTGTGAAAATACAATTTCACGGGCGATTAACGCTGCGGCCGAAGAGATTCGTCGACTTGTCACGCGCGGACGCCTATAGCCGTGATTTGGACGATCGCGTGCACGGCAGTAGCCAAGTATTGGCGCTCCGCGCCTTCGCCATCCTGTCGCGCGGGACGCCAGTTAAAGTCGCGAGGAGAGCCGCGCGTGGGTATACGTACGTGCGCATAGCCATGATCCGTTTCCACGCGTCGATGCCTCTCGAGCGTGCTTTTGTTTCGCTGGCTCGCCGTTGCGCTTCAGACGAGCTTAAGGGCAGGCCATTCGCTGTGGCATTGTTGCCGAGCTGCGCCAAGTTGGCCGTTCGAACTATCTTCTTCTCTTCCGTCCTTCGTTTCAATAACGATTCGCAGGACATGAGTTTTCGTAAGGCTCGGCATTGTTTTTCCGTGGAGTATAGGTGCGCCGAAAAATGAAGATAAGTGGCCGTTGGCGCTTTTCAATCAAAAAAGTTGAACAGCTTTGCACGACTCGAAGCTTCTAAAGTTTTTCTTTTTCATAATAGTCGCTTGGCACAGAAGCGAGCTTCGACTACCAATCGTCCCACTCGATCGGATAGCAATTTATTCTCCCAAAATTTAGATAAATGGAGTAATTTCGATTGACTCGGGTGCCTTAACTGGGATTTTGAATATTTTCGATGTCGTAAAAGAGTCGTGAAACATGGGAACGGTTAGGTAAAAGAATGACTCGAGCAATCGACGCAACGCTTGAAGATGAACGCACAAACTTATGTAATTGAGAAAGCAATTATTTATATTTATTTCCGCTCGTTTACTAAAAACTCTGAAAACTATGAATAGCGAATTACGTTTCATTTGCAGGTGAGAGTGCCGCTGAATGTGAAGTTCAACGCACGATCAAAAGACGTGTCTGTTGTGATAACGAAAAATCACTTGAGATGTGGTCTTAAAGCTCAGGATCCGATCATCGACGGCGATTTACCGCATGAAATCAAACTTGAAGATTCAACGTGGGTCATCGAGGATGGCAAAGTTTTGCTCTTCAACTTGGAAAAGGTGAAGAGACATCTGCGTGTACGAGTTCCAAATGACAATGCATATTAATACGTTTTGTCAAACTTACAGGTAAACAAAGTGCAATGGTGGGCTCACTTGATCACATCTGACCCCGAAATCAGCACAAAAAAAATCAACCCAGAACCTAGTAAATTGTCTGACTTGGATGGCGAGACTCGTGGACTGGTTGAGAAGATGATGTACGATCAACGTCAGAAAGAAATGGGATTGCCGACGTCCGACGACCAAAAGAAACAGGACGTCATTAAAAAGTAATCTTGTCACTGTTTATCCATAAACTATAAATGTGCAGCGTTTATACTAATTATTTGCAATTTTATTACAGATTCATGGAACAACATCCGGAAATGGACTTTTCAAAATGCAAATTCAACTAAATTAACTCAAGGATAAGATTTATTATTTACATTACAAGTTTCCAATTATGATATTTATAAGAGAAAATGAGTGATGATTCGAAAGTATAAAATCCTCAAGGTTTTACTTTTTTTTTTTGACTGTATAACAGTTATTTTCGTCGTTTAAAAGTACTTGATAATTTAATTACAATCAAATGATTTTACATGAGCAATTTTTATATCTAAAACCTTTTTTTAATGTTTCTTTCGTCATATTATTAAATGTGCATTATTAATGTTATGAAATTGTTCTTATAGTAATCATATCAACAACATTTCTCAGTGAAATAAAAATTCTGCCTGTTTCTTAAAATTAATTATTTATACATATATTTTTTAAATCGTATACAAAAAATAGACTTGTCACATTCTTTTCTTTTCTAAGTTACAAAAACTATTGTCACTCTAAGTATCTCAGCATTTCTAAGTTGATTGATCCACTAGAGACGACAAACTTTGTTACTACATATTTAGGCACTTAAAAATCGTCCTATGTGTAAAATAAATTAACATGGCTAAATCAAGAAAGAATTAATATAATTTACATAGCTTCTATCACTTTCAGATGGTTTTTCGTCGGTTAAATGACTCATATTTTTATTTGTCAAAGGATAATTGTAAGTTAGTCCCAAAACGTCAACCATCTAATCGAACACTGTCTCAGAATATAGCTCTCATTTAAAGGCATTAATCTTCGTCATCCGTGTCCGTCTGCTTGATAACTTTGTTGATCCAATGTACGTAGTTCGACAAACGCGCATATATGCCATACTTTCCACGCTTTCCACAACCTTCCCCAAAACTAGTTATTCCAAAAATCGTCCAGGGGTGTTCAGTTTTCTCGGGATCACGACAGAGTAATGGGCCGCCGCTGTCACCGGCACACGAATCCATTCTTCCGCTACGGTAGCCGGCGCAAAACATATTGCCGGTAATTTTGTAATCCACGTAAACATTTCGGCACATCGTGTCTGAAACGATTGGTATCTAGAAAGAGAATCGGATTCATTAAATTTTGCATAACTCATCAAGGAGAGTGAAACAGTGAAACTTGCGTTATGCAACGATATATTTGGCATACTTTGGTTTCGTGAAGAACATCCGTTCCGAACTCATGCGAAGCATTGGCTTTTCCCCAACCAATAATAGTGCACAGCTGGTCGGAAGGTAATTCCTGCCAGGGTGCTGGAAGACATGCGATTCCACGAGAATCTGCGGGAGTTAAAATTATTGGCAATCTTAACAAGGCAATGTCATTATCAACTGTGTGAGCATTGTACTTTGGATGAGTTACGACGTAGTCGACCTATTATAGAAAATAAAAGCATATTTTAAAACGAACGTTAATAAAATTGTAACACTTTACTACGATTGGACATCATTAGATGCTCTACATATATGTATCGACTTACTCTGAATTCTACTTCAGTGCCTTCTTTGATTAAGAGATTGTACTCTCCGATACGAACTGACAGGCGTTTTCGAACGCAGTGAGCGGCTGTGAGCACCCAACGTGGAGAAACTAAAGTGCCGCCACAAAAAGCCTCCTAATAAGATTATCAACCATTAACATCGTATAACTGTTACAAATCTAATACACACTATATACGAACAATTAATCAATCAAACATGGATGGATATCTATAGAAATACTGAATTTCTTTAAAATTCGATTGTATTACTTTGGATAAACTCACACCATATCTATTTAACACAGCAACCTGCCACGGCCAACTACCCGGTGTAGCTGGTCGACCGCCTATTATCCTCGTTAAATACGAGAGCCTTGTATCTTTGCTCGATACACCACATTTCCAGCTACTTTCGTCATGGGTTGAATTCTCAATACCGTTTATATTGAGATCATATTTATCTACAACTAAGTCTGAAACAAACAGAATTTTTTAAATAATCGTTAGATAATAATGCCATATATTAAATAAAAAAATTAAAAATTCATGTCCGCGGATGGGTAAAAGAAATATAGTCCTAGGATCCAAAATGGTTTCGCAGCCGGCAGGGGCAACGGGAGCCACCCAAGTGCATTTTGTGTATTTTGACCTGCTCTGAACAAAAATTTGGATGGTGATGTACTTAAAAATTAACAGATAATTAATGAATTAGTTACTTATAATTAAGTTGCTCGAATGGCAATAATTAGTTTCTTAATCAACTTACCATATTTTTGAAAACAAGTATACATTATTTATCTTATAACGCATCATATCAGTAGCCCGCCATGAATTAATAAAATTATTGATCATTAACAATTGAATTGTATAAATAGTTATAAAAAATTTACTAATCAACACAGCGAAACTCGGAATTATGCCATGCATTGGCTACCTTATATGGCATAGGCAGCCCGAACACAAATGAGTAGACATGCATGCGTTCGACAGAACCGTTTAACTAAAATTGCAATATCTCAAGTTTTATTTGATATATATCGGATCTGAAAAAGATTATGGACTTATTATGAATTATTAGAAGAATACATGGTCCTTTTTAAAATATTGGTAAGTTGATTAATAAACGAATTAGGATCATTTAAACAATTAAATTGTTAATAACTAATTAACTATTGATATAGCAAGCCACCAACGAAATTCGTGTTCAGCAGGTCAAAATACATAAAATGCACTTGGTTTCCGTTAGTGAGTAATCATCGAATGAAATTTATCGGAAGGAATGGGTGATATTTACCATTACTAGAATCATCATAATTATTGCGGAATTTTCGTCGAATCCACTTCTGACAGTAACTGCCTTGAAAGTAACAGTATGCAGTCTGCCGAATGACATCTTTCATACAGAGGCCCGGTATTCTGCACCATCTGAAAACCGCAATAAATGATTTTTTATATCGAACATAATTCACAATTTCGTAAAGCTGCACTCATAAATTATATATATTAAAAGAGCGCGGAGATAAAAAAAGAAACGAGAAGTTTGAATAAATTTTACCGATGTCGCTGGGTGGTACACGATCGTGTGCAACTCGACCATTTGCTCCACTTCCCGTAATGTCCTTTGAACCAGTCTTTATTATCGCCTTGTTTGCCTCGTCCATGACGTGGTTTGGCTTCTTCAGGAATCTTTCAAAGAAATATCGAATTATTTTAACGTTCTGAGAAGTTCAATGCACAGTGACTAATCCGAGGAAAAAGCATCGTCAAATCGGACGAAATTTCCAGTAAATCGTGGTCCAACTCGTGTGACACGAGGGCTAATCATCAAATGTCAGGCACGCGATATTGTAAAGTGTGAAGTGACGATAACACTAACTTGCACAATCCGAAAGCGCTTGGGCTTTCGACGAGCTGCTCGTCGCTGGTGATGTTTGCAGCGCGAGTTTTTGCGCAATCCGCCGTGCTCGCACACTCGCTCCTCCTTTTGACATACAAAACAAACAAAAAAAATGATTGAATACATCGAACCATTTTATTCGTTGTACACCTGATCAAAGTTACTTCACATTTTTATTGACACTGCATGCGTCTCATCTAAGTGTCTACTCAACGAATCTTTTTTTATACGTTTTAGAATTGAAAATCCGTTCTTCAATAAACTCGACTGCAAATGGAATTTAAGAAGGACAGTGTAAAAATACACTCGCGGCTTTAATCTTTGATCGATAAAGTATACTTTCCCGATGACCAGAGAGCAGAAAGACATAATGGCCTGGCGCATCCCGAAAATAAACAACCAAATAAATCACCTCACTTTTCATTGGCAAGAAAGGTCAACTTTTTAATTATGTAGATTGGAATGAAATTCCACATTTCCTTCGAAAATATGATGATTTTATTCGATGAATCTTTCGTTTATCATTGACGATAAAAGCGAAATAAACAAGATCGGATTTTTATCAAATATCAGACAGCTTCATAAGAGTGAACGCGTGTCGATTATACTATAATATATCAACCTAGTTTTCCCAACGACGACAGAGCGAAAGAACAAGTAATTGATCGTCGTAGCGATCGACGTGATTGAAAACACGTTGTAGTCTAGATAAGGTGCGCGCGCGCATCACTGCGAAGAAGAAAAAATAAAGAAGCTCGCTATAATGTTTACTCACTCGTAAAATCGTGCGACCGCATCTCTCTCTCAGCTGGCAGCGCTTGACGCGATTCTGCTGGCAGTACCTGTCGCACACTGACCAGTCGCTCCAGTTCGTGTACTCGCTCACTGCGTGCGACGTACCCGGGAACACAACAATGCGCCCATACCATAATACAAAACGATGCTCGTGAAAAAAAGAAACCGGTATGAGTGCTCACCATTCGCCTGTCTCCGATGAGACGCAACGGACGATCCTTGACGCGACGACTCGAGCTGGAATTAGAATGGTCCTTCGATGAAAACGCAATTTTTGCGCGAACGAGGGCTTTAAAGAGCGTGCTGGCCGCAGCGAGAGCACCAGGGAAGGGGGGGGGGGCAAAAAAGAGAGACATTGGAATCCGGCGCGCGTGTTCGTGCGTTGCACGGTGCGCGTCTCACGTTACATAAAACAACGCACAAAAGCTTACCGGTTTGCGCTGCTGAGCGGACGCGGCGGCGGCTACGGCGACATGGAGGGCGACGACGGCGACGAGTAGAGGCGACAGTGCGACCATCATGACGAGCTGGACGCTGGTGGTTGTGACGGCGGTGAAGGTGGATGCCGAAGCTGCGTCATGACGACCTGCACCATGACACCAGCATCACCACACCGCGGCGGCTATACCGGCAATTTAAAAGCAGGCTTGCACACGCGCTAGCGCCAGGCCAACAACTGACGACCTCAAGCCGCGGGCTATTAATACGGCACACACTCATACACAGTTGTGCGATTGCTGCCGACGAGAGGGCCCACTGCGCGCACACATGCAGTGTGTTCGAGACCATCCGCAGCCCTACACACACGCGCACGCACGCTCTGTCTCCCCCCTCTACCTTAAATGACGACCCGCGGTTCGAGTATTTTTGAAACGACCAAAGAAGACTTCTTTCGTCGAACGCAGCTTGGGATCGCTCTTTTTCTTCTTCTCGCTCGCTTCCTTTTCGCGGATGGATACTTAAAGCACATACTTTTGGGCCTTTGTCGGGAATTGCTCGTGCCTGAACAAAATTGAGCGGTTACTTCTTTCTCTTCTTTGTGTTGTTCGACTTAATTTAATGCCCGCGTTCGAATGGAAGTTTATCTTACGAGCTGGTGGTTTTTTTGTGGATTTAGACGTAAGGTTTTATTTACGAGGATACTTATGGTCGAGAAATATATGGTGCGTTGCGCTGTAATTGGAGGCTTCAAGAAACGGAGTGCAATTTCGCGTGCAAAGTAATTTTTGCGAGTTCACTCTACTTCTTATATTGTAACCAATCGAAAAATAGTTTAACTTTCGATTTCTAGAACTGAACGTCGCGAACTCTCGGGGAAGACTGACAAAGGAAATTCCGGGGCGCAAATGATGAAAGCATGCGAAAATGACGAGTTTGTATAAATTTCAATTTACGATTCTCCAAATGGAATATTATTCTCAATTCATATCGTTTTCATATCAATATTCAACGGCGATTCTGTAACTTTCGATAATACGAAATAATTAAGTCGTCAACGTACTGCCGCGTATTATGTGCGCTTCATTGCGATATAAGTATGTAGCTATATTGAATCGTTTACATTTTATCGCTCAGTGTGTTGACAGCTAATAAATTTTCTTTCTATCAAAAGTTTCAATCTTCAAGAATGAATGATTAAAAATAAAAATGTTTTCTGAATGATATCATCATATTATTTGTGCAACATAAATTCAATGCTCGTACTCTATCCGAACATTAATTCGCGACCCGCGAAGTTCAAAATCCGAATAATTTTCGACGAAACAAGGTCAGGTCAAGGACTTATTTTGGCAAATTGTGCCCCCGCAATTTGTCTGAAAAAATCCGTTTAATGCGATCGATACTCAATCGTCGAAAATAATTTGAATTTTGAACTTCGCGGGTCGCGAATAAAAATTTGGACAGTGTACATATACAATGTGCATTTTTAAATTAGTTTAAATTGAGTGGTTTTGCTTTAAATGCATTTAACTGAATGATGTGAATCGAAGAAATTTATTTTAATAAATGAAAACATGCAAATTTTAACCGATAGGATACTTTTGGAACATTATTACGTTTAAAAACAAATATTAACGATCAACATTGCTTTTGATACAAAAATTTAGCTAGTGATTAAGAAGCTTTTTTCGTTTAACTAAGTATGTATACTTAATAATCCATAATTGACTCTTTTCGGTATTTCTATTGATTTTACTATCGAATATTATTTTTCGCCATTTCGTGCGTGAGGACTCGACTTATGTACGTTCGGGCAAGCAAGCGTGCCTCAAATCTCATCTCACACACGTCGTTTCGATAAATCAAGTTAGATACGTGCGTGAGAAAGTCATTTCAGTCTCGTGTTGTCTCTTCATTCTCGCTTCGCTTGGTTGTAAACGTCCGCACGAGGCTCAAATCTTTCTCGCAATATAGTATCGAAATGTACTAAAAACAAAAGCTTTAAATATTAGCTATAATTTAATTTGAAAAGATGTACTAAAAATACAATATGGATTTCCTTTTTCTAAAACTATATTTCAGTACTTATCAAATAAATATATACATTGTATTTATATAGCGAGAGTAACATTTAAAAATATGTTGATTCTAATTTGATTTAAAACATAGTTTTACATTAAAAAACATGTAATGCTGCAGTGTAAGTGATAACAATCTCTTAACAAGTACTATGATGTTAACTGGAAATGTAAATTTCACTTGCACATTCTTTTGGACAAAATAACTAATAAATTTTTTCAAATAAATAGATAATGGACTAAAAAAAGAATATTTTTTTATAAATACTATTGATGGTAATCATAAAAAAAAAGAAGTATAATGAGAATTTGTTCTGGAATCATAAAATCACAAGTAATTTAGTATTGAAATTTAAGAATTATGAAGAACCTTGTTGAATGCATTGTAAGAAGTTTCCAAATCAAAAATTAATTGTCTAACTTGCGTATCTGATAGTTCATCTGAAGCAGACATATTATTCAAAGTTTGGAGCCACTCCGCAACTTTCTGTTTTCCATCAAAGTCACTTGGAAGTATACTAAGTCTGTTCATGGTATCCATTAGATCTCTGAGATCTGGATGAAGTTGATCCATAGCTTTGATTTCCAAGCGTAACTTATCCATGATCGTAATAAACAGTGAAACTATGTCGGCAATGCATTTTGATGTATTGCCCTTATCATCTTTGATTGTGATTGGCCTGTCCTCTTTAATTCTCTCAAGAGCTGCTGGACAATCAAGCTTGAAAGCTCTGGCAAATGCATCAATTGTTGGATACTGATCACTTTGAACCTTTTTAAGAATAATATGTTAAATATTATGTCATTTTAACTTTATATAAATTGTATACTTAATTATAATAGATCTAATTATTGAAAACATGAAGTTTTTTTATGTTATATTATTTAAATAATACAGTATGAATATAATTTTGCACTGCACAATTTTGTAATCTATTTATGTAAAGATTGGCATACATTGGATTTTATGTACCTGCTTGAAAGCTGCTCTGTATTGAACTAACAATTTGCTGCATGCTGCTGTGTACTCTTTAGGTGTCACACAATCTCTGATGTAAGCTTTTTCTAAGTGTTGTAAAGTGTTCACAACGGCATACAAATCAGCTTGATTCTCATACTTCTCTCGTTCTCTAGCATTCTTGTATAATTTTACTTCTTCGTAAAGTTCTGGACGATCTTGAATGGCTGACATTTTCTCTCTATAAAACAAAAATATAAGTTAGTTGGCTTAAGTAGTTGGGTTGTATCAATGAAAGTATTGTAATGCCATAGAAAAAGTATGAATATTAATAAAAATGTATTGATTAAATCATGGTGAAATATAATTTATTTAAAGTGTATAATTATTTAAACGTCAGAAAAAGACGTTTGAATAACTTATGAAACAGTATGAGTCATTAATATCTGTACAATTTTACTTACTATAAAGATACTGTAAAGTGCTGCTATAAAAGTTTTCAATCATAAAATTATCAATGATAAAACAAGTAAAAAGCAGTCGATTTCGTTGATAGAATATATGGAATTTAATCAACACTGTAGACACATATACAATGATCTAATGAATTAATAAAAAATAACTACGTAAAGGTAACTGCTTGTCATCAGATGATATCGAGTCAACTTTTAGTCAACACGGATTATGATTATTATTGGCAGTATGGGCAACATTACGAGTTAAAAAGCGGGAAATTTAAATGTACTGGAATAACAGAGTAACACACTTTCACAAAACATGTTTAATGTACATAATTGATTTTATTTAATAACAATATAAATGCTACATTCAATTATCTATAGTATAACATTATCTAAGACTTATAATTAAAAATCATTTTCACGGAATTCTTGGCACAATCACCACTAAATTTAGAGTTACATTCATTTGACAAAATATTCTTATCAATACAAGGACAATGAAATTCTTTAGTCAATTCTAAAGCTCTTTTATCTATATTATTAAAATCAAGAATTTGTTTGCTGCTTGGAATTGCAATAAATCTGGTAACATGAATCAGTAATTGCTTTGGATCTACAACAGTCCAAGGTTCATAAACCTTTAATACTGGCTTTTGATTAACGTTTAGTAAACTAGAAAGTTCAGGTACATTCATTACGGTTATATTTGCTTTTTTCTTTACTACATTTTTTAAGAGATCCGCACTGTCTTCTATTAAACTACATTGCACAAATTGATTGCCATTGAAATTAGGCAAGTAATGTAAAGTTTGTAATAAAACAAATGGCATGTCTACCACATTGAGAGGATTTCTATATAATTGGTGTCTTAATAAATTTACACTTGATCTTTCTTTTGCCATTGTTGATTGTAGTAACTCTGATAAGCTGCCTCTACAAAGGATACAAGATTGCAGAAATTACATTAATTTTCTACTCATTTACAAAGAAAATTACTTACTTTTTAGGATTTCTTTTCTTCAGTGGCTTTTCAAATGTATATTGTAAAATATATGAAATTTTACTTGATTCTTCCTTTGATTCAAAAGTACTAATGCTATCTATTTGATCTGCAGAATTAAATATTTCTGTACATTGAGGATCAGTTTGGTCTCTGGTATTTGATTCTATAATGTGTTCATCAGTTGTTTGCTCTGATGATGTAGATGATGGAGTTGAAATCTTTTGAGAGTGAATAGCTTGTTTTAATTTTTGAGACGACTCATAAATTAATTGACTATTTATATCTTCTATAAGATCACTAGCAGTTTTATCTGTATCGCTGGCAGCTTCCTGTACTTTAAATTCAGTTATTTCACTATAATTATCACTGGATACTGATTCAATAAATTGAGTTGTATGTGGTTCAATTTTTATAGCATTTTTTTGTACATTATGAGATTTATCATTATAAGATTTATCTGAAATTAATGAAATATTGAATGTATCTTGAAGCTCTGAGATCTTTGTTTTTTCTAAGAAGTATGGATCATTATTCATCTCTGAACCAAGTTTATTTTTAGCTGAAACATAAAATAAAAAATTTTAAATCTGAGATCTTAGACTATTGTGTCATATATAAAGTAACACACTATAATTTTCTTTTAATATTGATTTAGAACAACTAGGATTCTCTTCAGCGAATTCAGTTATCTTCGACAAAATTTTCAATCGTTTAAAATTTTTTCTAAGCCCTCCAAAGACTGGTGATGAAGCAGTACGCTTTTCACCCAAGACTGGTGATTGAGGAGGTGTAAACAATTGTTTTTCAACTTGATTGGATGAGCCACACAATACATCAGGCATTGGTTCATTGTAATCAACTCTTGAACATACATCTAGAAGTGGATTTTCTTCAATCCAACGTTTTGTATACTCTCTTTTTCTTTCTGGTATTGAAATATCTACTTCATCTATTACCTTTGCAGATGATTTATTCATTTTAAGTATTTGAAATGATCTCAAAACTTGCAAGTAAATTTAATAAAATAAAATAATGATAAACAGTGAAAATTAATGCTTATAATAATGACAAATAAATTATTTTTTATCAATTTAAAAATCATCAACAGTGTTTACTACATTTTCATTAAAGTTATAAACGAATTATATCAGGAGTTTGTTTAATACTTGTTTTCTGCATAGTTGACTGATACGAATACTCCAGCGCTACTCATCATGTATGCGCGTGTGTGTATATATATATATATATAATTTTACATGTCTTTATCTACTCTTGGTAATGATATCAATGGCATTATCGGCTAAGTCACAGATTGCATCCATGCGTTGCATTGCTGCCAACAACGAACATATACGTAGATCAGTAGATTGCAGTAGTGACGGCGTGATGCTATAATTGCTGCCAAGTGCCAAGCCAAATCAATCTCGCATTTTGCAAAAACGAAGTTGAAACGTGATATTTTGAATTTCATAAGTTTTTTTAAATTCAACGTATCGTTTAAAACATTCCGATGTTAATTACATTTAACAAGGCAAAACGTGAATGGTTTATAATAAAATGTTTTGAATTGTGTTTATTCAGCTTCATTCAGTGTATTAATAAATTTTTAGAGCACGCTTCTTGCAATCATAACCTCTACATAAATATAATATCCAAACTCATAAATAATTATTAAACTTTTGTAATAAGTGAAAATTAGGCTAATTGTTGAAAAAATGAAACTTCTTACACATAATATGTTGACATCAAAATGCATGAAAGGAGTCCAAGTGGGTTATCCTTTGGCACTGGAAGTAAGATTGATATAAATAACAATTTTAAAGTCCAATAGTTGACAACACGATGTTTTCTAAATGTTATAGGCAACAGAAGTAAAGGTGGTACAAACTGATTATAATTCCGATTTTATCCAAAAGCTTTTACCCAGGCTAAATTATCCAACTTTGTATAAAGCTGTAGAAAGTGTGAGTTGTGAAATTAATTTTTCTAAGTTTAATAAGTAAAAAATGTAATATTAATATATCTATAATTTTATATCTTATAGTTAGGTTATACAGGTAATTTACCAACTGAACTACCTGAAAATTGGGAATTGGATGAGGAGCTGATGAAAAAGCTTCATCATGCATTATTTGAAATAGATGTTGTCAATGGAGAAATGATATGTCCAGAAACAGGGAGAAAATTTCCAATTAACAATGGTATACCCAATATGCTTTTAAATGAAGATGAGGTTTAGACTGTATTATTAATTGTATAATGATTATAAGCACTTTTTTATTTGCGAAAATATCAATAATTTAAGTTATCAATTGTAAAATTTATATTGTAAATACTACTTGTGTTTTTCACAAATCTAATAGAAATAAATACTTAAAAAATAATTATTTCTAGTAACAAATCGTTCTAATAGTCTTTTTAAAGTAAAAGTTCAAATGAATTAACATATGAAAGAAATTAACTTATAGATTAAATTTATTGCACAGATATGTATAGATACAATTACATACAGAGTTATCTCATATTGAGCTTAATATTATACATAATTTTTCTTAGATCTTAATTTATTTATTTATTTATTGCTAGTAAATACAGCAAGTCTGAAAACTCACTGAGATTACAGCATTTTCTAAAGATTCTAGTTTTTTTAAAACTTCATTTTTACTGCATGTTTTCATATTCAAAAACATTTTCTATCATTTTATTACAGAAGTTAACTAGTGCTTTGAATTTCTAAGTATATCGCAATTTTTTTTTTTTATTTTGGTTAACGCTGTTTTCTACTTGTAAGTACTCTGGAATATACTATTTTAGCTACCATGGAATGTATAATTGAACTTCACTTATATAAAACCTATTGTATCGAATGAAATATTTGAGCAACGGGTAATATGAAAAATAGTTGACAGTACTTGATTTGTCTTTTTACAGGACGAATGTCATTGTTACTAATTGTATTTTTAAAAAAATTCTAAAAATGTTGTATAAAAATTATAAACTAATCAACAATGATAATAATAATCAGAACATTTAAAAACATCTTATTTAAAATACTCATCCATTTATTCTAATTTACAATTTCATGTTATTTTGATTGATATAATTGAAAGTAAAATTTCATTGAGTATAACTTTTTGACATATATTCATAATTCAACATATACAAATTTTGAAATTAATTTTTTTACAATTAGTATACTCGACATTTTTTTTAAATAAAAAAGGTATTGATTTATCTATCAATGTAATACTATTTATATTCTTAATATACACTAAATATTTCTAAACAGTAGTAATACTATATCTCAACGATTTCTTACTTACAGACTTATTAGTCTGACAATCAAATGGACGCTTCAGATCATTTACAATTAAGTCTTTAGTTCAAAATGTAGTCAAAATATATATTTTTATCCATCCTAGTTACTTTGAAAGTTAAAAAGCTATAAAAATAGCTCTTAACTATCTCGTCAGCCACAGCCTATCTGTTATTATTTCTGTATTCACATACTTTAGGTTTACTTTGAAGGCAGGATTATCTTGGTTGAAGCTATATGAAAATATTTTTATATTCAAAATGTACAAATTACAAGCATAAGCAACGTTAAATTTTACGGAAAAGATGTATAGTTTAAAATTGTTATATCTCCAGAAAATAATTTTTAGCATTTAACAGTAAAATATGTAATCATTGTCGGTATATATGACAAGTGAAAATTTGTTTCCTCTTAGTTAAAGTTGACTTTGTCAATAGTTAAAAGTGTGCATGAAAAATTGTTTTCACGGAAATACTTTTTATTCAAATCAAATTACTGTAGCAAATGATTGTTTATTTACGAATTTATATGAAAAATAACATTCATATTATATTTTCTGGAAACTTTCGGAACAATTTATTAGAGTTTTACTTTGCGTTTTAATTGTTTGATTATTACAAATGACAAAGTTCCTATTACTCTTAACATATGGACGTTACGCGAGAGCATTGATCTTTTCGAGGAATATATGGCACTGATCGCTAAAAATATTTACGTTTTCCCTGCTTGTTGCATTTGCAATGAATTTTCTCCAACTTGAATCTTTATGAAGATTACGACAAAGTTGTTTAAAAGTAACTAATTACTAAGGCTTTGTCAATTCTACAGTACTTCTAAAATTTACTGTTTACTTCGAAACTATTTGATTTCATTAATTTTAATATTGTTATTATTCTAAATTGAATTTAAATGTCATCGGTAATCCAGCAAAGAGAAACATGAAGTTTAATAAAACAGATAAGCTATGTGGATTCTTATAGATAAGAATAAATTACAGCTATCTATTGCACATGTCTTGAAGTTATAAATTATTAATATCAATATCACACTACAATAATGATTTGATATGAAAATAAAACAAAAACTGCTTTCAATTCACTGTAAAATTTTAAACATTTCATAAAATGTTTAAAATATTTACATAACAGTTGAAATTTATTTCTCAAACAAAAAATATTTTAATTGCTTAAAATACTTTTGTAAACTAAATACAAACAATTTTTTGAGTCATAAAAGTTTTTATATTTTTATAGTGGTTTTTATCAACTACGTCCGATGTACTTTTTTTAATTTTGGTGTTTGTAAGAATATTAGTAGCTTTTATTGCTTTATGTTCATATCATTTGTCGATTATGGCATACTAAATGATAGAATATTTCTTGATCACACATAATCAAAGTCACTATTGCTCTATAACTAATTTTTTTGCCTTTTTTTCTTTTCTTTTTAAGTATTCTTACTTCATGCTTCTATTTCAAAAAATTGATTTTCAACAAACAGAATTAAAAAAACTAATTGTATTATAGTACAAACACATAATTAAATATTAAAATCCATATTCAATGATACAATAACAATACTTTTAAAAAAAGACATGAAAAACAATTAATCATAATTTCAAAAACTTCTTCTACTTCATATCATTAAAAAATCCACATAATTGGACAAGAATTGAATCTTCACAAGAATATCATTATTTTCATAATATTCACCTAGAATACATAGGAAATTTTAATATCTATCCTATAAAATTTCGTATTTCCGCATTATCAAAATCACAACATTTCGTAATACTGATGCATTGACCAACACTTTACACACAATTCGTAATACTATATATACTACATAGTACCTCACGTTTCAACAGTTCCAATAAGTAAAAACGTAAAAAGGAATACATTTTTTTACAATCATGGAGAAAGAATATAAAAACGTAATTATTACGAATACTCAAGCATAACTAAATTAACCAATGTAGATGAGCTAAAAATAACAGCTATACGTGTTTCATTTTCCACGACTTTCTGCATTAGTCGAGTTTCTTTGAGAATAAATTGAACCCTGAGCTAGCCCCCTCATTGGACCTTTCCGGAGGTCCGTATTCGCTCCTCTCGCCAGATGCGAACTACCTTTTGCTAAGTTTACTATTTTTCCGGTTGATGAATTCCGTACGCTTATTTTCGACAATAACGTCGGATCTGGCCCTGACCAAGGTGCATAATCAGGCCTGAAATAATAACAATCGATATAGGTTACCGCAATAACATTAAAATATATTTATAAAATATGTAAAATCACCAGCACTTACAAAAGTAAGTCATTGTTAGCTCCTTTTGGTAGATCAGGATTAGGACCAACCGGCCTACTTACGTATTTTGACTTATAATCACTATCTTCCGCTGTACTAGTTCCGCGCGATACTCTAAAATTAAAATTGAATCGATGATTAAAATGCATGGATTATTTATTTTGACGAGCAGTTGAAACTGACTTTGGAACTTCCGTTTTATTTTTTGGCCGCTTAGATTTTTCGGGATCCGTATCTTTATTCGATACTCTCTTGATTGGCGAGGCGCTAAATTTAAGTGCTTCGGTTACTGGAGGGCTATCTTTCTTATCATCACTTTTACTGCTACTGTAATTTTATTTGAAATTATTTGAATATCTTTATTCTTTTATTTATAATGAAATAATATAAATCATTTGTACCTCTGACTACTGGACGTATTTAGTGGTTTTATGGCTTCCTCTGCAACCATAATGTCTAATATGTGTGCTGCTCTTGCTTCATCGTAGTCTACACTATCCATAGCTAACAATATGACTTTTTCTGGCACTTCTTTAAACTTATTCATTAATCGTTTTTTCACTAAAACAGTAATTGAAAAAATGATTAGAATGATGAATATCAGACAACCAATAATATTTATTTCTGAAAGCTTACTTTTATTCTTTTCTTCCAAAGTTTTCATACGAGGAGGTGGCGTGGGAGCTGGAGGGGTTATTTCAATCTGAAACAAAACATAAATAAAATTTAACGTTCAGATTTTCTCATTCAAGATATTTTTTAAGTATAAAATAAACAATACTATTTTTCCTTCGTCCTCTTCTTTCTTTTTTATTGGCGATTTTGCCATGGCCAATGGATTTCGCTTTTCATAACCAAGCTCCATCAAATTTTCCGCAGTTTTCTGAATGCTATTATCACATTGTTCTAATGCATCCAGAATGATGTATTCATCTGCCTTAGGAAATAGACTTTTCAGGTACCTACATATTATCATACAATTAGTTTTTACGAAGTAATCACTCAATTCTTTGGCATAAATACATTCATACATAAATTTGTTAAAAAATAATAAAAAATTATATTTCCATGAAATTATGCTACACCTCTTTTTTATATAAATATTTTAATATTTAGCAAGCAGGTGTTAACGTGAGAAATACGTGCATTAATGAACAAATTATCAATCATAAAATGATATTATTACACACATTTCTTTTAAATAAATCATGACCATTGTTTTAAACTGACTTATCTACAATTGGATGAGATTCAACATATAAAGTATACAGAAAATCAGGATGAAAAGAATAGGGGATAAAATAAAATCACAAATGATGAAACAAATTAATGCAATAAATAAAACTTTTATGTTTTATTTAAAAATAAATATTAAATAATTATATTAAACTACTTAACATTTGTAAAAGCTTATCATTCATACAAATTAAAATAATTTTTAATTAATTGCGTAAAGTGTTGCCAAAAAAATTATTTTCTCGTTCATAAAAAAATTTAAAAAATTGCATGCAAAGAAAAACAATCTGTTTCAGTCTCTAGAAATACGATGCGTTGCATTAATTTAAATTTAATACATCATAATTCTATTGAAATATTTTCTGAATCAGATGAATATTGTTCACATAGATATATATACAATAAACATATAAGAACACGTTAATATATACACGAAAAATTACAAATACTCATAACACATCACACGACAGAAAATTTTTTTTATTCAATCTGACGTCTATATTCTTCCTATAATCATTATTAATTTCTTACACGCAATTACGAACTATACACATCTAGCATTCAAAATATACTGATTTATTTCGAAAAATGCGTATAAACCTAAGTTTCATTTTGGGGGAATGTGGGGCTGGCAGAATGCCTCTGGGTGGACTAAGAGTAAGGGCCGCATGAATTGCAGGTGAGAGTCGCCACTTCGGTTGTATCGCATAGCTGGAATGCACGCCGATAGGCGTACAAGGACCTGGCTGGCACAGTGGATTCTTCTCTATTTGCAGGGCGCTCACGACCAAGGCTGGCCTGTTATGATATCTGAAAGAGATCGGCTGGGAACTTAGCATTCACGATCCACTACGCTAATGGGCTTTTACATTTGAAAAAATTTATTTAAGTCTATATCATTAAACCATCAAGAATTTTAAATACTTTACAAAATTTTGAGTCTGGTGGTGTGATATATTACCCATTTGCTATATACCGATTATTCATTTTAAGAAGCCAATATGTACAAGATAAGCATTAGTATTGTGAAGCAATTGAGTTATTAGAATGGAAAGACCATAAAAAGCTCTTTTTTTGTTAATGTACAAAACTTTTTTCAAAGGAAATATTGATTGTCATCGATAACTTACTTCTTCAAAAGCAGACGGATATGAGTTTCAGAAACTGTTGGAAACATGGCACTGAGCTTAGCAACATGTATTTCAACGTCATCATTTACAATCAAGCTAGTTTCAAGAGTCCTTGTGGGAGTTGGAGATCCGATTGTCATGTCACCTAGTCTATTAGTCAATCCGCTCACAGATCTCGTGGTAGACAGTGGTGTCTTGAGGTCCTGCAATTCACAAGTGTTTCATGTAATTATTCTGAATGGACTTAAATTAATGGAACATAAAAACTACATATAATACAGATGCTACTATAATAGTAATAGATAAATTGTAATGATGAGTGTTGTTTTTTTGAAAGGTGTTAGTTGAACCCACCTGCAGACTTGGAGGTAAAAATGCAGGCTGTGGATTACGAAAAGGTGAAGGAGATGGATAGACTTGTGGAGCTTTGTGAGCTCCGGAATAGACTATATGGCCTGCAGTGGTATTCCCACTGATCTGTCATCGTTAATTTTGTTTTTTATCCAGAGAGAAATGCAGCGTGCAAACATTACAATTGTTCAAAGAACTTACAGACAATAGAGCTTCATTGTGTGAATAGCCTATGCTTACAAGTCACATCAAATATCAATTGATTCCATTCAAATTGAAAATGAGTAAGCTTGTCACAGAGGACTAACTGAACTTGATAATGTTTGTATTTTTATATGCAAGTTTAAATACAAGTAGCTTCATCATTTTCAAATTGAGAATCAAGCAGTGAGCTCTGGATACAGTCAACTGACCTGCAGAGGAATGGATTCACTGGGGTGATCTGTAGTTCCAGAACTTGGAGTAGTGGAGTTCTGTGATTGTATATATTGTGCATACTGCCAATATCGCAGTCTAGGGTCTTCCCATGTAGTTGAACGATTGAAGTGATTAATGAAATATCTGCAAGATCAAAAAACCACTTGAGAAGTTAAATGCAAAGTAAAAACCCTTGAAACAAAAAATGTATGAATATAAAACAAAAAAAGAGACTAGAGGCACGACAATATAAAGTGAATGAAATAACGAAATTGAACGACCGTCGTAAAGCTGGTAAGCGTAAGAGCATTATGCAGGAAGCTTATAGGCATGTGTATAGGTCTCTCTAAAACGAAACAAGATTAATTAATCAATTACTGGCATATACGTACGCGCGACCGCTTCTGCCATCGTATCTGCATTCCCAGCCGGGTGGCAGGTGGCTCCTGTCAGATTGATCCGCCATATTTTTCACTGCTGTTGCAAAAACGATCTTTTGCTTTGGCGTAGAATTTGTGCGACACGAACAAGTCCGCGTTGTTATAAACAAATTGGCGGGTCACCCTTTTCTTCGGCACTCAAACGCCCCCGACGCTATTGACACGGTCAGGGCTTCGGTTTTCACTTTCTACATAATCTCTTGATGTTGCGCGAGGAGGATAGGGCGGACTAACATGCAGCAGCTTCAGCTCTCAACGGCAGAAGCAATCTATATCTCTGTATACATTGTGCACACGCGTGCGCGCCAAGAGGGTTCATGGCAGGTGGGGTGGATACGGCACAAGTGTGTGTGGGTGTGCAAGCGCGAGTGGTGTCATAAATATAGACGCCGCGTTCGGGCTGCAAAGAAAAGAGAAAATGCGACAATGACATGATTCTGTTTCTTTGAGTTGGACAGAAAAAAGAAGAGAAGGTTATTATTAAGAAGGATTATTTATATAGACAGGCAATGATTATCTCGGGAGGGAATCTATTGCCCGTGCAAAAAAGATATGATCATCGTAAATTAACAGAAGACGCTCGGGTATCATATATCTTTGATCTCGGTGTAACGTATATGTGACAAGAGTGAGGTCGGATAAGATACTTATATAGTTAATCGTATGGAAATCATCGATGAGGCTGTTCGTGAGAAACTTTGATGATAAGGGAATCGCTAATGTGACTATTATCGATCAGGTGCAGACAATATTCTTTTATCTAAGTAATTAGAGCTTCACCTTTGTGAAATTTTTAGTGAATGCTATTGCTGTGAGAAAAGAGCTTTTCAACTAAACCACGTTACGTTTTGTAAAATTTATCAATAAAGTCTTGAGTCATTTCGCCGCAGATACTAATGGCAGCGATGTAATTATTCAAGTTTCACAAATTAATCAGGACATCCATGTTTTTCAATACTTTATATTTATTTATTTATTTGATGACGTATCACCTCAATAGAATCGATAACAATGAAGTTTCAAAAATCACTGAACAATTTTCTTTATTAGCATCGAATTTCTTAATAACAAAATAGAACGATTGACATCGGATTTATTTTGGTATTTGCTCGATTGTAATCTACGTTTAAAGTACGCCACGACGGCGTCATACTGACAATCTTATAAATGCCACTATTCTTCTGAATAAAAAAGATATTCTCTAGTAATTAAGCATTTATAAAACAAATACCATTTATAAAAAGTACTAATGGTATATCATGTTGTTTATTCCTTGTAAAAGTCTATGCATTTTTAATTAAAACGATATTTATGTTATTCAATAGATTGAACAAAAGATTCAATTGATTTTTGTTATTATTTTATTCGAAATATCATAACTGTCAGACATTTCAATATATATGATTCTCTTGCTATTTGCCGCACTCGACGCATTGAATTTCGTGATAAGCACAGTTGATTGTGCGAAATTTGAACTTGAATTTGAAAAAAATGGAAGTGCAAAAAACAGTGGGAACCGATGTGCATAGAAAAAAGAGCAACTTGATAACGTTGGGAATATTATGTCTGGCGCGAGTAAAATCGAAAAAAATGATGCAGCAGCTTACCAATGACTGGAAAAGTATGAACTAATTACTATTGCCAATACGTTATACCGAGATGATTGAGTAATGGAAGTGAGCTAGTTACGGAAGATACTTTCCCAAAACTTTAGGAAGCACATATACAAACAGGAGACGATGGTCGTGAAAGAAAATGCTAGACTATACGTGAAGAATAAATGACGCGTATCGAGATGTGCCAGTGACATTTTTATCAGTTGCTGTGTGATTTGTCTTATAGGAAAAGTTGACCGTCGTTCAAAGACGTATTACGATCAAAACGATTGTGACGAGAGGGTTTATGGCCGAGATCATCGTCGACCACGTTGATTTCCAATCAACTCCCGACGGCGAGTATTGCTGGCTTATGCTTCGCGCAACGAAGTTTCTTCATCTGTTGCGAACGTCGCAGAATTGTCGACAATCATTTTTACCTTTGGGGCGCCATGTGCATCGCAAAGTGATAATGGGAAGGGGTTCGTTGTCGAAGTCATCAAAGCGTTGATGGTCTCGCTCTCGTCTCAGTGTAAAATATAGTACATAAAGAAGGTCGCGGTATCCACCAATTCAAGCAAATCCCACCTACGTAAAAAATACGCTGCGCGCATGGACGTTTGACGACCGCAATTGGTATCGTGGTTGTTACCAAATACAAGTATTTCAATTTGAATATAAATATGTTATCATTTTATTTTCCTTTTGTTTAATGGATAAAAAACACACAATTCATATGTATAACGTAAAAAACATTAAAAAAACCTATAACAATTGCAATTTCGTATAGCATATGACATTCATTCAGTATATTCACATTACCTTGTATTCAGTCGATAGATTCATATTATATTCGTTCAATTAACGTTTCATATTTTATATTTTGCAAACAAAACGATGGACATACAGAAATGTTTGTATTTTTTAATAACAAGTTTATTTCGTTTGATGCGCGGACTTTGAATAAAATGACTGCGGTACATATCCGAACCAGGCAAATAGATGCGAATATTCGATGTTGCCTGAAAATGCTTGTTGCCGACGACACGTAATACGCTGAAAACGTTAAATGTTCCAAGCTGCGATAGCGTTGCTCGTTTCTCCCGTTGAAATCGTACGGGAAAAATCAGTCGCGCGCTTTGAATCATTAACAGCGCGCTCATCGGGAAATCGCTCGTTCGCGAGACAAAATAACAAGCGCGCCTCGTAGGTCGCGAGCGATAAGCTGCATGTTAACAAAAATATATGTATGTAACGCATAAAGGTCAGAGGTGAGCGTTAAAATAGCCATCTCGAAGCGCATATATGTGTTGTGCCAGCACGCCGATCGAATAAACAATAATAATCAAGGGGAAAAAGTATCCGAGCCGCAAGGTCCGCGCGACGGCGCCGCGACGTTAGGGGTCACGACTAGGTGATATGAAGTAATCGACTTCCTAGTTACGTAAGCCACGATCAAAGCGCTCGCGTTGTGCAAGCGCGCGACGAAGATGACTTACATTATCGCGATCAAATTGAATCCAAAAGCGGACAGTCGGCGCGCTTGCAATGCCGAGCGATGCCGCGCCGCGCAAAAACTGAGGTCTCGACACGCGGCCACGCGCGCAACACGGACAAATAGCCGAGGACTCAATATGCAGATAACGCGCGCGCGCTAAAGCGCCTGTCTGCCTTCCGCGCTGCGTTGCTGTTTTTCTCTTTTCTTTTTTTCCTCTTTTCCTTTTTGCTCGTCGATCGCAGACCGTGAAAAAGTGTCGAGTGCAGACGAAACAACGCCGCGGGCGAGAGCTCACATGCCACTGCGACGAGCTTTGGCGTAGCCTCCTTCGAAATTGGGTCCCTTTTCAGTTTTATTCCGCGGTTTGCGCGCTGTCCTTTGAACGGACCAGCGCTGCTTCGAAATTTAGCTTCTCTCGCGCGTCGAACGGACGTTGACCCGGGCACTTTTTTTTCACTTTTTCCATACCTTTTTATTTTTGAGAAAGTCCCCTCCGTTTGCGAGAGCGAGCGTTCGACTCAAAGCAAAAAGAAAAAGATAAAAAAATGTCTGTCTCGTTACTGAAATCACTCAACCCATTACCGATTGCGATCATTTATTACTGTAATCGCATTTTGAGCGGTGACTTTGTGTCATTACAGTCTCTACGAGCGAAAAATGTATATTTAGCTGAATTTGCGTATTTTTGCCGACTCGTGTACCTCTTCGCCGTCGACGATCCGCGCGCGCGTTGCCGTCGGCCAGCGGGTGAGAAAACGTTCGGGATTGGGCCGCGCGAGCGACGTCGCGTTTGTATGGCGATCCAACTGCCGGGACTTTCTTTCCCCGTTACGGGCGACCACGCGTTCGATGGCCCGCGTGCTTGTCTGACTGTCGGTCGAAGGCTATGACAGCGACGTCATTGCACCAGCAATTCCGACGGCAGAGGAGAAAATCCACGTACGCGTCCGTGCGTCTGCAGAGGCGGCATATAAGCTTTGAACGGCGATTCACGAATAACGGGAGGGCAACTGGAGTCGTTTCCGTCTCGCGAGCCACCGTCGGTCAGCTCGTCGTTTAGTCGCGCGCGGCTCGCGCTCTCCTTTTCTAGCGATAACGATAAGATGCCGATAACTCGTATCGCGCTTGTAGAATTCGAGGGAAAACGTTATACGTATCGCGAGAGACGCCGCGTTGCGAGCGAGATCGCCGCAGACAATAAAATTATCTGCCGGGAGACGGACGAACGATTTTGCCTCTATTCGACGCAATTTTTAATAATGACAGCTGGACACTGTGGAAATGTACTCGCGTACCCGCTGACGTCGACTCGTAAATCAAGTTTTATCGTACACCTGCGATGTCCTTTTCTCTGGCTTTTTTTTTGTTTTTTGTCGCTTTCATTTTTTGCCAACCGGAAAAGTTTATTGGCGACGAGTCCACGAACTTGTATCTTGCCTTCCTCTTATACGCTCGCTCCTAATTCGCGGCGATCATCGTCCATGCGGGCCGTGGCGCGGGCATGGCGAGCTGCCCGAGGACATGATTTTTTGCACTCGAGCGTTCCTCGCCGCGCGTCGCGCGACTTTCCTCTCGCGAGCTCGCCCGAAATCAATGTGCCTCTGCCTCGAATATCGAAAGTGCAGCCGACGGCCAACCGCTTGCGGAGCCACGAAGGACAAAGGAAATTTTAACGAGCTCGACTCTCGGTTCTCTACGTTTATCGAGAAATATCCGCCGAAAATTCTTGCTGGGCCGCGACTCGGTGCAACGAACCTTCGTAATTTATTCCCGGCTAACTCTCGATTTCCAGCGATCACGCGAGCTTTATTGCATAAGTGAAACGATCTCGGCATTTTGTGCCAGACGACGGCAACGCGTCGTTCGCCGGAGATATAGGAGTGCGAATTAGGCACGTGTGCATCGATCAGTCCCCGATGAAAGAGAGAGAGAGAGAGAGAGAGACTTTGTGTGCTCGACTGCCTTGAATCTTCAATTACGCTCGATAACAGCGATATTTTCCTCGTCGTCGCGCGTTTAATCAAACGCGCCGACGATTCGTCGGGCGACATCGTTCAATTCCAATCAAAGCCCATTTGAGGCCCAATTCGCGCTTTGCCATTTTGCTGGTACCTCAATCGAGAGACGCGACGTCGTAGCTCGCGATCGAGATCTTCGGGTTCACCGAGAGAACAGGGCTTCTCGGTGCGCCTCGCTCCTTTGGCATTCATCCTGCGCTCGCGATGGAAATTTTGCAACGAAAATAAGCCGAGCAGCCGCAAAGCCGCTGCTTCATTAGCATGAGGCGGACGAGAGCAGCGTATAGTTAGGATGTCGCGCGCTCCAAACTTTCGCTCTAAAAATAGCCGGACGAGGCAACAAATCGTTTAGCAGAAAGTCGTCTGTCACGCGCCGCGCGACGACGTCTCTTCGTCCACTGAGCCGATTTCCGCGGCGTTATCGCCCGAGTCTTTTATCCAGCTTCGTCGTCTAATCATCCCGCGCAATTGCGCCTCTGTCGCGGCTTATCAATTTATTTATAGCCTCCACAGCCGACACGCCGAATGACTCGGAGGATTTCTGCCGGTCGCAATTGAATTGCGTCAAAGGATGCGCACCGCGGGGAAGAAAAAAGAAAGAAGGCGCTCCTGCGCTCGGTCACGGCGGTCGCGGGACGCAAGAGAATAACAGCGAGCCCCGTCGAGCGCGCGATGCGAGAGTCACGGAGCACTCGGTGCAGGAGGCCGCTGCACTTTTTGCTCGCTGTTGTCGCCGTCGCGCGCGTCACGGCGATGTTGTTCACCTCCGACGCGCGCAAATCGTTCCCGTCGTCAATGCCGACGTTCGAAAGCCGAGGGAAGACCGGCAAGCCACACGGACGCGTCCCACACACGTTCGGCTGATCTCGCGCGACGCCAAAAGAGCAACACGTGGACCACACACGTGGGTACGCGAGCGCTCGTTCGTTCCCTCGCGAATCGCCTCACCCGGCCGCACAGGTGGCGGGGAGAGATCGGCAGAACTCGCGTCATCGCGCGCGAGCGTCACATTAGCGCGCGGCTCGGGGCGCGTCACGCGAGCCTAAGTTCCTTTATATATATAAAGCCAGCACGCCGACGCTCGCTACGTTCACTCGATCTGCCGAACGCGAGACGCTCGCCCGCAGTCTGTCTCTCGAGCAGCAGTCGCCAAAGCCCAGTTCGACGAGAAATCGCTCTGTCGCGTTGTGTTGGTACGGTGTTGGGGGCCGAGTGTGCGACACAGCAGACATGTACACCAATCCGTTCGACCGCAAGCACAGCACCATTCGCCAGGTGCTGGATCGCTTCTTCGATCCGAATTTTGGCGCCAGCAAGAAGTCCATCCGAAGATCGGAGAGTGTCAGCAGCTCGGACAGCAACAGCTCCAAGGGCTCCATGAGCTCGCGAGGTATTCTGCAGTGGAATCGCAAATGACAAGCTCTCTCGTGAAACGGAGAACAGCTTTGCTTCTTATCTTTCACTCGGCAGTATACGGCTCTGATAACGCGCAATCAGCCCAGAGCCACTTGCTCTACCGCTGCTGCTGCCGCCGCCACTACTTCGGCCCTGCGAACGTGATACACTTTGAACTGGTGTACTCATTTTTTTCGTTCGACTCGACGTACGACCATCCGTTACGACTGCCAACGATGCACATCGACCAAGGATTATTTTTCCTCCCCGTCGTCATCGTCGCTACGTTGTAAACTTGAAGGACGACGTCATATAGTTATATATCTGTAGTCCTGCCTAATCATTCATTTGCGTAAGCAGTCCTCGCACTGCATTTTTTCATAAAAATAACTAGTCAAACTTGCCAAGTATTAATGCACTCTTTTTTTTTTGTCGCAACGCACTGATCATGTATTTGTTGACATTAGCATTGTGTGAATTGTACATCGTCACGTAATTTATTTTGTCGAATGACATTAGTTGTGTGAAAAATTAAGCGAATAAATGAGATTATTTATGTTTAGTTCAAATAGAAAAATGACTTATTTCCTCTTCCTTACCTAAATAGCCTTTACTATGCAGGAGGATTACGTTAGTTAATCCGACAAAAATAAAACACTCGTAGATACATATGACCGCGAATTCGACGCATAGCTCTGATTTTTTTTGTTTGCAAGCGCAACGTGCGTCATCAGACGGCATAAACATTTGAAATGTTCTTTATTTTTCACGCAATTTACAACTTTAACTTACTCGAACTTTCGTAATGAAATTCCCAATGACAATGAAGACTGAAAGATGAATGCCTAATCTTTTTTTTTTGAATGTGTGAACGCACAAATTAAAATTTATCTCTCCGACGTGACGTGGCTTTATTAACGCTTAGTCTTCCGTGTGGTATTTCACTATAACAGAAGAGAAAAATGCTATAAATGATAATACTTCTCCGTTAAAAAATTTACTTTCTCTGGTTTACTTGAATTTTTGATCATTTTCGTTTAAAATAATCGAATTCAGCCCTGTTGGGAATTATTTTTGCGTAAAACTGTTGCATGCAGTTATTAGCAGTTTTAAATTGTTTATAAACGTCAGATTTTAGACACGTATAACAGTTGTTAACAGTTTTTTTTTTCTATCAGTAATAAATATGAAAATTATTAACAGTTATAGACTATTTCGGAAAAATACCTTTTCATCATAAAAAAATTTGCTATTAATAGCAGTTATGAACAATTTTTAAATCAATTCTAAAAATGTATATAATTGCTTACAACCGTAATAAAAAATTAATAATCATATGTGTGATAATTAAGAATTGTTTTAAACACTTATGTATTGTTATTATCATTTAATTTTTTTCGCCTACAAGTACTTTTCTCGTGTGCGGTATTGACAAATTAATAATTACAATTGACTGCAGATAAGAATTAATAATTTTTTATTCTAATAGATAATTGGCGATAAATGTTATTTGCAGTTATGTATAGTTATTTACATCTATTATTTCTTAAAATACATTTGCTTTGATGAATAAAAATGCAAATAACCGTTAATAACTGAAAAAAAACTATTATTATATTATAATGATAGTTTTTTAACAAAGAATAACTCTTTATAATTATTATACGTGTCCATAATGTGACGTTTATAAACGGTTATAAATTATAAATAACTGTTAGGAAATGTTACTAACTGATGATTTTTATTTATTATAATTTTATGCATAAATTATTTCCTGCAGGGAGTAATAAAAAAACTTAGACGGCATATGTCTGCTATATGTCCCTGCTTTAGACGTTTCAGAAGTTAGATCACAATTATTTAAAAAATTTTCTCAATTTTTTCAAGAAAAGCAATGACATCTGGTGTATATGAAAACTTGGTAATTGTTCTAAAACTAAAACTATATATATATATATATATATATATATATATATATATATATAGTTTGGCATTAATTTGATATGTTATTTATTTTAACGATGTATCACATTTTCGGAATCTATCGCAAGTTTACAATTATTATCTTAATAACATGTTTATAATACATCACCCTTGCGAATAAAAAAGAATACTGAAAGAAGCAAACTTAACTTATTCAAATTTTTGACGGGCGAACAATTGTACACAGTTTTATTACACACACATATTATTATGCACAATCATATAATGTAAGAATTAATACACGTTGACTTGCGCCATGTTCTCGTTGACCGGCCTTATTGTTTACAATAGTTTATGTTTCCAATAACACTGTGTACTATTGTTCACACGACAAATTTTCTTGTAGAATAATCTGATAATTGCTTTTTATAAAAATAGATTACTTGATATTTTATTGATATTATAATTTAAACAATATCCGCTTATAAATAATAGCTACACCGAAAAAATATTCTGGCTATTATTGGCTGTAAATATGATTACCTATAGTTACCATAATCTGTCTACGAACCACATGGGCTGACTGTGTGGTACCTATATATATACTGCTATAGTGCTATATTCTGGCGTGGCGTGGCTAATTGATGTTTAGTCGGCAAGCGCACGCACGTGTTTAATGTTCGATAATCGTATATTGTTAATTCGTTCGTGACAAATGACATTATAGTATTTGAAGATGTTAAATGAGCCGAAATTAACTAACACCTCGCTGGATTTTGGCCTACCAGCTAACAAACAAAATGAAGTGAGAGTTATTCGATAAAAACAATCCTGTTGCTATAACCTCTTATTTATTTGATCCATGTTTTTATTTAGCTTCTGCAACGTTTAGGAGATCCGCATGTAAGTTCTTTTAATTACATGATCCACGGTGGTCTTCAAGAAGCGATTAAAACTCTCTTACCAGTGTATTTGACTTTGGCAAGTGGAGACAGAATAGAATTGTGGATTGAAGATGTTCAAATTTATTATCCAACAGTTCCATTGGGTTCGATGGGTGTTAAAAATCATAAGATTTATCCAACTGAGTGTAGGCAAAGAGCTGCTACTTACAAAGGTAAAATGCATGCAAAAATCGGATGGTCTGTTAATGGCAGAAAGCAGGAGACACTGGAAAAAAGTTTGGGTGAAGTGCCTATCATGGTCAAAGTGAGTTGAATTCACTATTATCCATTTTAATAAAAAGATTGTCTTGATAGCTAGTTAAAAGAAATTTATATTTTCAGTCCGACAGGTGTCATTTACAAAATCTAAGTCCTGCAGAGTTAATTAAAGTGAAAGAACACGAAGAAGAATGGGGAGGATATTTTATAATTCATGGACACGAACGTATGATTAGAATTCTTCTAATGACCAGAAGAAATTATCCTATTGCTATTAAAAGATCTGGTTGGAAACAAAGAGGAGATCAATTTAGTGATTTAGGCATCTTATTACGAACTGTGAGAGATGATAATACAGCAACTGTTAGTATTTTTTGAATCTATTCAAAATATTTTGTATTTTGAAATTTTTAATTAAAACTTCGTATTTTTTACAGACAAATACATTACATTTTGTAACGAATGGATCAGCAAAATTAATGTTTCAACATAGAAAAGTTCTATACTATGTTCCATTAATTTTAATGTTGAAATGTTTAATAAATGTTTCTGATATTTACATTTATAAAACTCTAACTGCTGGCTGTGAAGATGATGTGTATTATCAAAATTGCATAATAAATATGATGAGAACAGTTCATGAAAAAGATTTACATACTCATGAACAGTGCAAAGCATATATTGGAAAGATGTTCAGAGTAAAATTGCACGAACTTCCATTAAATGCTTCAGATTCTGATGTTTGTGAATTTATTATCAAGTAATTATTCATAATCAGTTTTGAAATGTATATTCACGAAATAGATACTTTTGATTTAATTCAAATACTTTTTTAATAATAATTTTCAGACATTGTGTAGTTATTCATCTTGATGATCCTGTCGATAAATTTCACTTACTTTGCTTCATGACAAAGAAGCTTTTTTCATTGGCCAGTAACAAATGTATAGTGGAAGGTGCTGATGCTGTGATGATGCAAGAATGTTTACTTGGAGGTCATCTGTACTTACAAGTTATTAAAGAAAAACTCTATTCATGGCTCATTGGCATGAAAAGTGTGATTATTAGACGAGCGAAACAAATAGGCAATAACTTTACACTCAATGTTCGTAAGTATCTCAGCAGATTATACCAGTTTTAAAACATTGAACTAAACCAAATTAATGTTTCAACTTGTAGAGGAAATGTTGACTGTCCTGAAAAGCTGTGGTACATTTGACTCCCAGATGGAGAATTTTTTAGCCACTGGAAATGTTAAATCACAGACGGGATTGGGTCTTATGCAAAATACAGGATTGTCAATTGTTCCCGAAAATATTAACAGAATGCGTTACATGAGTCATTTTAGAGCAATTCACAGAGGTTCATTTTTCCAAGAAATGAGGACAACAGAAGCTAGACAGCTGTTACCTGATGCTTGGGGTAATTAATTATTTTATATTGTCAACTATAACAGTATTTATTTCATTTTTACACTTTCTATAATTCATTATTTTATTTTACAGGGTTTATTTGTCCTGTTCATACACCTGACGGTGCACCATGTGGTCTACTTAATCACTTGACAATGAATTGTATTATCACAAAACACCCAGATCAAAAATTAAGAGATGCCATACCACCAGTTTTATTAGAGTTAGGAATGTTGCCAATTTCTATAGCCGATGATTGGAAAAATTCTTACGCTGTCTTACTAGATGGAAGAGTGATTGGACTGATCAAAGACAACATAGTAGGTAGAGTTGTTGACAAATTGCGTGTTTTCAAAATCAACGAAAAAGTAAGCAAATTATATACATATATATTTTGTCACAAACGTATTTCCATAATGTATAACTTATAATTGTATCGTAGGTTCCATCAACAACAGAGATAGTATTGGTGCCAAAAAAAAATGTTCCATCTCAGTACCCTGGAGTTTATTTGTTTACAGGTCCTGCTCGGATGATGAGACCTGTGAAAAATTTGTCTGTTAATAAAACAGAACTAATTGGAACATTTGAGCAAGTCTACATGAATATTTGCGTGAAGGCTGAAGAAGCTTACGAAGGCGTAATTATTTTTTGCAATATAGCGTGATACGAATAGAAAACATATGTAATTTAAAAATAAAATATTTTAGTTGACGACTCATCAAGAGCTTTCAAAAACCGCTTTTCTCAGTAACTTAGCATGTCTGATACCAATGCCTGACTGTAATCAGAGTCCTAGGAATATGTACCAATGTCAGGTAAAAACTTTGTGCAGCTCTTATTTCATGTAAAATTTGGTTATATCTACGTAAATAAATTAAATTATAGATGGGTAAACAATCAATGGGTACACCATGTCTAAATTGGCAACAACAAGCAGAAACAAAACTATACAGACTACAAACGCCTGCAACGCCACTTTTTCGGCCTGTTCATCACGACAATATTAAATTAGATGAATTTGCCATGGGTACGAATGCAATTGTCGCTGTTATTTCATACACGGTGAGTTAGAAACATTTTAGTAATTCGATTAAAAATAAGCGGTTACGTAAAAAAATTACATTTATTATTTTAGGGCTACGATATGGAAGATGCTATGATTATTAATAAATCAGCACACGAGAGAGGTTTTGCTCACGGTATGATTTACAAATCAGAGTTCGTCGAGTTAAAAGAAATAAATGATTATTTTGCGCGAAATCCTAATGATCCAAAGCTCATCGATAAATTAGATGTCGATGGTTTACCAAATATTGGTACAATTATTAGAGAAAACGACCCGTACTATTGGTAAATTTTTTTTCAATATATTTAGATTAGAAATGCGGAATTAAATAAATAATTTAAGATAATTTTATATTTTAGTTACTACAAGAGCGACCAAAAGTCATTTAATGTAGGAAAATATCGTGGAAAAGAAGACGTTTACGTAGACAATATCAAATTTTGCGGTAATCTTCAAGGTAACTCAACCCGCAAAGTTTGCATAACTTTTAGAGTTCCTGTAAGTATACATTTGTCTGATTCATATTGATGCTTAAATTGTCGGTAATAAAATCATATCTGTTTTGAAAATAGCGTAATCCGAGTGTAGGAGACAAATTTGCTTCGCGTGCGGGTCAAAAGGGTATTTGTTCACAAAAATGGCCAGCAGAAGATTTACCGTTCACGGAAACAGGTCTTATTCCTGATATCGTATTCAATCCTCATGGTTTCCCTAGTAGAATGACAATTGGTATAATATTGATTACAATTTTCTATGACGTAGTATATTTGTTGTATTAATTAATGATAACTAATGTATATTTAAGCTATGATGATCGAAGTAATGGCTGGAAAATCTGGGGCCATTCATGGTTTAGTTCACGACGCAACTCCGTTTAGATTTTCGGAAGAAGATACTGTCGTCGAATATTTTGGAAAATTATTAGAGCAAGGTGGCTACAATTATTACGGAACTGAGCGAATGTATTCAGGAATAGACGGTCGCGAAATGACTGCGGACATATTTTTTGGAATTGTACATTATCAGAGACTTCGTCACATGGTTTCTGACAAGTGGCAGGTACGTGTATTCAAATTTTAATTCTTATTGCTAATAGTGATAAAGCTGCGTTTGTAGGTGAGAAGCACCGGACCAATTGACGTGTTAACTAGACAACCTATAAAAGGTCGACGAAGAGGTGGTGGCGTGAGATTTGGTGAAATGGAGCGTGATTCTTTAATATCGCATGGATGTTCATTTTTACTTCAAGATCGGCTTTTTCATTGCTCTGACAAATACACAGTGAGTATATTGGTACAATTATCAGACACACAAAAGAACGCCAGCGATTCTTTACTCTTATCATTGATGTGATTGTTGTTGTAAATATTCATTTCTTTAGTCACTCGTATGCAAAAAATGTGGTACACTCATTGGACCGATGATGGAAGTAGCAATGGGACGAAATGGCCCTGGAGAGCACAATGAGAGATGTCGTTTATGTGGAGACAAAGGTTTGCTTGGCGAAGTTGATATCCCGTACATCTTTAGGTACTTGGTAACTCAACTCACTTCGTGTAATATCAATGTTAAAATAGATTTTGCGCAAAAGTGACGAAGCTATAGTTTTTCACCGTGTTGAATGAATTTTTACTGTCAAATAAATCGTGTAAATATTTTATAATAATACTCTTTTTATTATTACTAATACTATGACATAGATTTCCTTTTCTTTTTATGATTCAAATAACATTCAAATTTTATATTACACATTTACTATGTGGAAAGTTAGATCATATCTACAAGTTTACATATGTAAATGTATATCTACAATTATAGTCAAGAATATATACACAATTGATGAATTTTTCCAATAATTTAATTATTTTTTTCACAAGATTTCAAAAAGATAACAGCAAAATGGATTTAACAAATAATTAAATACTAATAACAATCCATAAAGACTAAGCTTTGATTCTTTCGAAATATCAATCAGTGTTGTGAAGTTTGTTTTTTTTGTGGAATGTAGCAAACTAAATATCCGATTGAAAGTTGTAAAAATTATCATTTTCACAAACTTCCTTTCATTTGCAAATTTTGATAAGCGATTGTTTTTGAGTCGAGTATAGATGATATAGCAAAAATTAATAATTGATATTATGAAGTAACGACGAAGTACACTTTTATATTGAACATTTTTACCAATTCAAAACCTTTGTAATAATTTTAAGCTTTAGCAGGCACCTGAGTTCCAGCTTTGTTTCCTGGAGCTCCAGCTGTTTGTTCTTTTTCCAATTGCTTTCCAAGATACTCCCTGAAAATATTAAATAAACAGAAGTAATAAAATAGTCACGCAAAAAAGGAAAAATAAACTTACCAGTTATGTACCATCAATTTTTGTACAGCCAAAAGGGCTTCATATCTTACATTAGGATCATCATGACTTAATAGCTGCATTACTCGTTGTTTGCCTCCTAATTGTTCAATAACGCTGTAAAAAATACGTCAATGTAAACACTTTAGAGTCTGATCCCAATCGGTTTTCGGCAAAACTTACTGTTTGCCTCTTGGATAATGTCTCACGTATTCTCCAACATCAAAGCACGCAACACTCAATACCAGAGGATCCTTGCTAGTCTCCAATAAATGTACCAAAATACGAAGAAGCTCATAGTTTTTCTCATTAAGCCGGCTGGAATTTTCTCGCCAGAACTTGCCAGATTTATGCACAGGCGACCATTCCAAACGACCAGACTTCACTTCCGTGGCGTACTCGTCGAAGGAACTTAAATCTTGCACTGATGCTTGCAGTTTGTCATTCAAAAATTCAATATCTTCAGTGATATCCTCATCATCGAATTTACGTTGACTCAGAATGGACAGTTGTTTCAAAACTTTGCATTGGACCATAGCAATGCAGTGTTCCTTTGCAACTTGAGAATCTTCTACCTTCTCAATTAAGTTCTAAAATAAAAATTGAATTGATCGAATGTCTGTAGACGACAATACATTTCGGTGTGAGATAAACTTACTCTGAATACTGCGAGAATGATTCTAGTGACTTTTTCCTTGACCGAGTCGCTCAGAATGTCAGCGAGAATGGGAATGACATTAAATTTATTCATTTTCTCGGCAAGTAGAGGATTAAAAGTGAGCACCCAGAGACAGAATATCAACTGGTATTGAACTTGGAAGTTCACTCTACCAGAAAGAACACTCAAAAGAGTTGAAATTCCATCAACTGACACAAACGCAAAACGATACTCATCAATACGAAGCATCATTTGCAAACATCGAGCCACTGACTGAATGTACTCGTTGTTCTAGATTTGAAATATAAAGTATTATCAGTTACCAAGAACGATATCTAAAATATTTTCATCTACTATAAAATTACTGTCTAGAAAACATAATGGCAAAAAAACTCTAGCAAATCAAAATGTCCAATAGTAGATGCATCAAACATGCATTATTACTTATGCATTATATCGAAAAAATTTAGGAAATATTTTAGTATTAGTACAGTAAATAAAATTCATCGTGCAATTATAAAATAAATGAAATCACTTCAAAAAAATACGAAAAACTTTGTACAACACAATGCCAAAAATATAGATTAATATTGTAAAGAAATAATATATGGAGTACCTATATAGTTTTGATCCATGTAGGTGCATTATAGTTAAAATTAACTTTTCAGTTTGGGAAAAATTTCATTTTTTAATAGAAGTTCCCTCTATTAAAGTGACATTCATGCAATATTTTTATAAACATAATTTGTAAGTAGTTAATTAAATAAAATGTCTTGATCAAATTAATAGAAGGAGCTTCATCCCATTAGTAATTATTAATTAAGATCTCAGCCATTAAGAAATTAATCTTTAGTTATTATGTAACGAACCGGATTGAGTATTTCATGTAACTCATTGGCCTCTCCAGCATCAGTAGGATTGGTCTCCTGTGCTACTTCAGCATGCATGCTTCCCTCTTGAAGGGCTTCAAACTAAAAAACCCACTTTATACCATAACAGTTCATCAAAGTAATTTTTTCACAAGTCACATTTAACCCTTTTGTAAATAGGAAAACAATATTCAATTTTTTTATTCTCACCAGGCCAAAATATTCTGACCAAAGTTCCACCCTTGATGAAAATCAAGGATCATTTTCAAAAAATATAAAAATTTGAAGTTACTTTTATAAATTAAAAAAAAATATAACAAAAGGATTTAGCCATTATTTTCAGAATATTTGAATGTGTTCTTTTATATGCTGTATAAACAATACGTGTGTGCTGACAAAACAATGAAATTATTAATTATTTGTAGATTTTAAATTAAATAGCAAAAGCAATGTTTGAATGTCATTGTGATTATGAGTAAATATAGCTCAAAATAAATAAAAGACAAGTATTGTATTAATTAGTGATTAAAATAAGTGTCAAAATAATATTTTATATAAAGCATCACTACTGCTACTGTAAAAAAGTATAAATAACATGCTGTGACATACAAGCAATATTTTGCAAAAGAAAGAAAAGCCAAATGTTAATTTCGTAAAAGCCAGAAAAAAGCATTAAAAAATTTACATAGATGAAACTACTATTGGTTACTATTCAAACTACAATATTTCTAAAACTTATATACTACAACTACATAACTATTGTAACTTAAAAACTAGATGGATTTGTCTAGCTCACATTTAAATTACATTGATTTACTACACAAAATAAAACATAGTAACACTTAAATGGAAACCAACTTAAAATGCTATGAGTGTTGAATCTATAAACCACTTACACTCAATTTGAGTTGATCTTTAAGCCAAGTAAGATAAAACTGAAGGTCAGTTTTCTCCATAAGATCATGACTCCAGCATGCCAGTTTGGCAATGATTCGAGCTGTCATATTCATAATAAAACCATCCTGTCTATTCAAGAGATTTAAAAATGGTCCCCATACTGATTCTCTTTTACGGCTAGAGTGCTCTTTAAAAATTTCAACACGGCTTCGATTTTCCTATAAATGTGATCAATAATATTTACTCAATCTACAAATACAAAGAACTAATTTATTTGAATGAGTGTAAAATTACCTGCAACATATCATCAATCATAGTAAGAATGTACTGGATAGTTTGATCTTTTGAAACATGGCCAAGCAAGTTGAGGAAAGCTTTAGCAGCTTGTCCAGGATTTTCCTTCAGTTTGGCTTCTCTTGCAGCAGAATCGTTAACGTCAAAGGCAACTATGAAGTCGTAATCTTCTTTTGATATCATCTGTGACCTAAGGACAAAATTGAAATTAACATTTTAAAAGATTCTAAAAACTTTTGTTTCATTTCAATACAACTATAAATAAATACAATGTCTAAATGTATATTATCACTGTGAACAAACCATATATCAAATTTTGTTATTTTGTTATTTTAGTTATCAAAATTTTGTTTCATTTATGCAAAAATGAAAATTATACTTACTGAAGGTAAGACTGCCAATTTATGCGCTGAGTCCTAATGTCAGCCGCTTGCTGCTGCAGAATACTAGTGGCAGCCAGCATATCTAATACATGAATTCAATAAAAATATTGGTAACAAATGAGTAACAATACACTCAAAATCAGATTACAAAATGTTTAACATGACAACAATTGAGTTCTGCATCAGCAAAGTAACAATTCAGAAACAAAAATTCGTGTGGGAGGGGCTTAATCACTTTTTTAGTACGAAAAGACTTCACTTACCAATATTCTCGTCCGGGAGAATCATCTCCTTGATTTTCGTACTATTCGCCATGATAAAACGATTGCTGTTTTCTCACGTTAGTTTCGATACACACGTTTATTAATTTTAATGCCAGACAGACAAATATATTAATTTCAGGAGCGCCTAACACAGTTACTTCATGTTCGATCACAAGTCAGGTCACGAGATTGGTCGTAGTCGCGTGAACATCGTTGCGGATCCCTTCTGCCACTACGATGACGTCATAAGTACACGTGATGCTGTGATTGAGTGTGTATATTTTAAATCAAGCATCAGCTGATTTGTATTTTGGTTTTTGAGAGAACATTTTCTATCTTTATGTGGGTTATATAAGCGCTGATTATCTTGGAATTGTCTGTGATAAATATTTAAATTAAATCGATGTCAATATTTAATAAATAGCTAATATCAGGTAGAAATAATAATTTCTAATTATCAGTGTCAAATGACTTTTATATGTAAAAAATGATAACTAATTAAGTTTTATAAATAACTTATCGTTTCCGATAAATATAGTTTAACTTAAAGGAAATAAAGCGTGTAGTAAATGCAAAAATTAAAATAGCGCGGAAAAACAGTCAACCACCTTGATAAACGGCCAACTTCACAGACTTTTCTAATTAAATTTGTTGATCGGTTCACGGCAGAATCAGCAAATAATATTCGTTCATGTATTCCGCACCGTTTCGATAAAGTAAGCCTGATAGCAGAAAAAAAGGCGATGCTGGTGTGTAGCAAACAGTGAAAGAAGATTCCAAAGTGAGAACGGCGTATATTTGAGTAAGTCAAAGTGTTGAGCCACGTCGCCGCCGGTAGAGCCTGGTTGCTGACCTCGCCGTTGACCAGGCAAGAAGGCCAAAATATCAACATGCTGTCAGCCGCGGCGAATACTCTCTCCAATAATGGGAGTTCATATAGCAACGATCGAGCCTCTGCAGCTGAACCTGAATTGGCCACTGATCTTGCCTCCGGGGGTTTTTTTCATGCTGATTATAAGAAGTAAGTTTTACATTTTTCTCTATGTAATCTTATAAAATATTTTTATAAAATATATGATTACTTATTAAGACTCTATTTGACAGACATGATGACTTGAAACAGATGCTTGATAGTAACAAAGATAACTTGAAGTTGGAGGCTATGAAAAGGATCATTGGGGTAAGCTTAATTATCAATATTTATTGTTAATATTAACAAAATTTACTATATTTTCTCAATATTCTTCAGATGGTAGCAAAAGGAAGAGATGCATCAGATCTTTTTCCAGCAGTAGTTAAGAATGTTGTATCAAAGAATATTGAGGTAAAGAAGTTGGTTTATGTATATTTAGTTCGATATGCAGAAGACCAGCAGGATCTAGCACTTTTATCAATATCTACATTCCAACGAGCATTGAAAGATCCAAATCAATTGATTAGAGCAAGTGCCTTAAGAGTCCTTTCTAGTATAAGGGTTTCCATGATAGTACCAATAGTCATGTTAGCTATCAAAGACTCTGCCAGTGACATGTCTCCCTATGTCCGAAAGACTGCAGCTCATGCTATTCCTAAGTTGTATTCTCTAGACCCAGAGCAGAAGGAAGAATTGATTACTGTTTTAGATAAACTTTTATCTGACAAGACTACTCTAGTTGTGGGATCTGCTGTGATGGCTTTTGAAGAAGTATGTCCAGATAGAATTGATCTCATACACAAGAATTACAGAAAACTTTGCAATTTGTTAGTGGATGTTGATGAATGGGGCCAAGTTATTATTGTGAATATGTTGACTAGATATGTTAGGAGTCAGTTTACCAATCCTAATTTAGATGTAAGCTTAAATTAAATTTTAAAAGCAGGATATTTTAAATTATTTAAAAATTTTTATTTGTTATGTAATTCTAGGATCTAGAAGAAGATGATAATCAGAAGCCTTTTTATGACTCTGACACAGGCTCAAATGATGCTAAAAAGCCAAAAACATCAATTGACTTGGACCACAGATTACTTTTACGTAATACAAAACCTTTACTGCAAAGTCGAAATGCTGCAGTGGTAATGGCAGTTGCACAATTATACCATCACACAGCACCTAGAAGTGAAGTTATGGTTGCTGCAAAGGCTTTAATAAGATTGTTGAGAGGTCATAGAGAAGTTCAAAGTATAGTATTCAACTGTATTGCAACTATCTCTGTTACAAGAAAGGTATGTTCATAATTTGACATCTGAAACCAATAAACCAATACACTGTAAATATTTTACTTTACTTATATTTACTTTTAGGGAATGTTTGAGCCATTCTTAAAGTCATTTTTCGTCAGAACGTCTGATCCAACTCACATAAAACTACTTAAATTAGATATTCTAACTAATCTGGCAACAGAAAGTAGCATTAGTGTAATTTTGAGAGAATTTCAAACATATATTTCAAGCAGTGATAAGGAATTTGTTGGTGCTAGTATTCAAGCTATTGGCAGGTGTGCAAGTAATATCAAAGAAGTCACAGAGACATGTCTTAATGGATTAGTATCTTTACTGAGCAACAGAGATGGTAAGAAAGGATTGAATACTATTTGAATATTATTCAGTTTTTAGATATAACGTTGATAACTTGATTCAAATTGTTATTGTAGAAGCTGTAGTGGCAGAAAGTGTAGTTGTCATAAAAAAGTTATTACAAACTCAACCAAATGAGCACAAGGATATAATAGCTCATATGGCCAAATTAATGGATTTTATAACAATACCTCAAGCTAGAGCATCTATCCTATGGCTGCTAGGAGAATACTCAGATCGCGTTCCTAAAATTGCACCAGACGTCTTGAGAAAAATGGCAAAAACCTTTATAAACGAAGAGGACATCGTGAAATTACAAACGTTAAATTTAGCCGTCAAATTGTTTCTTAATAATTCCGAACAGACGCAAAAAATCTGTCAATATGTCTTCCAGTTGGCAAAGTATGATCAGAACTACGACATTAGAGATCGAGCACGTTTCCTTCGTTACTTTATTTTCGAAGACGAAGATAACGGTAACAAGAAATTACCTCAGCATGCAAAACAGATCTTCCTTGCGCATAAACCAGCTCCAACTCTGACGTCTCAGTTCAAAGATTCACAATTTCAACTTGGCTCACTGTCACACTATCTGAATATGCCTTGCACTGGCTATCGTCCATTACCAGACTTCCCAGAAGTGCCACCGGATCCAAAGGTTCGTGATGTTCCCGATACTACTGTTTTGCTAGAAGACAAAAACGTTAAACATTACAGTAAGAAAGAGAAAAAAGAGAAAAAATCTAAGGAAAAAGAGGAAAGCTTTTACAATGATGAGATTAAAAATTCCTCTGAAGAAGGTATCATTTTTCTATTGATCAGCGTGTGTATAACTTTTTATTAAATGTATTTAATTTAAATTGGTACTTTTCAGATGACGAAGAAGAGAGTAGTAGCGATTCAGACAGCGATTCATCTAGCGATGATGACAGCAATACATCGAATGAAGAATCGTCTTCAGCTTCGGAAAAATCCGAAAAAGAGGTAAAGAAAGGGATGAAAAGCAAAAATACAAAGAAAGGCGATGACAACGATGAAGTAGATGAAAGTGATTCTGATGAATCGAGTAGCGACGAGTCGTCTTCGGATGATTCCGGTTCGAAGAGTGATACGGAAGAAAGTTCGCCTGAAAAATCAACGCCTACCCCTGCAGTTAAATCTAAGACTGACAATAAAATAGAGAAGCCAAAAGAGAAAAGTAATCTTGATTTACTTCTGGATTTGGACGATGGTAGGATAATTAGTAACATTTTTTTCATTAAATTGCTGAATTAATTTCTAATCGTAAAATGTACATTTTAGTTGCACCCATGACTCCAATAATGACGCCAAGCTTAGGTGGTTTTCTCACACCTATGTTGCCAACGTCGACAATTTCTTCGAATGGTGTTAAAGAAGTGTCGCCTTCATTTATTTCACTTCGAAAGTACGAGCTATTTAATAAAGTCACCGGTCGTGGTTTGAAAGCCGAGTTTCGATTTACTAGATCGCAACATATAATTAGCTCGGCTATGGCTAATATCGAACTTACTTTTACAAATGAAGGTAGTGAGGCGATAACAGAAATTCGAGTTGGCAATAAAGTAATAATCATTGATATATGGTAAACGATTGATTTATAGAATTCAAATTTATATTGTATTTTCATTTTTAGAATTTATCAACTGGAATGGTTATTCATGACTTCTCGCCAATCTCAGTACTTCAACCATGCATGTCTTTACCTTGTAGTTTAGGTATCAATTTTAATGACTCCACTCAACCTGCCTCATTTAACATTGATTACAAAATTAAGCATGAGCAAACGTCTCGTACTGTTGAAATAAGAGCCCCAATTGGCGAAATTATGAGATCTGTACTTCTACCTGAATCAATGTTTTTGTCTCAAAAAAATAAGCTAAAAGGTATGAATGAACATAGTACTATAGTTAATTACTCTGGAAATAGAAAAAGTTTATCTCAGAAGATTCTGGAAGCTGCTAATTTAGCTGTTATTTCAAGTGATGATGATACCATTAGGTAGGTTATTTAATAAAAATACATTATATACTCTAATTATAAATTTCAGTAAATAATTGTATTAAAAATTATTAATTTTCAGGTTTGCCGCTAATACTCTATCTTCCAAGTCATTAGTTCTAGTGACAATTAAAACAATGAACGATAAAGATTTAAATATTTGTATAAATTGTGAAAAAATGGTGATAGGTTCGATGTTGCTAAATGAACTAAAGAGTAATTTAAAGTAAATATTAGTCCTGAAGAGTATAAAGAAAATGTTCTATTTTTAATGTTAACATACTAATCAGTGTTTAAGAATTATTTAAATTGTATAGATATTTTAAAGTTTTATCAGTCGCGATTGGTGCAATGCTGTAACATAATACGTACTATATCATCTTAGATCATAACTCATTTTTTACTGTAAAAAAATGAATATCCATTGGAAAAAACATGAAACAATGCAATTTTAAACCTTGCGATTTAATTATTATACCCGCATTCCTCGATGTATTGATGTTTTAGGCGCTACAGTAGTGACAATCAGGTCAAAAATAAGAGCGGATATATATACAGGTATCGTGCATTGATGGCGCTCTCAGCGCGGGCTACTGCTAGAGAGAGGAGAGCAAAAGAGAGAGAGAGAGCATACAGGCTCAAAATGGCCGCTCCTAAGTGAGTGTGAGCGGCCGCAGCTGCGTCCTCGTCCGTGGTCTGTAGAACAAAGTTAGTGTGTGCGATCCAGGTGGCTGGTGGAACTTGTGCCGAGTTGATCTTAGAGTCGTTCTCCATAACAATTTTAATATCAAGTGTGAGTGTTACCATTGTGAAAAATCATTGTTGATCAGTTGTTTTTTCTCCGTCTTGTTCGAGAAGGTGTGGAATGCGGGCGGTGCTCCGAATTTCTAGAGAGCTCGACGTCTTCTCCGTCTCTCTCTCTCTCTCTCTCTCTCTCTCTCTCTCTCTCTCTCTCTCTCTCTCTCTCTCTCTCTCTCTCTCTCTCTCTCGCTCTCTCTCTCTCACTCTCTCTCGCTCTCTCTCTCTCACTCTCTCTTTCTCTCTCTCACTCTCTCTCTTTCTCTCTCTCTCTCTCTCTCAATCTCTTTCCCTCTCTATCATCTTATTCTGTCTGTCTCTCTTGTTGGACCAAATAAGAGAGAGAGAGAGAGAGAAACACCTTTTGCGCTATAATTGGTTTTGCGCTTTTTGCTTTTTACGTCTCACATACTTTTTTGAAATGCTAATTTATGAAAATGCGCTGTACTGCCTCGATGTAAATTTGAACCGACAGTTAATCTATATTTTTGGACGGACGAGACAGTCGTGTCGGCCGAATTTGTGTCAGTGAGAAGTAAAAGTGCTCCGTTTTTTTTTTAATTACTCGTTTTTTCCTCTTTCACTTTGGCTGTGCGTGGTTTTCGTTAATTAAGTATGCTGGGTACAATTCGGGAAATTAGAAAGTTTTTGAAACGAATCCGATTAGAATGCTTATTAGGTGTGAAAATTACCATTAAAATAATCTGTTTTTCTATGCCATAAAGCTCTCAAATGAAATTTGCAAGATTGATGTGAAAAGAAAATTATGGTGCATCAAACTTACAATTAAATTGTTTGCTTATTATGCATTTGGCTAAAATGTGCATGTGTCAAACCATTGCGAATACGTAATGATATAAATGAATGAGAATGTATTCGTCAAATACATAATACATCCATTTCCATCCAATTTGTCAAAACCTTTATCAGGAATTAAAGTGTCATTTTCTTTCATACTTAGAATATATTAGTCATATCAAAAAGTAAAATGCTACTAAGCTATGATCTCATAAAAGTTACTTGACAGAATCAAAGTACATTCATGTTCACAGCTTTATTACACCTGTAGTCTATAGTAAAAGCTTGTGAAAATTTATTAGAACTGGAAGTTTATGTTTGCCAAATGGTTCATGTGGAAGCATTTACTGTACAAATAATGTCAGTGAAAGTTGAAAATGAAATTTTTTAAATTATCTTTTTAAAAAAGTAGACTAACACTACATGAGACATAATAAATTATTCTGTATATATTTTTAAATTGGTGATAAATAAACATGTTTATTCTTGTTTTGTTTCAGATAAGAAATAAAGATTAAAATGGGACTAAATTCACTATAAAAAGTAAATTATCTTCTGTTACATTCTTAACAAATAATCATTAATTTTCGAAAGTTTGCCAAATAGAAGATTAAAAAATCATGGAATTACGTATTTTTGTGAAAAATTTATTCAAAAATCAATACGTATTTCAGTCGATTCGAGCTACGTAATTGAAAAAAAAAAAGATTCGATTTAGAAGTACCGGGAAAAAAGTTTGGCGAAAAGATTGCCAATTCAATCAATGGATGATGTTGATTGCAATTGTAGATTGCGTACGACGACCGTGCAGGTGAGTGAGCCAGCAGTTATGCCAACATACCACAATGTGGGCTATCCGAATGTGTCAGCGGCGGCAGGCCGTCACCACCATGGCAAGCTCGACGGCAACCAGAATCACCATCATCACCCGCACTATCCCCACCATCATCACACGACAATTCCGTCGCATATAGCAGCCGCGACCTCGCATATTGTATGTCCAGCACCACTACCGTCTTACGGCGAATCACGTCATCACCATTCATCAATCATCCCCTCGTCCACCACGGCTACCCCAATCGCGGCGACACCTTCGACGACGTCGTCGACCATGACGACGACAACGTCCGCCAACATGGCAAGTCTCGCCGGTGCTGGACCACCCAACAGTCACAACGTCAACAGTAATCTTCCCGTGCAGAACAATGCTACGAGGCACGAGGTCAAACTCAACGCCATGCCGTACGTTCGATCAACCATATTTTTCCATCTAATTCTGCATATGATCTCGTAACTTTTAGCTCACAGCGAGTGACCCGTATTTATCAATGTCTACAAATCTGCCGCTTGTCTATAATTAAAACGCATTTGGCTGAGCTAACTAAAAGGGCTCAAGCCTCTTCTTGCAATTCATTCGATGAAGATTATAATTTTTCAACTATAAAAAAAACGTATAAAGTCTCTGGCACGTTTTTTTTTAACTATTGAGGGAAATATTTGTGCAAATAAGCGACGATAATAATCAAGAGTACAATTAAAAAAATGATTCGTATCTGTCTGCAATATGCGAGATGATTACTCATGCCGCAAAAGTGTGTATGTGTGTTATTGGGTTATTGTGTGTATGTATGTGTGCGCGTGTGTGCATGACATGTATGTTTTGATTATACTAGTGTGATTCAATGCAACTAAAATTAAAAACGTGATTCTCGGAGTGATAAGTCACGTTAAAACGATAATAACCTACATGTTTTTCTTCTGATTGCAATGAAATTCAGAGATTGAGCAGTTTGCTTAGTGTGAAACATTGGAAAGTAATAAAAGAATGACTGAGTAGCAACTTTCATTTTTGAAGTAAATTGCATGAATACTATATTGAATTGGCAGATGCCCACCTATATTGTTTATAAAAAGAAGCCATTAAAACATCTACAAATTTGATTGCGCTCATCACTAATAATTTCGTTTTCTCGTATGCTCGCAGGTGGTTTCACGGCAAAATAACCCGTGAGACGGCGGAACGATTACTACGACCACGAGATAATGGGCTTTTCTTGGTACGCGAGTCAACTAATTTCCCAGGCGACTACACGCTGTGCGTTTGCTACCAGGGCAAAGTTCAGCACTATCGAGTCAAGTATAAGAACAATCAGTTAACCATTGATGACGAAGAGTTTTTCGAAAATTTGGCTCTCCTTGTTGAACATTATGAACAAGATGCCGATGGTTTGTGTACGCAACTAATGAAACCACTGCCGAAGCAGGGCAAACAAGACTTTTGCGTCGATCCAAAAGCTTTTATTGAAGCCGGTTGGGTGATACACACGGACGAGCTTGAGCTACGAGAGTGTATTGGCAAAGGAGAATTCGGTGACGTGCTACTTGGCGTTTATCGTGGCGAGAGAGTTGCTGTAAAGATGCTCAAGGACAACAGTGAGGCCGCTCAAAGGTTTCTAGCTGAGGCGAGTTTGATGACTTCCCTCATACACGACAATTTGGTTAAACTTCTTGGACTCGTGTTTAATAACCAACACATGTATCTGGTCACGGAGTACATGAGTAAGGGTTCACTTGTCGATTATTTGAGATCGAGGGGACGACAGCACGTGTCTAAAAAGGATCAGATTAATTTTGCGTACGACACTTGTGCCGGTATGGCTTATTTGGAATCGAGGCACGTCGTGCACCGAGATCTTGCCGCGAGAAATGTTCTTGTAGCCGAGGATAATTCAGCCAAAGTATCAGATTTTGGACTTGCCAGGGATGAGAATTTTTCACTTGACGGTGGGAAGCTACCCATCAAGTGGACTGCTCCCGAGGCGCTCAAACAGAATGTGAGTTGATTTTGTGTGATGTATTGTTTGTATTTTACAATTTGTATTATTTGGTATCCGAACGTTTTCAACTTTTATTGATGTTCGTTATCGCATTGATATGGACTTGAATTTATCTTATCGATTTTACAGATTTTATTGTTTCGATAACAGAAAGAATTCTAAAGTGTTATTAAGTTTCAATTTCTTTTGAACATTGATCAATAAACATTGAAAAGTACGGTTTGGTATTGATAAAATAAATTTTTAATATACAATAAGACAGTGTGATCGTTTCATTTTTCAGTTACGTAAACTAAAGAAAAATTATCGGTTAAATTATCAGAAATTTATCAGAAACGTTAAAAACGTTTAAAATGTCAATCTAATTATAAAATATTGAGAAGTACTATTATATAACTATTTTTACCCTTTCTTATTTCAGAAATTCTCCAATAAATCTGATATGTGGAGCTTTGGCATACTTCTGTGGGAAATTTATTCGTTTGGTCGTGTGCCCTACCCAAGGATAGTAAGTATAATTAATCTATATCCTATTCTAATCCGCATAGCAGAACGAGCAGTGCATAACGAGCTCATTGTTCTCTAGTGAAACTACTGGTATATATAAACTGACAATGTTTTTAACATTATTGCAGCCGCTCATTGATGTGGTTAAATGCGTTGAAAAAGGATATAAAATGGAGCAGCCCGACGGATGTCCCACCGAAGTATATGAGATTATGAAACAAGTACGTTTTAAACTACTTCCATCATTAAGTAATTGCTAAAAGCGGTTTATTGATTAATTTCATTTGTTTCAGGCTTGGGATTTGCAACCCGAAAAAAGGCCAAATTTTCATGATATCAAAGTCATTCTAGGACAGCTAAAACATGAGTACACCAAAGGTGTCAATTAAACCTCGGCTGTTTAGCCATTTAGTACATCTGGCCTAGTCCGAAGTAATATTGCAAACACGATAATCGTCCTAGACAACTTTCAACTCTCGGACTCGCAAAGAGGAGATGGAAAAAAAGAAAAGAAGTCAGATGAATTTTTTCTTCTCTTCCGTTGTATATTGATCATAGGCGTTTCCGTTCGCGTGTATTTATTGTATTATTCATTATGAAGCAAGGGTCGTTTTAGATTTTTTCTTTCTATTGTAATTTAAGTCTATGAGCTTGTCGGTTGTAATAATTTAGTCATGAGATACTATTAATTTTTAGTCCTGATGCTTATAAAGCAGTAAACAAATTTTTATATTATTCAATTATGAACGCTGCTATCAGCTTTTGCTTTTAATAATTCTATGAGCAGCTTATGATGACCGCATAGATTTGATGGAAAAACTGATTTTAAATCGAACAATGCATAAAGTCATATTGCATATCAATTATGACTCATTAGCTTTTTGTTAAACATCTATTAACGCAGAGGTATTAATTTTGCAGTAACGTGTTAATATTTGAAAAAATCCCGTTACTAATTAAAATTAATTATACAGTGTGTTGTTTTTGAATAGAAAAATATTCATTAACTAATTTTCGCACAAAAATTAACACGTCTTTAGAGTTGTACATTTACTATTGTAAATATTTTTGTATATATTAAATTTTCAAAAAATTATGTTCCGTACTAGAGACTCGTTTTAAACAATTGAAGATCTAAAGCTGAAGTAATCAAGGAGAAGGTCCATGTTATAATTTTAAGCTTACAAACGATATCTTGAAAGAAGTAGATACTCGCATTACAAATACTACTTCTATAAGGCTGAATACTTCTTGTTGCAGTAACGAAATCTAACTATATAAACCGTATCTTTAGATATTATTTCATTTATGGAGGTTGTGTTGATCTCAACGGCAAGCTCTCTGTACTTTATGAAGTGCTACGCGAGAAAATAATTACGATATGGTCGAAGTCTCTTTTATTTCGAAACTCTATGCAATTCAAAACTTAAATAAAATCTTATTTATTTCCACAACCTTTGTAAATGTAAAAGTAATTTATGCAGTTACAAAAAGGCGCATGCCTGTGTGAATCTACTCAAGTACGCGTGTGTGTAAAAATGTAAAGGCAAAAATGCGAGAAAAATAAATACAGTTTTACAGAAGATCTTTATAAACATAAATGAATTGTTAAGCGATATTAAAGAACACAAAATGTGGTGAAATTAATTCGAAGCTAGAATTTAATACTGCACTTATTTATATTTTAGTATTTTGTCAATTGCTAATAATACGTTCGGCCCACTCGATCAATTTTAAGGAAGAGCTCTATTCAACAGTGACCGTTAAATAATAAGTGGCTTTTTTATAAATTTACACTTTTATAAATTTATACAATTCAGGTTTTTAAGTGAATATGTTTCAGGATTAGTTACCACTACAAAAATGTCTTCGTCTTTTGAATATCATGTTTTACTATGCACAATAGACAATATTGATGCGTGTTAGTTGTCCTAAAAATATTCCTTAAGAAAAATCGTAGAGGTCGAACTCAATGAAATAAAAACATGAGATTAAAAACGAATAACAAATATAGGTACAACACCTAAGGCTAACTTAAAAAATGATAAAGTATCCAATATACTGATAATCAATTGATATCTTACAAAATTAAGTAAAAGTCTTATGTTGTTCTTCCCTCGAAATTTACTCGAAAAAGCATTTAGTAGACTAAAGACAAATGTTATTAACAATTTAAAAGTATAAAGAAATAAGCAGCTATCGAAGTTCGTGATAAAAAATATTTCTTTTTTGAAATTATAATGGTATTGCATTCTTACATCAATCATCGTTGTGGATGAAAAAAACAATTAAACTGGAAAACATTAATATTTTTTTTCTAATTTTTAAGCGTTTTATTTATTATGCAATTTTTATCGATTCAGATCTTCAAATTTACAAATCGTTGTTTATATTAATTTCATTGATATGGCTTCAATGGTCTTTGTTATGTAATATTAAAAGTACATAAATTATATACTAATACGATAGTGTTTCGTTTGTTTTTCTAACATCATTGTAATGCATCCGTCCCCTCTTCCTTATATCAAAATAATATTGTTTGCACACTTCAGAAAAATATAAATGCATTTCAAGTTTACAATAATGTGCATGCATATAATAGAAATTAGATCTTTTCACCTTGAAGGATTTTTCTTATTTTTTTCAGTATTCACTTTTCAATTTATAAAAAAGTCCTTGTACGTGTTTATCTGTATCTTCATTCACTCAATACAATTATTGATGTTACGACTTCAGCATCTTTATAAAAATGTCAGGACTGATAAAAATTTTGAAGGCGCAAGATATTGAGCCTAAAACGTTCGCTTACCATGCGACATCATCTCGGAGATCGATAGAGTCATCATCGTTAACATCTTTTTCGCATGTTGTCTCTTTGGAATTGATGTAAGTGGTTTCCGGGCTGCCAACATGCGGCTTCAGTAGCAATCTCTTAAAACTCGTTATGCATATCGCCGCGAACGGATCGGGCGAATCGAAATGTTTGCTCGTTGTAGTGCTGCCATACAAGTAATCTCGCAAGTTGCTACACTGATCCTGCGATCGAGAATTAGATGAACGCATATCCCTTGCATTTGAATTTGAAATTCGAATAGTCAATTATCTCTCACACTTCACGAACATACAACGGGCAGATCGCGTCGCCTCTGCATTTCATGCTCGACCTGTTGAATCTTCCTCTGCACATTGGCGAGCCGTGCTTCGGCGACTCTTCTCTGCGAGGCACAAGCAGCGAAACTCGCGTTCACTCGCTCGTCGCATTCTCGCTCTCTGAATGTCGCTAACATCTGCCTCAACTCATCCTCGGGTTTGAGCTCCAATAGAAGGCGATCCAGAGGTTCTCCAGCCTCGACGCCGCAATTCTTGTCCTCCATCAACCGCGCGCTCGCCAAATTCTCAATTAGAGCCTTGAGGATGTTGCACTTCAGTTGGACTGTGGTGAGCACAGGAATTATTCGCGGAATCGTCGACGATGACGTCAAGTAGAGTCCCAAAAGCTTTGTCACTTCGCGACAGTTGCACGACTCGCGAAGAAGCCCGTCTTTGGGTAATTGACGAATACACCTATCAAACAAACAAAAATAAGTACGAGTATTACACGGGGACGAGTGAATCGTTGAACCTCATGGCCTTGTCCATAATTTCGTCAACGGAATCCGGGACGTTGGAGGCAGGAACCCGCTTCAACAAGATCCGGGTGATCGCCGAGGGCACGACACCCTGGATGGCCAGCAGCTGCGATATCATGGCCTGCAGCTGAACGGACGCCGGGCAGTTCTTCTGACTGCACACCGTGCCGTCGAGCTTGTTCTCTTGGCACACGTGCCCGTCGTTCCAGCTCGGCCCGGCGATCTCCAGCGAGCCGCTCGAGCCGCTCGAGCAGCGCGACCTGCCGCCTTTGCCGCTGCTGCTCGCGCAGTTGCAGCTGTCGACCTCGCCGGAGGACGACGAGCCTCCGGCGGCTTTGGGACATCGAGCGTCATCGTTTGACTTCCGAAGCGTCGCGGCGCCCGTCGAGCCAAGCTGCTTACCGAAGGGTTGGTAGACCGGGAACGGCATCGGGTACGGAATGCAGGTGGGCGAGAAGCACGGAGTGGGGCAGGCGGTCGGCGCGCTGCTGCCGCTCGTCAAGCTGCCGGCCGGCAGAATGAAAATCGGCGTGCTGCCGGGCAGCGAGCGCAGCTGGTCCAACAGGTTGGCCGGCAAGTAGCAGCCAACCGAGGACGGGTACGACGACGCGGGCGCGGCTGTCTCGAAGGGATTCGCCGCACAGGGCGCTGCATTTGTCGGCGGGCAGGCGCCTCCGTACGGCTGTTGCTGCCGCTGCTGCTGCTGCTGCTGCTGATTAGCGAAAAAATTGCCTGCCGGAAAACCCAACGTTTTGCCACGCTCATTCCCGCTTTCGCGCTCGAACCGAAGCCTCTTCGCGGACGTAATCACCTTGCTGGTTGAACAGGCCGCTGGCTTTCATTGGCATGGGCTGACAAAAGTTTTGGGTCTGCTGCGCCATCTGCTGCTGCTGCTGTTGCTGCTGCTGCTGCTGATTATATCCCGAGAGTGCGCCGAAAGCCGAGTGCAAGTGGGTCATGCTTGTTCCGCCGATAGGCAAGCTTATCTCTGGTTTTATCGGCGGGACCTTTGCTCACTGTGAATTTTGAGGTTCGCGGCCTCGCTGCGACGATCGACCCGAAGTTGGCTCAGAGGCGCAGGCGCGCTGCAAGTGCGCGGCGACGGGAGCCGCCGGTGCCGGTCGGAACGACGCGCGTGCCGTCCGTGGCAACGAAGGGCGGGCGAGCAAGAGGGAGGGCGTCGCGCGGCGATCGGGAACGCGCTCCCGTCGGGGCACGGGGCATCCGGTCGTCGCGTGATCCGCCGGTGACCTACTTGGCTGTGGCGCGTGCGAGAGAGGCGCGCAGCTCGCGGCGCTTATCGCGGAGCGCAGTATAGCCACGCAGTCCCGAGCGGCGCGAGAGATGAGCTCGACGCGGCCGGCGGACGAGGCGAGGTTCGTCGAGGCGGACCTGCTGCCGGAGATGGTGCACGAGCGCTGCTTCTGCGAGGCGGGCTCGCGGGAGTTCGTCGAGTTCGAGTCGGCCAGGGTCGCGCCGCTGCGGCCGGAATCGCACCAGCTGCGCTGCGCGCTCTACCGGGCCGAGCTGGTCGTGCGGTTCTCCGGCGAGCCGCGCGCCTTCCGCGTGCTGGTGAAGCTGCTGCCCGAGAGCGCGCCCGGCCAGACCGACGCGGAGCTCGAGCTGGCCTACCGCGGCTTCCTCAACGAGGAGATCGCGTGCAACAAGGCGAGGCTGCGGCTCGGCGCGGAGCTTTATCCCAAGATTTATCTGGCCGACATGGGCAAGTACGGGCGACCGGTGGTGGTGGTCGAGGACCTCGAGCGCGCTGGCTACTACCGCGTCGCCGACAGAGAATTCAGCGTGGAGGAGGCAAGGGCGGTGCTGCGATCGATCGGCAGCTTCCACGGCAAGGGGATGGCGCTCAGGCAGAACCAGTTCGCCGCGTTCCGCGAGTTCACTGCCAAATTTCAGGAGATCACGTTCGCCGAGGCCGTCGAGGCTGACACCAGAGCCAAATACGCCGAGTGAGTTTCTTTGATCTCGGCATTACTCGAAAACTAGTAAGCTGCTTGTACATTCCTTTTCCCTCCATTCGGACGTCAATTTTCGTCGAATCGCAACGTCTCTTCGTTCGACACTTTTTAATCAAGAGGCACGTTACGCATTCGAGGAACTTCATCAAAGTTCACTGTCGTCGCCAGAGAAGCTGCTAGAACGTAATGTCGCGCGGACACGGGCGAGCAATTGAGTTTGCCGCGAAACTCGTTAATTCGTTCGTCTCTCCTCCCACCCCCTCAGATTCATCGAGCAGCTGCGATACATGACGGCGAGGATGGACGACACGGAGGTGGCGCAGACGGCGGAGCGCGTGCTGACGAGCGACCCGTACGCCAAGTGCCGATCGGCCACGCAGAGCGTGGACAGCGCCGAGGCGACCGCGACGATATGCCAAGGCCTGCTGCTGCGCGAGAACCTCTGGTTCCGGCGGCTGAACGGCCGGACGGAGGTGCGGGCGCTCGACTGGCAGCGCGTCCGGCACGGCTCGTGCGGCGTGGACCTGGCGACGGTGCTCGCCCAGTGCCGCTTCTACGACTGGAAGCTGCTGCTGCGCGACTACGCGGCGGCCGTGCGCCGGGAGCAGCCGACGCTGGACGCGGCGCAACTCGAGGCGGGCCTGGCCAGTCCCGGCTTCCCGCACGCCTTCCTGCTGCTGTCGCTCGCCGACCAGTCCGAGCTGCCGCCGCTCACCGTCCTGCACGGCGCGTTCGCCCGCGGCTTCGCCGAGCGAGTCGAGTCGCCTGCGCGCGAACCCATTGTGCTCCGCGCTGATGGAACTCAATAAAAGGCGTTCACTCGCTGTCCTCCTGTTCTCCATGCGCATCCCCGCGTCTGTGTGTGTGTGCGCGCGCGCGCGTGTTTCCGCGTAGCCCCACGGCTTGCGAGTCCGTTGCGAAACTTGGGACGGCTTTTTCGAAAGCACGCGGCCGATTTGCAGAAGCGCGCTGATGCCCCATTGTGCGCTCGGCGCGGCCCACGCGCGCCCCTGCTGCCGCGCCGCGCGCAATCGGAGTAGACGCGAGCGACGCGGCGGCGATCGCCTCGCGCCACTGACGCGCTTGGACGCGCGTTTCGGAAGCCGCGAGCGAGCCATTGTTCGCGCCGCAGGCGGCGGCCGCTCGGCTTGCGCAACGCGCGCGCGCGCGCGCGGATATTTCGATGAGGGCCCGATCGAGGCCGAGGCGATGGGCGAGGTCCGTGGATTATGAGCGCGCGCTGCTTTCGCAATGCTCGTCCGCGCCGGCGCGATCTATCGCCGCCGAGAGATCGCCATTGTGCGAAGCGCGCGCGGGGCCTCCTCTCCTCCATTCAGTGCGAAAGATCGCCTATCGCGCGCCTTTATAATTGGTAGCGCTCGAGAATGCTGAATGCATTACGAGGCTAAGGATGAGCTTCTCATTGACCCACATGTTTTCTGCGCGCGCGCGCAACCAAATTATCGCTGGCGATTAATAAGCGACGCGCGCCGTCCGCGTACATGGGCGCGCCTCGTGGCTCGCGGTGGCGGGCGTGGCGCGCGCGTGAATGATCGCTCCCTCGGGCTTAAGGTTGAACACTGGCTGTTTCATTTATTGCTGTTAGTTTACAAGTACATTCCGCGGCGGAGCGCAGTCGGCCGGAGCCTCGTCGTGTCGCTCGCAGATGCGGACGTCGGACTGCGCAACGCCGGATCGGGCGAACGGTCGCCGCGGACGCGGTGCCGCCCGGGACGCACAGGAGAGAGACGCTTGGCGTTAAGGGGGACATACACGGATGAAGAGCGAGGGAGAAGCTGCGGACAGAGGGAGATCAGCGGGCGGTGGCAGGAGATCGCGGCGGCTATGCGTTCTGGTAACCGAGCCTGTCGAAAGCCTGCCGGCTGGCGAGGTTGGCGAGGCCGGGGCGCAGGTAGTCGTCCTCCTCGGGATGCGCGGCGTTGTAGGCGAGCGCGCGCTGTATGGCCAGCGGGATGGGCGGCGGCGTGGGCAGGTGGGCGCCGCGCGCCTGGAACCCGTTCTCGTCGGCCACGTAGCTCAGCCGGATCGGCGTGCCGTCCGGCGCCGTGTAGCTGAACTCGCCCTGGACCACTTCCACCGGCTGGCCCTTGAACACCGGCCGGCCCGACTCCGCTGCGTGGATGCCGTTCTCCGTGTCGTAGCTGTGAATCACACGCAGCAGTTGATTTTCTCTTCTCGCGTGATCCGACCTACGCGACTCGCGGCCGTTCGCGCTAATTATACCGTACGCACTGGCGTCGCCCCCGACGCCGATCAACCTCTCCGAGCCACAACTGTGCTTTCGGTCGAAAGCTACAATGCGCGCTCGTTAACCGGCGTTCATTTCGCCAAGTTAACAACGCCTCGTACGCTGCCTCCTACCCCAAAGGCAACGTCGACCATCTACGCTCGATCGAAAACACCGAAGAATGCTGGTCGTTGCTCCAGCAACGAGGAATGTCTCGTTAGGCGGAATGGCATTCCCACGGCATTCCCGCGAGCGTTCGCTCGCTCGTCGAGTCGTTTAATTGACGGAGCTCACCTGAAATCGTAAGTGCCGTCGATGTCCTGCTGGTGCGTCTGTCGCAAAATAGCGTAGCGGCGGCCGTAGTAATCCGGATTGTAGCGTGGCTGTCCGACGAACGCTGGCTGCGGACTGCCGTACGCTCGACGCGCGTTCAGCGCCTGCGGATTGTTGTACTGCCGATCGTAGGGATTTTGCGCGTTTATCACGCCTGCCGCTGAGATTATCAGTACCTGTGCAAAAAGACACGCTGAGCGTTTGAGAGAGGAACGCGCGGATCTCGACTGTTGCGTCGACGAGCCAACGGGTCGTCCGCTGCTTCGAAGGCTTGTTATTCGTTCTCTTTTTTGTGGCCGCGCGCGAAAGCTTTCTCACGTCGTCCCATTCGATTCGATACTGCGCTAAACAAAACTTCAGCCAAATCGCGACAAGTTCCATGAAACTTTCATCCGGCCAACAAGAGAAATCGAAGGTAGTACGAAAAAGCAACGTTTATCATTATCGTCAGTACCTCTTGTAAAGGTAACAATAGTCTTTCGTCGGGAACGAGCCAAAAGTCAATCCACACCCGCGAAATATAGCAAATGTGTAGTAGCAACTCACGAGAGTAGCGCGTGCCTCCATGGCTTTTGCGATGGTGGTCGAGCGAAGAGAGGGAAGCAAGCGAGCAACAATTGGAGCACAGGGCACGTGTTTCTTCCTCGCACTCGTGACGGCAACGTCGAGCAAAAAAAAAGTGCGCGCGTCAGCTCGAATGCTGCTCGGCAGTTGTCTTAAGGCATTATAAGCGTCTGGTCGAGTCGCCTGTGAATTTATAGCGAATCCGCGCAGGACGCGCAAGAACCGCCACAGAGGGGATGATCCGCGCCGCTATTCTTTTCCCATTGGCTATCTATCATCTCTTTCTCTTTTGCTTTGACGAGCTGCTTGCTCAAGTTTCGGAAGCTGCTCGTTTACTCGTCCGAGACAAACATTTCCAGTTCCTGTCGCCGCTTGCCGAGTTTGCTCTTGTCGTTCAAGATATATATATATATTATTATGTTCCGTTGGGAAAGGCCGACTTGGAGCAGGATCAGCGGGACGACAGCAACCGCCTCGCTCGATTTCAAGAGCCGCGCCAACAGGCGTTTTCAAAATGTCAACGAGCGATTTGACAATCATAAGCTAAAATCCTTGCAGTGCGATCTGTTTTCAAGTCCTGTCGAGAAAGACCACAGCAGATAACGATTGCGAGTCTTGGTCCAGCGATTATTAAATGCACATTTTGGAAATCCTCAACTAAATCACGCTCTTACTCAACGGAAGCTATCAGCTCTTCCTTGCGGGAGCGTCGAAACAATGTTCTCGTCTCGCGCTACCCGCTTCAATGGGGCTTTTAACGATCCTCAATTACTCTCCGACGTCGAAAAAAGAACATCCGAAACGACCCATTGACGAGACGCGGATTGCATCACGAAAAAATTGTAACGGCGAAAGTATAAATAAAATGAAGAACAAATAAATGAACCGATCTCCGAGGCATTGGAAAAATATGACGACGTATGACGCGGAGAAGCGGCGCGTATTAATCTTCATCGGTGTTATTTATTAGTGATCTCGCTCACCTCGAAGCGGCCTACTCGAAAAGGATACGCTCGTCGGGAGAATATAATTTCTATGATTGACAACGGCGCGTACACTTATCAACGCGCATAGTTTGAAAAATGACTCGAACGCGCATAAATTAATCGGCGCGGGCCGCTCGGTGCTTGCTCAGCGATGCTCGCGCCTCGCTTTCGTTTCGCGAGTGATGCACGACTCGAGGATCGCGGGGCGTGTTCCTTTCACTGCTTTCGCGTTACGCACGCGATTGGCGCTGCGTTTTTCATTTTCTTGCTATTTAATTTTTTTTTTCGCGAACGCCCGCCGCCGCCCGCACGGCGTCGACGCCACATGGGAGTACAGCGACGAAGAGCCGCCTGAGAATGGATTATTGCATTGCGATGTATTTCGATCGGTGCGGCGCCTCGGTGCGATTCTACGAAAGGCGAATTTTCGCCATTGTTCCATCCGCGTGGCTCTGGAATGGTGTTATTGCAGGCCGATCTCGCTGTTATCGCGCGCGCGCGATAGATAAATTCTTGCGGTGGTCGAGGGATAACGCCCATTGTCAATTGGCTGCCTTTGCTCGTCGCGCGCCATTATCGCTAATTACGCGATGGCGAAACGCGGCGATGACAGCTCGCCGGGAATTCACCGTTTAATCGGTGTGGTCGACTTTGCTCTCGCAGTACGTCGTGGGACCGAGCGATTAATTTCGATATTGGAAAAATTCCTGACGTTCAGCCGATGGCGCAGCCAGATTGATTTTCCTTATGAAAGCTGAGTAACATTGCGAAATGTAGGTGAGAGCGCGAGCACGCAGAAAAACGTCCATGAGAACATGCGGCTCTTCCGATGAATCTTTCCGATTAGGATATTATGTTGAGCCGTTAATGTCCTATTATTTGATGGCAAATTATGCTATTAATTTGCGTTTCACATTTACGTTATAAAATAACGATAACTAACTGTGCAAGTATTTGCATAACAGTTGCGAAAGAAGTAATCATCGAAGATATCGAGCTTTTGAAAATTCAATAAGATGATCGCTCGTCGAGTGTGCGCTAATCAGTAAAAATACAAAAATCATTTTCTTAGTGAAATAATTTATTTGTCATAGTAACATAATAGTTATTTTTTTCATGTCAACTGCTTATTATTTAATGTTCACTCTTGTATACTCTTTCACTTTCATTTGCTTTTGTATTGAGCTTTCGGCGTACGATATTTTTTTATAGATCATCTTCGCAGCTTCTTTGCGCTCAATTAGTCTGGTAGTTTTTAATTTTGTTTTATTTATCTGCCTAATGTAACATCAATTGTGTACTTATAAGGTAATAAGGTCTAGCCATTGTCGCATATTCCTCATGGTCCTCAAGGCACTAATGCTGCACTGTAAAAAATTTAACGTCAAAGTCGCTCTACAAATGATTTATTGAACATCAAGTTTAAATCATGAAGTAACTTTCTTGTGTTTTTTTTGTATTTGAAAATATACCTCATATGTGAATATTTCTTATTAGAATATTTATTAATAATATTTATTGTACAAGAATAGTTTTGAACTTTTTCAAGTATATGAATATACAAAAATTTATTGAGTGGTAGGCTACAATATTCTTAAAATACAGTTGAAGTTTCAGTAATCCATAAGTTTAATATTGTTGCAAGTAGCCAACTTTTTTCTTGATTACGTTGTAATTTATACAAGTCAAATTTACACTCTCACAATATTATAATGAAAAGAATCTGAATTTGTAATCAATAATAATGATATTACTGTTTGATTTTATTTAAAAATTAACCTTACTAAAAATTTTTTACAGTGCGCACGCTTTAGTTAATACAACGTGATACGAAATATTTATATACTTTTTTATACGATTTACATTTTTACAAAAGTCACGTTCGAAAAAAACCGTAATATTCTCTATACACTTCATTTACATTATACTACACTCATCAAATTCAGACTTTGTTGTACATGAATAGATTTGTTTTACAATACGTAACATAAGTAATATATAAAGCACACAAGTATATTAAACATTGCAAATTAAAAAAAACAACAAAAATCGAGCCTCGAATAAAACAAATGATAATTTTAACAGAAAGAGTTAATTAACTGGTACTGATTGTAAGAATCTCAAGAAAGTATATAACATAATTTGATCATTTTGATTATATCCTCCCGGCTATTTGAGAATGATTATTTCCTACAAAGCAGCCATTCAGTTTTTAGATTATTTATAATAGAAGAATGTTAAATATTGATAACATACAAAAGATTCGAGTGTATATCATTAGTGTAGACTGTAACATATATATATATATATTAAAATGCAAGCTTTTTTAATAACAAAAACTGGTAATAGAATATCAAATAAATTTACAAATTATAAAGAAACTAACTACATAATAACTACTCGGTCTTTGAATTGTTTTTCTTCTAAATTTACGAAGATTTTCTTCAATTATATAAAAAAAAATAACGAAGTAAACATCATATGATATATAAACAGAGAAAATGTAGAATCCAATATACATCTATTATAAAAAATAAGATGTTATGTATATGCAACGGCTGTTTTATCAATTCACACAGTACAAAAATACATGTATTATTATTGCAAAATTATCAGTAAAAAGTCACGATGTTCACGAAATCATTCGTTTTCGGAAAAGACGTATTTTGTGAATAATGTCGTGTATGCGTTTAAAAACGTTTCGAGAAAGGCAATTATATAGAGAGCAATAAAATGAAGAAAAAAAAGAGAGACCAATTTAAAAAAGACAAAAATCTACACTTACGTATCTGAAAAAAAAAATTGATTAATGTAATAAAAATATCGAATGTTAAGTATCACATTTCTCACTTCATGAATTCGCGCGTATTTACCCGTTTCATTATTATTTTTTGATTACACATAACTTCAATGCACGTATCCCTCATTTACTTTAGACGGAACCAAGCGCCTATTATAATATATTGCATATATAAAAAGACGTATAGAGAGCTTCGCTACGCGTGCTAAAAATGAAGGGATATTTTACAGTTATTTGTTTGTTTGCTTCCTCTTGACTAAACATTAATCAATACTAATAGGGTTATTCCTTTTCGTTTGTGTTGTGCAGCACCATCATCAAAGTATAATATGTGAAGATCACATAAGTACTATATTATTATATATGTAAGTAAAAAGTACGGAGGGAAGATCGCAGAGAATGTAATATAAGAAGGCTATACCGGCGAATATATTTTGTTTTTGTTTTATACTTTGTTGGAATGATTACTTGGTTGTTTGATAACGATTTTGTTTTTGTTGGAGTTGTGCGAGGGCGAATCGTTAAGAGGCTGCGAGTCATCAGACGTGCTGCGTGGAAACTTTTGGTCTGGGTAATTCCATGGTTGGATGTCGGCTGTGCCAAAGATTTGGTATACTATGTAAGTACAACATGACACACCAGCGGTCACCCAGAATACTTTTTGCCATGCCTCCGGTGCTTGCTACGAAGGAATGAATTATTAAGTCTTATATTTCAAGCGAGAGATTTAAAAACACTTACGCTGTTTTTGGTAAGCTGGCCAGCCGCTAAGGGAGATAGAAAACTAGCTGACATGTGGATTGTTTGCGCGAACGCTAATACAGGACCTATAAATAACGATGCAATACCGTTAACGTTTAAATCGAAAAAACTAAATACGATAACTTTAAAAATACAAGTTACCGGCATAATTGGGGGCGATATCAACAATATTAGCCATTGCTCCCGCATAAGCAGCCGTAATCAGTGTCACAGCGATAAACCAAACGAACAAGGCCAATTCTATACTGCAGCCTAAATAACCAATTATCATAACCAGAATTCCAGGAATGACTTGAGCTATAGATAGAAGAAAGTGCATTTTTAATATAATTCATTTAGTTTTTAAATAGTAGGTACACTTACACATCATAGTGAATATTTTTCGAACGTTGGTGAGTGTCAGCAATTGTTTTTTTACGATCAAATCGGCGACGTAACAGAATACAACTGAACTGAAGTAGCTGCAGATAAATGGTGTACCAGACAATACTCCATTCTGAAAAAAAAAAAAAAAAAAAAAAAAAAATTTATTTATTGATTTTGGTGTGATTCGCATGTAATGTATAATACTCACAGCCTGGATACTTAGACCGAGAACAGTTTTTATGTAAACAGGCCCGGCAATGATAAAAACGTAGTGAACCCATATTCTGCCGAACGTGGTGATGCCTATAGACCACGCAGGCCATGACGTTAAAATTGATTTCCACGGCACTGACTGACTCTGAAAAAATAATGGAAAAATACCTTTGTTTACTTCTGCAAAATCGCGAGTGAAAATGGTAAAGAAAGTTGTCTGTTTTGTCGGAATAGTCAAAGTCTGTTTAGCAATCATTGAGCTGTGCGCGCCATCGTGAGAGGTCATTATTTAATCGATAAAACTACACTTATTGTTCCAAGTGTCTATATATGTACGATCGACATCCAGCATTAACATTGCTGGAAATGTAAGACCGAGCTCACTTACAAGTTCAAGGTCGCAGTTTTAGCGAAACAGCTCAACTCTTTTTGAAACCATACCTCGGTTGTATCAATGACAGACCCTATGCTGCCCTGTATATATTGAAACTCCTGAGTAGAAATCCTAGGATGGGTTGACGGATAGTTGAAAGCAAAGAAGTACCAAAACACACACCATATCGATCCGATACTGCCGGTCGTATAAAAGACCGTGCGCCAACCGAAGTGAGCTATGAGAAAGCCAGCCAACGGATAAGTGATTCCGATGCCAAAGCTGAATCCTGTGAAATTATAGAAATATGTCTCCGCATTATGTCGTGGGAACATTTTGTTTTTCTTTTTGATTTTCGTCGTTCTTTCGTTTCTTTCTTTTTGCGTGTTACAATCATTTACATTACTCTACACAGACAGATCGACATATGCATGACTGCAGGTATATTTGTCCCATTCAGGTGTCTCGCTCAGCAGCTCGCGAGGCGCGCACACCGGAGATGATTGTGGTGTTTGTGGGAAGAGAGAAGGTGCGTGTGATCGAAGCGATATACCGCGACATTCACTGTCTGATGCATTCTCCAATTCTTTTTGCTTGCACGCGAACTCTCTGCAATGCCAGGGAAAAACATGATAACAGCTCTGGATTAATCTTGCCATCTCAGTCTATTTTTTTAAAATGTTTTTCCTCATTGTTATGAAATGACGATGACAATGGTATAATTATAATTATTTTGCTTTATAAAAGTGAGTATTTACTTTCTTTTACTATGATTTTTGGTAGTTAACTACTTTGAAATACAACTTTTTTTGAAAAAAAAACAGCAAAGAATATCGTATAAGTAACTTATCGTTTAACCGAAAATCGGAAGGTCATATTGAAATTGTTTTGAAATTTTTATCAAAAAATCAAAAAGCTATTATCGCACTCAAAATGTTTCTAAATTGATAATAATTTAGTTCATTAACAGACTAATAGTCCGTTACCTTTTACACACGAAAGTTACAAAAGTTTAATAGTTCTTTGATAAAAGTAAAGTAAGAGTTTCAACATGACTTTGATTTCCGTCAATTTTTTCGTTAAACTGTCAATGTTCTCAGGTATTAAATAAAGTAATTTAATGAAAGAATGATGAGTGGGACAATGAAACTTCTATACCTGAAATGATAATTAGATTTATTAATGTAAAGCAGTAATATTTAAAAAAATGGTAATTTGACTCGAGGTAAAATTTTTCAAATTTTGAAAAATACTCTCAACTCAAATTCATTCATTTTCAAGATGCTTGCAATGACATTCAACTTTTTCAAGGCTTACGACTAACTCGTCTTTCACATGAATCTGTATAATTTTTTTGTATACCAATTAACAATTCACCACATCAATGCGCCATGACAAGCATAAATGATAAAGTATACTCGGCCTTTCTCATGCTGTTGAGCGGTCACTGATGAGTATACCTTGCATTTTTTACTTCAGCACATCGTACTGCGTAAATTTGGTCACCACTATGTTGTCTGTCTGTGTTACTGCTGCAATGCAAGAGCTTACGCTAATAAAAGACGCGTTTTCAAACGAATCGTATATTTTGACAAATTTCGAAAGCAATATATTTATCTACAATTATAAGTTGCATGGATTTTTCAAAATTAAAAGATTCCTCATCAGAGAAATGCTGAAACAAGCAAAATTTCATGAATTTCCATCTTAATGCACAAAAAATAATTTGAAAATTTTTGTCTGTAAATATTATTAATTAATTAATTAACCCTTAGCAAGCAGCAGTCTCATTTCTGAAAAAACTAAACAAACAACAATATATGATAAAAGTGTATCTGCAAAATGGTGATAAGCACAAGTTATCATAAACATATAATATCGTAAAATGGAAAATATGGAAACTCGTGAAAAGAAAAAGATATAGTTTCACAAAAGTATTGAAGTTTCACTGTAACACATGAAAAAAATTTCAGTTTAAATCTGCCGAAAACAATTTCAAAAACACATATTTTTCACACGAAATATGTTCCGCTATTATTGATATTTTGAGAACAAATGGAAATTACCTTGGAACGAGGACATAAAACGCGACCGTTCATTAAGTGGAATCCAATGACCAACAATGGCATACATAGCAGGCCACGTTAAACCCTGCAATTTATAAGAAATAGTTTCATTTTTAAATCGAAACAACACCATTAAGAGCTGAGCTTTCCTTTATAATTGCATTTTTCTTAACTGAATACAAAAAATCAAAAAACCTCAAAGGATAATACGAGCGAAATGCCATATTCAAGATACGTATCACGTTAACTCTGAGTAAGCGTTGTATTGTCAGTCATTTTTTCTTTTGTTTAATAAATATCAATTCTATGTGAATTCATATGAGATTTTTTCAATGGAAAAATTATAAGTGCATTGTTATTTCATACGAAATACAATGGATTACTTTTTTTACTTCTTTCACTCTCGACCGTGAACTTTTATTTGGTTTTACTCGTACGCTTTTTATTAATACCTCAAGACTGTGTATGATGAGTCATAAAGAAGATTAATTATTTGCGAGTTAAATAACCACTCTAAGCTAATAACGTCTAGATAGAAAGGCGTAAATAATTATATGAACGCCGTAGCTATTTACATAATAACGGACGTTTAAATTCGCATTATTTTACGAATAAATCGCGAATATTATAAACAAACTTGTTAACACGATCGTTAAACTTACACTGGCTACCCCTTGTATACTGCGGAGAGCAATGATAGCACCATAATGAAAATCAGCTGCGACCGGTATTAATAAACTACATATTGCAGTGAGCAATTGAGAACCACCAAAAACGGTTTTCGTGCCAAAATATTGTGTGAGTACGCCGCCGACGACTTGTGATAGTATGTAGCACCAGTAGAAAGATCCGATGATGATTGATTGAATCTCTGGACTCCAATCGAACTCACCCTCCGTCTAAAAAAATATTAGGTCATTCTATATTGTTGATTATCGGCGAATGAATTTTACAAATAATTTCGTCACTAAAGTCCAATAACGTGCATTGCGAATGCGCGAAACAATAAATTTTCATAACGAAACGTTTTGTTGTTGATATCAATGAATGAAAACAAATTGATTTACACATACCTGAGAATTATTATACTCCTCCGAATATGAACTGGTGTTGTAGCAATTAGACGATACGGAGACATTAGACTGTGGCTGGTATTTCACCATGGATACCATGGCAATGTTAATGTCCATTCGCATCATGAACGACACGACGAAGCCAGAAAATGAAAGCATATACAAAACTACGCGTGCCGGCACCATATCTGAACACACAAGAGGAAGATCAGTTGTTTCGTTTCTTCATGTAAACATAAATCGGTTTACAGGCAGTTTCAATTTTGACAGTCAGTGCCATTTTTAACAAATGAACTGAATATCAGAACTTTAATGATGTTTCGTACGTTTCGAAAAATAGATTTACTGCAAAAATTCGACTAGTAATCGCATGGATGACATTTACGTTTTGGCATTTCGAAAACTCATCTATAGAAACATCATTGTTACTCAAAGTTCTTCGTTTTCAATGGATCATATCAAATGAATGCGAGCGAGAGGCGTGTATCATAACTCAGAACAATTGCGACTTTTGCAGGGGAGTTGCTTCTCTTTGGCGTAGAATCTACGTTGTGTAATTACCTGCGAGTCTTTGAAAGAAGTTAACTGATGATCCTTTGTATGCAGGTGGTGGCACGTTGTACCTGTGAATGTATAAGGTATATACTGTTAAACACTTTCGAGCTTATACTTGCTTTCGTCTACTGTGTCTTCATCTACATTCGATCCAATGAGCTTTCCTGTAATTTCGAGCGACGTTACGGAACATTTGTTAATTCTAGACTTTAGCTGTTGCGTAATGAAAGGAATAAAGTGAAGGAGTACGCGTGAAACCGGAGAATCTACGATCGATCAACAATAATCAAAATACGATTAAAGAATGAATGCGAACAACTAGTTGGGTTTGCGCGTTTGAATCCTTACGTAAAACGTATGGACAATGAGGTAATTGATTGCGTGGACTGAGTATATCGTGCACCGCGCAACGTTCCCCGATCGAGATGCAATTCGTCCCCGCGTGCAACAGTGAAATTTGTCAGCGGTGATTAAATTTAAATTCTTAAACATTTCTGAAGGAAAACTTGCCGGTAAAAAATTGAACAATCTAACGTTTAATTGAGTTGATCGTTAGTCATTTTTTCATTAGTATTAGTAGTTTGGCAAGTTTATGCCTTTAAAAGGGGGAAGGGGGGGGGGGGGGTATACAACCTCTCGGAGCTCTCCATTTCTCTTGTGATGGAGACGGATCGATAGGATTTCTTTTGTTGACTTGTGCTGTCCAAAGTTGATTCTAAATCACCTTGATTTCTGAAACACGACAAAGTACACATTGACGTCTGATTATACGAACCATTTAGCTGTATTTCAAATTGTGCTTCAACTTTGTTACCACGTGTTTTCTTTTAATGACTTCTCTAAATTGGTTTACGTGATAGATAGTAAATAACATTTATTTGAAAATTATATCAAGTTAGCGTTGTAGAAAAATGTCGTGAAAAATTAAAACCAAACGGAATCTGTGATCTATCAAAAGTCATTTCATTATTTTTTTTCACTCTAAAGATTTATTATAATACTTATTCGTAAGACTTTTTTTCTAACTAATCCCAAACTGTTTGAGTATTTCTTAAACTAAATTACCATTTCAAGATGATTTGATACTTTGCATAAACACATTTAAAAAAACACAAATAACTGCATTACTTCTTTTCGTACAGCTCACGTGAGCTTGAAATTTATTAGCGTTTCAAGCATAATCCTTCAGCAAACGCACAACCTTTTCTCATTCGACAGCACGATCAACGTCTTTTACAAATATTTAAACGAAGAATGCGCGCTCAACACCGCCGCGCGCACATCAAATATGCATCCCCGCTTTCGAGGGAATTAGAAGTTGCTATTTTTTTTTCCTCAAAGCCGAACAGAAACAGAAAAATGAGAAAAAATTTCATACTCCATTGAGTCGTATGCGCTGTGCGCGCTAATATCCACAACGATGGGGAAAAATGGACTCGACATATAACTAGTTGACATTGTTCGCGTTTTGTAATTAGATTCGAGCGATAAGCCATGAGAGAGAAATAAATGGTACGTAAAATCAACGTATGCGCGTCGACTGTTTCTCTACTATGCTAGTATTTTAAGTATAAACAGTCTTTTGGAATAATCCTGCAATGCAGGGTGCATTGTACCCCCTTTTCTGTTATTTTTTTCTTTCATAAGTCGCAATGAACGAGTCTCCTTTTCTTTTTCGCGAAAATCTGATTGTGCCGCTAAACTGCGAAATGCAACCTTCGGATTACGTATTGTTTTACGTGTATCGCACGCAAAGCGAAACATTTCTTTGACGCCGCAGAAGATTTACAGACGTTAATGAGCCAGGAAAAAAGAAATTGTCGACTATGGGTGCATAATTGATCATGATTGTTGCGCGTGATAGCGGTACATTTCTCGAGAGACCCTTTGCATTGCGCGAACAATTCGCGCTATTGCACGTACATTTTACGATCACATCTCGTTCCGTTTCATTTTACAATGGGATCCACTCCCTTGCATAGCACTCGCGCAAAGTGAAATTATGACTTTTGCGTGTACATTGACGTACGCGAATTGCACGCCGCGACGTTGTATTGTAACTCACACGAAAATATTCGTCGGCCGCGTGGGGTAGTGGCAACGCGAAAAACGCCAATTGCCGAATTCTCATCGCTCGCTCGTGCGCTCGCGATGTAAACAATGCCGGCGCGTGAGATCACTATGACTTTGTAAAATTCACTGCTTGTGTAACGAAGAAAAAGATTCCGCGTTAACGCTCGATCCACGTCCACTCTTTTCGAGAACCATCGATCAAGTGAACTGTCGTCCCTTATACACGGGCGAGTCGTGATCCGAGAAATGACATTGTTCGTCTTCGATATGAGAAATTCCAGAAACGCGTCGCATACCTCGCTCGTCGCCTTATATACCCTTCATCGCACGATTCACCCTTGAGCTTCAGTTCTTTTAGTCTCATTTCCCATTCCTCGTTCATTCTCGAGCGTCGCGTGAAACTTGAGAAAATTATAATTTATGCGCGCCGCATCGATTCGGCAAACTTACACGAGTGCCAAGAAGCGAGCGCGAGGAGGGTGCCAGCCGAAGAGAATACGTGAAAGTCGCAGGGATGAAAGTTGCGCATTGCACACGCGACGACCACACGGCACGCACTGTCGTGTGTATTGCAACACGTCCGAATTGGACGATGGCTAGCGCGCGACTGAAACGTGGCTCGTGAGCCGCCGCGTATTCACTACTACCTTACTCAATATTGCAACGGCACGACACGACCACGACGCTAGCCACAGCTGGAAATGTACATACGCGTATCTGTACATCTTACACGTCCACTCGGCAGGTCGATTCGGCCTTTGTTTTTCATTTTCGCTTCGTCGGGAAAGCGCGTAAGACAAAGATTTTTTTGTTTTCACCGACGCGCGTCCGAGCTTGGCCTTCTTTTGTCACGCTCGCTTTCTTCCGAACGGACAGATAGCGTGGACGCCGGGCTCGCGATTGCACGTGCCATGGGAATATGGGAAACCCGTTGGATGTGGGTCAATGCTTCGCTATCTCGGGCGAGTTTAATAAAAGTTGTACGCAGTCACGTACGATCGGGGCGCAATCAATCGACGTTTATTAGATCGCCGATGAGTCGGGAATTTATCGGCCGCTTGATTGCTCGCGTGCGCGCGGACGATAAGAATCGAAAAGAAGCTCGTTACAGGAGAGACACCGCGGCAATTTCAGCGATGAAAATTCCTCCCGATCGAAGGCAGCAAAAGGAACGTACCTTATCGGCGTCGCGCGGCGATCGTAGAATTTTCTCGTCGAGTTTGTACGTCGCTCGACCGGATCGGCCAGCGCATCATTGAGATTGATCGAATGTTTATATACAGGCGCCATTGACACTCGAATCGAAGAAAAGAAGAGTCGGATTATTGCGGCCAGTCGTGTTGCCGCTCGTTTTCAATCACGTGCGTGCGAACAATGGCAAGTCTCAAGTTTATATCCCTCTCGTTGTCGCCTGACAAAAGGCACGAGATCGCGCTATGCGTACGCGCGCTTTTTCATTTGGCAGCCTTTCGACGCAATTTTAATACGAATGTGCGCTGGATTTATGCCGACGAATTATGTAACGCGCCTACAGTGGACATAACGACACGGCTAATCGTTCACGTTGTGGAGAACCTTTATAATCCAATGCTCACGCTGCACGACGCTGAATACAAGTCTCACACACACACACACAACATGCAATATAACAAACTAGCCTTCTGGCGACAAAATCAATTCTCTTATGAAATTGCCGTTCTTTACACTTTTACGATCCATTGCTTTTGGTCTTTCGAGGGAACATTTTTAAAAACCACCAGCTTATCGGAGAAAATTAGCTGACGGTTCTCTACAGTTATGTGTATGGAAATTTAAAAAATAAAACCAATACGTATAGATATCAGTCAATTAGGCGAACGCACACAAATGATTTAGTAACGATAAATTTACGTTTATGACGTTAGAGCTAACTAGACACGTGAGTCCTTATCAAGATCTAAATATATGTAGTAATTTGCTTTGTCCGGTAAACATTAATATATGCATCTATTGACTTTATGAAAGTCCTTAGTTCTTCGATCTAAATTTACACTCTAATGAATAATTTCATAACCAAGTGTCAGGATGTGCAATCAATGGACTCAATCGCCCTTTCCTTTGTGAAACACCGACACCAAGTCATCGGAAGGCTCACCTTTATACTTACCTAATGAGCCTCAAGTTTCGTTTGTAAGAAAAATATCAATATCGTTATGTAATCAAGTTTTGTTCGGCTTTTCATGAATATTGCAGTAAGTACGAACTTACACGAGGAAGTCCAATTACACACTATCGTATCTGATGGCCAGTTAATTAACAGACACGTAATATCATAATCATCCTGTCAAATCGGCGCCATTGAACTTACGTAAAACAATTCTTTTAACCAAACACGGTCACTATTCGAATATTGAGTTTTCAATAACATGTTAAAGGAATAGTTATCGGCTCAAACATATTTCCATTCGAAAGCCAAGACGACAAGTTTTGCATACCAAATGAAAGCTCGATTGAAAAGTTGTCACGAGTCACGCGAATTTTCATAACGTGTAATTTCGCTGACCTTGCATTTCTTTGCACGCCTAAAAAATGGAAACGAAGCTCGGGAAAATGTGACACTCGATGCATGCAAATAAGTTGCGCATAATTAGTAAATCATAAAAGCGATACATTGTCGAAATGTTCATGAAAGCGAAAAGGAAAGGAAATCCGGTAAGATAAGCGCAAAGCCAACGAAAGAGAAGAAATCCAACTAAGCGTCAGTTTAATTCAAGCGAGCGTCGGAAGATATAGTCAGCGCACGGTATCATCAATCAGTGATGCAGTGAGTTTTCGTCACGCCGGCAGTGATGAATGACTCACGATGATACGAAAAAGCTAGCCTCGCCGGGCAGACGATTCACACTACATTGAGCCGCCGCTCGCGATCGATCCACGTGCTGCGAGCGTAACGATCGAAAATTGTACGTGTGGAAGATTTGCCAAAAATCAATTGCGCAGGCGCTGTTGTAGCGCGAAGACGGAAAAAAAGGGAAAAAAGGGATATCGCATATTGTGCAACGAGGGCGATAACAAGAGTATGAGCGGTGAAAATCCAAACCTGATAAGCGTTGGAAGAGGAGGTTAATCGGGGCAGTGGAACAACGCTGAGCTTCTTCACTCGACGCCCATTCGACGTCCAAGTTGACATAATGCCGCCTTCCTTTCTCGTTGCCAGTCTATATTCCTTCTCGCTCAAGAAACTTTGTGTTGGTATGGGTTCGTAGGCTTCCCCCTTTATAGTAGCAACCCTATGAGCTTCTGAATCACTTCCATCTTCAGGCCGGTATTGATTTCTTCTTTTCGACAGATAAATGTATGTATGACGAGATATTACTCGTGATTTGCAAAGCAGCAGAGCTTTTCTTTGACTGACGATGGTTTTGACCCCGAGAAAATTCAGGCTCGCGAGGAAAGCTGCTGGCTATTCACCAGACATTAAAGTGCAGACCACAGAACAGACTTGCGCCTCGACTACTGGCAACGGCGCGCAGATGCGTGCTGTGACGTACAGATTATATATGTGTATTATACCACGTGACACGTCTGCATTTCTAGGCCTTTACTCTCTCTCACATACTCTCTCTCTCTCTCTCGGCCCTCCTTAATTAGTTCAGTTTTGCCAATCTGCCTTTTTTTGCTTCTTGATTTATTCTAATATATGTTAAGGTCTTCGTTCAGCGTGACTTTTGATGTTTTATAAAATTTAATTTTATAAAGTTATGTAAAGATTTTTTTTTAAATGTACCCCTTTTTTAAATTAACAAATACTGTTGTTATTTACTCTTATTTTTATATTTTTCTGTTATTTATGACATTATTTCAATCTTTTCTATGCCATCTTGGAGATTTTAAGGGGCATGAATATAAGTCATGCTGTTTAAAATGAATTACCTACATCAATATTCATAGATGAATAAAAATAAAACTTGCACCTATTTTTTGACAAAAACCAATGAACTTTTACTCATTTTAAGATATATCAGAAAAATGAGCTAAAAGAGTAATTCAACCTACGATCGATAAAGCTCTTATACTGTTATACAACACTAAACTTATTTACATACTTAATAGTAGTGATTATTTATGACTCCAATCTTAGTATGAGTATTTAACATCGTGTGCTTTTTGTCGCCTTTATGAAAATACCCGTGAATATTCTTCAAATTTAACGGGTTTAATATTCTAATAATTAGTTAGCGTTGCTCGCATACATCTTAATTTACAATGTTAAAAAGATAAAAATGTATTCTCTATTCATTTTCTTTCCCTTTCTACCAAATTTTAACACGACAATATTTATTTCAGTATCATAGGTGGCTATAAAATTAACGATTTGTACTGATAATTTCAAAACAGAACGTCTTATATTCTTAAAACCATTTATTATCGGCATATTTCCAATCCTGCAAAATTATTATCTATGATAATTATTTATAAATTGAATTTACTGCTGAAATATAAATCTCATTCTCCTAGATATACAATACAAATTTACAGAGTATATGAAAATTAAAAATTTAACGCTCTTTTTTAACATCAGCCAATCACAATGCTGGCTATCGACGACTTATTTTTTAAGATAGGATATGATAAGATGGAATTGAAATTGTATAAACTTACTCGTTTCTACATTTGTGGCTCGGATAGGAATACTTTGATCAAAAGCTTACTGCTCTGTATCAAGAGTAAGAGCTTTTAAATGTTCTATACTTGTAATACTTGTAAGTGAAAAAGAGATATATAAAACAGTTGCAACCTCAATTCCCGTTCAATGTGACTCCTATATATATATATTTTTTTTTTTCATATTCATTGCAAATTAAGTTCATTATTTAAATTTTATAATTCAAGCTCACGCATACAGCATTGTTACTCATATAACTTAAATAATCGTATGTATATCGATTAAAAAATTTATTTTACGGGCGAATATTTTAAAAAAATGTATGGGAATAATCTAATGAATCAACTTTTATGTAAAAATTTTATTTTTTTTATTATATATTGATTATATCATAAGAAAACATCTGTGTTTCTTTTCTTGCAAGTTTGAGAAAATTAGATTTTCTTCAATTAATGATTTTTTCATTATACAAATTGAACCGAACATCTGTTGTTTTTAATTTCGCCACTTGGCGCAAGTGCGTCGTTAAATATACAAGTTTGCGTTCAACATAAGACTTGCGTAAAAGACACTACGGCACATTTGAGTTTGTTGAATAATTTTCAATCTGAAATATATCAATGTTGAAATATTTTTTCTTTTGTGAATGTAACGCATAATTTTATTCTTTTAAGTTTCAATTTTTTTTCACTTGACGAATTAATTATATAACAATTGTTGCAACCAAGTACCGTTTCAGATTCCATTTTTTTCTCTATACATTATATTAAGTGATAAATAAATTTTTTTACAATTCGCTTAAATAAACGATGAAAAAATTGGATGTATAACATATTTACAATAAGCAATGTCGACATGTTTGACTGTTCGTTATATATTTTTTATTATTCGCCCTTATCTGTCAGTCTGTCTGTTTTTATAAGTCCGTCAGTTTTTCTTTCACACACGCAATTTTGTGATCTGTTTTACAGTTATTTATTTTCTCCTAGCAGCTTCAAAACGTCTTCACTTCATGTAACTTCTCCTTGAAGTCCATACGACCATTCACTCACTTTTACACTCATAAAATGATTATAAGTTTCTTGTTTATTTTTCTCACATAATGCAGTGTCGCAAAACATCATGAACCAAGTTTCTTCTTTAATAAATTGAATCTCTGATGCAACAAAAAATGCGGAGCGATTAGGTGTCACCGTGCTCGAATACTAAAGACGATTTTACGTATAAGCGTGTAAATCGATCATTGGAATTTAAAGCTGATATCATGATTATAAACGAAATGCACATTTCCCTTTCTTTTTTTTAAATCTTCGCGCTATTAAACACGTATATGCGTATATATACATTAAATTCGTCCAGCATGTCGTGCAGTGACGCACAATACACATTTCGGACAACACGCGGCAGACACATCGTATACATAAGCACATACGTATAAGATTTCATTATCTTCCTTTTCGTTTTGTTTAAAACAGTAGACTTTCTTTACATGCATGATTGCAATGACAGTTGAGCATGATAATAACTCGTACAACCTGTTGCACTTCATCTAATTACAAATGTATTTTGTATATTGGTTATCGCGATAAGTTACTTAACCACGGTAGCCCCACTACTCGCTGTCCTTTTTTAATTAATTGTTTTGCTTCATTTTTTTGTAAAGTATTACTTTTTTGTATTATTTTCTTTTAAATTCTTTTCTGTTTTTGGCGATATTTTAATTACAAATCTCTGCTCGTATCTGCACTTCGTCACGCACACACGCGTGGACGCGTCGGTGTTTAAATAAAAACAGAAAAATCAATTATTAGATTGTAGTTTATGCATAGCCACTACTCCCACTCAGTCGTGCCAGGTGGTTTGGACGTAAGATCATATAAAACGCGCGAAATTCCTGGTACCGAAGAAATTTCGCTCACCATTTTCTTGATCACCTGCAAGTCAAACCAAAACAATTATAATCAATTCCAAAAAAGTGAATGGTATTTCACTGAAACGAGGTTATCAACTTACATGCATTGGCAATTCTTTTCCAGGAACTGCTGGTGTACCAGTCATAAAGTCCAGAGAGCAGAATGGCCTTAGTACTACTGATCGTTGGCAGGATGGAGCTCGCGAAGCATAATCTCGATCGAAATGAATAGGAATGAGAATAACTGGCATCTGACTAATGGCCGACATACTACCATTAGTTTGCAATACCTTTAAATACAATATAGAAAAAAATGGAATTTCATTAGTTGTTTTTTTTTAAATCAACCGACAATATAAACAAAATAATACCTGATTTGCTACATGATCCGCTTGCCTAAGTGTTGATATAATATTAGAAGTAAGATGTGTTGGAGTAATATCCATAACAGGATACTGAACTTTGCTTCCAAAAATGTAACAAACTCTATTGACGTTGTGACAAATACGAGGAATCAGTTTGGCCAAGAAGAATAAGTCTTGCCACTCGGCTGGCTCTGAAATATTATCATCAGTAGAAAGTCCTACCACGTAACTGTAACTGCGTTGATCACCCTGCAAAAATAAAATCAGGAGATGAAATTCCATCTTTCATTCGACTGATATTGAATACATCTGTTGTACTATAAGTACCTGAACTCCAACACTACGAATAGGTAACAGTGAAGCTGTTAAATGACGTATATGCGATACTCTTCGTAACTTTAAACGTTCTAGTTCACTGGTTGCGCTTTCAACGCGATTCAGAAGCGCATGCTTCTTTTTAAGCATTTGCGCATATTCTGCTATTATTTTAACAAGAACCTACAAGAGCAAAGGAATGAAGATTTATAGTAAAAATGTTTGATCTGAGTAAATAATAAATTGTCCTACCCGTGTTTCTGAAAAGTCTTTGTCCATATAAGGTTCCTCCGCACAAATAATTCTTATAGCTAATCCGGGACCGGGAAAAGGATGTCTAGATACAAGATTAACAGGAAGTCCAAGATCAGTGCCGATTTGTCTGACCTCATCTTTATGAAAATCTTTGAGTGGCTCAACAACGCGTCCCTTAGCCCGAAGTTCTCTCACCAGCTCGGTGTCGTTGTGATGTGTTTTGATAGCGTCTGCTTTACCGCTGGCCAAAGTACTGGCACTCTCGATAAGATCAGGCCGTAATGTACCTTGTCCAAGAAAAACTTCCTCAGGCTTCAAACCCATTTCTGCCATTGTCTCATTGGCCACTTGAACGAATACGTCGCCAATGATTTTACGTTTTTCCTCGGGATTCACAGTAGTGCACAGCATCTTCGTTAGTTTCGGCTTTGGAAAGATGTTCACCTCGTGATTGGTTTTGTTCACCACGACGCAGTACGTCGTGCCGGGATTCTGTAAACCTCCGTCGTTAGGGCCACTTGTCGCCTTTTCACTCTCCGGGCTACCTTTCTCCGGTATAGTCGTTGTACCGTTGAGGAATTGATGAGTAGCATTGACTACTTTTAGTTTGACTCCTATTTGTGCCAGACTTTGCTCGACTAATGGACTTTCTCCTGTAAAATTTCCGGTTGTTCATCATTCTAAAGTTTATCGTTTTCAATGAGAAACAATGTAAGTGATTAATGAACTATTTTTGTCAATTTAAAAGTTCACAACTAACAAATAAATATGGCTATAATTTAAGGATTTCTTAAAAAAAAACTTTTGTTTGTCAAACTTCTCAAATTAAAAATTTAATTATTACCTTTACGCATAAATCCATTATTAATATGTACAGCAATAACTTGATCCTTATTCAAGGCTTTATGCAGTAAAGCTGCACAAACTGTTGAGTCTACGCCACCGCTGACTAGCAACAGAACTTTACTATTACCCACTACTTCCCTAATGTACTGAATACATTGTGATTCTCGATCTCGAAGATTGAAATTTCCGGTTAGACCAGCTACACCAAAGAGGAAATTATGAAGCATAGTCTTTCCGTTAGGAGTAAGATCCACTTCTGGATGAAATTGTACACCATACAAATTCAGTTTATTGTTTGCAATGGCAGCAACAAAATTTGTTGATTTTGCTACAGTACGAAAGTTGTCGGCTACTCTGTCTATACTATCACCATGAGTCAACAGTACCATTTGTTCTTTCTCCAAGCCCCTAAAAATAATTATTGTTTTCTATGACTATCTATTTACAAATTATATACTTTCTGTTGAAAAATATTTCAACTATACTAACTTGAATAAAAGGCACTTGGTATCAACTTCAATAGAGAATTGTCCATCTTCTCTGCCTTCTTTCCTGATCACTGAACCACCGAACTCTTTATTCATCATCTGCAAACCATAACAAATTCCTAGAACAGGTATTCCTATTCGAAAGATATCTGCATCGTATCTTGGAGCATCTTCTGCATACACAGAACTTGGTCCTCCAGAAATGATGATAACCCTAAAATTAACATTAAAAATTTAATTTCAAAAAGATACTTGAAATACATGTTCCCTGCAAGTTAATTAACTCACTTATAGCCTTGTTCTTTGAGGGTGAAAGCTGGTGTATCTAGTGGCAAAATTTCACTGTGAACATTGAGTTCACGAACCTTACGATCTATAACTTTGCCATATTGAGCTCCAGCATCCAGTATTGCAACTTTTTCATCTGCTCCAACTAATTCCATGACAACGTCATCTGCACCATTTTTTCGTTCTGGATAGTGGTATGAACCATCTGCTGCTTGTTCCATTTTATAAGATAATCACCAATATTGGTTGTATTATGTAGTTTCCAACAGCAATGCTAAAACACAACTAAATGGTTGGATCAATACAGGTACAATAAGTAACAAAGCTTATATATCTATTTTTTGACTCTATGCAGGGGGTATTTGTTGAACATTGCCACATTAATATACACATACTAACATGCACAAGAGGTTATCAAATGGCTTCAGTTGATATTTTGCGTAATGGCATCAAATTTCTTATTTGTCTCAAAGCTTATCATCTACACTGAATAAGACATGTAAACTTGTTGAGAAACTTTCAGCGCAGATTAGCTTACCATAATTAGAAAAAGTATACATAACGATACTTGTGCAACGCTGTTAATGCATTTCTGATTTTACATTGAAAATTGATGAAAATAACAGGATTAAGCTACATTTACTCTATTTATAACTTTTTTTCAATAACTAAGTAAGAAATTAAGCTATCACATTATGTTTTCAATTTTATAATTACAATCCAACTCCAAGTAGTGGCATAGTCATAAGTAGGTTATACGTACAGCATAAACTTCAAATCTAAAGTCTAAAGTATTAATAAAAATGAGTCAATGACCATCGCGTTCAATAGTGTGGGTGTATCGCTTAATAATCCAGTCTTTTTTTCACAATTCGGAAAATTATTAATCATGAAGGCGAGACACTGCAGTGGCCAACATTTTCGCGTGCATGCGAGTGACGAGTTTTGCCGCCCTACCTAAGAGCTATTTTTTTCCTTTTTCTTTTTTATTTTTGAGTTGAACGTTGAGCGGCTGGCCTTCTTGCAAAAAATAGACTAAAATGTGTGGAAAATCAGCGCCAGGTCTGATTTTGTTTGCCACTCTTTCCAATTCCCATCTCGCTTCCTCTTATTGTTGGGAAGCCGCAATTTGCTCGTACAACTTGATAGTGGTAAGTAAGGTATATCGATGTTTTTGGAATTCAGGAAGTGAAAAGGATAAAAAAAGCAATTTAAAGGAAATCAGCGCACACACGGTCAGGGGTGGTTGGCTGCTGACGAAAGAGGCAAGAGAGAAAGAGAGAGAAACGACGACGACGACGAAGAGCATACACAGGCCCGCTAGCACGAAAGAGATATATATATGTATATATATATATAGGGAGAGAGAGAGAGAGAGAGATAGACAGAGAGAGAGAGAGAGAGAGAGAGAGAGACAGACAGAGAGAGAGAGAGAAGACGAGAAAGTATAAGGTGTACCGAGGAGCGGAACTTGAACAAAACAAGGCCAAGAGTAAAGTCAAAGCTTAAGCCGTAGCAATAAATGTTAAAAATGAAACGAAGAAGAGCTTGTTACTGTGCCTTTGAAACGAGTCGGCGGTGTGCGAGAAAGAGAGAGAGATAGACAGAGAGACTTTAGCATGAGGCGAAACATAACCCATAAAAAGAGAGAGAAGTAGAGAGAGAAAGAGAGCAGTATAGTCAACTGCGGTATACAATGTTGTACATACCCTAGGTGTTTCTCTCTGCCTGGCTTTGCCGGCCTCTTCGTCGTCGGCTAGATGACGAGAGGCGCTTGTAGATGATATCAGAATCCAAGCACACGAGCTTTTTTTCACACCCACGCTCACGCACTCGTCTTTCTACCCCTCGTGTATACCTCTTCTCTCGGCAAATAACAAAAACGCGCTAGCTATAGATCTCGCTATGCGCACTACCACTTTCTCGCGTGCGCGCGGGGGCCCTAAGCAGCACCAGCACCACAGAATACGCTCAACAGCCCAAACTTTAACGCTTACGGATACACTGGTGTGTTACCAACCCTTCTAATCTTTGCTACCAACATTGAGCAGTAGAGCCAATGACGAAGTATCAGTCAGTTCCAATCTACGCCGCTATGTAGCGCTGCATCACCAATTTATGTTTTTGCGCATTCGAATTTTCCGCGGATTTGAATATTAGTCTATGATGCGTACGCGGATCACTCGCCAAAGATGTTTTCTGATCGGCAATGAATTGGAAACTGGAGCCGTTGGGTTTTATATGCCCCCACTATCGTGTTACGTAAATAGTGACATTGTTTTATAATTAAAGATAGCCGTTAGAACGAGAAAAAAGTGATCTTGCTATTTGCACGGCTTGCAAGGTAAAAAAATGTTTAAATTAAAAAAGTTGTTATATAAGACGTTATATATTGGTACTGTTTAATATGAAAATGAGATACGATACTTGTGCAACATGAAATCTGTTTTAATAATGAGTTAATTAAATAATATATATGGTAGATTGGTGCTTGGAAAAAATAAGCCTCATGACAATAAATGAAAGAATTAACATAAAGTTGAGATACGTACTAGAGCGTCTTTAGCACGCGAATGATGGCTATAATTTGATAATATAGTAAATAAATAAGTATTACTACTGGATGGGTGTGTGTTTCATACAAATAATAAGTGAGGAGGAAAAAGCCGTAATGAAATAATAGTAACACAAAAGGAAATAATAAATTTCGCTAAATTTATGATATAAAAAAGGTACAAAGGTCGGTTCGTCGAAGCAATGAACAATAAATAACGAGGCTCGGACAACCTTATTACAAACATGAATTGCAATGAATGGCCATCCGGGATTGTCCGATCGAGTGCTCTTTTACCTTGCTCAAGCGACACATACGCACAGAAAAATAGGTAGGAGGAAAGCGTTGCTGTAAGCGAGCGCGTGCAGTTTCGACGTCTCGAAGACGGGGCAACCCCCACTGTACTCTGATGAAGGAACGCGCTCGTTCTTTACTAGCGTTGCAGGTTACGTCCGATCGCTAGTCCTAGTGGCTGCCGCCGGATCATAATGAGTTACACCCGACAAGATTGCGCATGAAAAGGCAGAGAAAATAATAAGCGGCCTATGGCCTCGGCAGAGATTGCGACAAATTTCCCTTTCTCCACATCCCACGCCGGAGACCAATCGAAATTTAGCGGGGGCGATGCGACGCGCAATGCACCCGGAGGTGGCGCGGGCCATCGGCTGCCCGAGAGAGGCTCAATTTGGCCGATTCTCTTTTTATAAGTGCTAAGAGCTAAAATAAAGAAAATATGCGTCTCTAGAATTTAGTTACAAAGGTATTGTTACAAAATTATTACAAAAGTATCGGTTCTAACCAACTTTTCCAGTAAATTAATATGTACAACTTTTCAAATTTACATAATAAACATTATTACGTTTCATTACTATTAGATTTTTCATTTTTTATGAAAACTAAATTACCTTTTTTTAATTATTTCCTCCTTAAATATTCAGTTTATTTCAATCAGAGAGTACATCATATGTAGAGCGAACTATTGAATCATTGTAATAATTGAATATTTTGTGTTGTGTAACAAAATCGTTAATGTTAAAATGCACGGAATCTTTTTGGTTTGTGAAATGTATTTTTACTTCCCTTAAAACTCCTGTCAACTTTTTAATGTACCGTCACATTTGTAAGACTATCTCTATATAAAAGATTGCATCTTCATATAGAAATACACGAAATCGTGTCCTTTTAGAGTTGATGAAACTATCTGTGCATATTATATTTATCCAGATTTGTATTAATTAAGATAAAACGCCTGCAATTTCGGATGAAAAATATATTTCTTTGGCATCGCATAAATTTACAGTGCCAAAGAAAATACATGCTCGAATACCTTTATATAGATTATAAAAATTAATGTATAAAACGTAATGAATAAATTATACTGCTACATTGCATTTTAATATCATATCTAAAGACATATATAGTTACGTAAAAACATTCAAACGCGATGGGAAAATGTGAAAACTTACCTGGCAAATAAGAAAACACGCGCGATTCTTGTCAACCAATGGATCTTTAAATTAATATTAATTACGGAATTTTTCAAGTAGTGTTAGCTTCTATAGCTTCTCAGACACTAACAATTATTCAATGCTACTCACATAAATTTACAATTTGTTGAACCGGTCTGATTATTCACCAACTAAAGATAATAATGGAAAGAGTGGATGCAAGTCAACACTATCACAAGGTTGTAACATTGTGTTTTCAATTGATTATCAAGTTATTTTGGAACGATGAGCACATCGGACCCCCAACGTTGACACGCTCTTTACTAAACACATATGTGCTGTTAATAAATCAGTGATGATGCGTGTGAATTGCATGAATTTTTTCATTATTTTTACAATTATATCGAAATAATAACAACAGAATTAAAAGAGAAATGTAATTCTCAATGAAAATGTTCTCATGAGAAACGCATCATGATCTTGGGAATAAATTTATCTAGACACGCTTGATAATAATTAAATTACAACTAATATATTTAAATAAATTTCTGAAATCTAAAGTAACAGACTAGCGCCAGCCTGTAAATAAATTACAACTACTTGAGGAGTATCCTGAAAGCTAAAGCTGGTCTAGCGCTGGCTTAGAATAAATATACATTACAATACAAATTCTTGATAAGGTAGTCGGACGACCATTCCGGAATCGGTCGATAAGATTTTGTAGGTGCTGATGAGATGAATTTTTTATTCGTAGAGATTTGTCCTGATTATCATTTTCCATGGCATTCAATTGAAAAAAGTATAATTATATCAATTAGTAAGATTATTTTTAATAAAGACCTAGATAAGAATTATTGCAGATTAAGAGCTCAGATCAAGAAACTTTATTACTTTTATGAAAAATCGTGCTTGAAGGCGTACGCCAAATCTTTTGAAAAAATTTTAATAATAAAAAATAGATTTTAATAACATAAATCTACCATAAATTTTTTAGATTTTTCAAAGACGGATTATTTGCCTGAATGTAATTTGAATATTCGTGATAGTGCTCATAAATGGTAAAACGTTAAAACGAAAAATGTAATTGTCAACACACATCCCACGGTATTTTTTTAAAGCTCATTCGTTAGAGGTAAATCATTTTCCTGCACATGGTTAGGGTGATTTCTCCAAACACTTTTTGGCTTTACAAGCATGCAACTTTTCAATCATAACGTAATTCGATATTGGGTGGACCATGATTACAAACTCGCTAACGCCCACTTTAGTACTATTATGTTCGAGCTCCATAGATTTTTCATCAGTTCGTGTACAGCCTCAGTACTATCTAGTTCTTTTAGTCGAGTCTTGTAAGTCATCGATAAGTTTCAAGTAATGATTTTTCAAATTTAAGTTGAGCCTCAAGACAAGTTTGTCTTGCCGACAATTGACAACTTTGTCGCACATTGTGTAAAAATGTCAGCACACTGGTGGTGTGGCTGGCTATTCATTTTTTCGCTATGCAATTCTTCCACCGGTTGGCTGGAGGAAAGGTTTGATGAACCACCGTTTATTGCAAAATCATTTTTCATTAGTCTTAGCAAAACATTCTATTGCTATATCAAATAACAGCAATTTTTTACCGCCATACGCTTATGCCACCATTTATTCTAATTTGATAGGCCTAACTTAGAATCTGTAAATGGCAATCTATACTTGACTAGTGGAAGAGATAAAAATATAACATTAAAAACATTAGGAGAAGGACATATCAACGTTAATGACATTAATTTGCTTCACACTGTGTGGGCTGTAAGTCTCACTGATTATGAATTTGAAAAATTTGAGTTCGAAAAATATTAAAATAATTATTCATAACAATAGGCTTCAAACGCATCCCAATTAATCGAACGATGGAAAAATGGTATACTCGACGACGTCGAATCCACGCTGCAACGTTTGACACGAATTGTCGAAGGTCCAGGTGGATTGCTTCGAAAAGTCAACGCACTTAGTAAATCTGAACCAAGACACTCCAACGACAGCATCCCAATTGCTCCGGAGGTATTATATACAGATCAAGAAATCTTTTTTTCGTAAAAGATTTACCTAATTTAATTTATTTAAACAAGCAATAAATATTATTTTTAAACGACAGTCGGATCCCATTTCTGTGTCACCAGGTACAGTAAGATCATTGAGCACAAGGGTGAGTGAGATAAAATTGTTACAAAGTATTTTCCATACGATTCATTGACTGGTATAATGTTACAGTTACGAAGATTAGAAAATAAAGTTCGCACTATCACGACGAAACTACGGATCAATGAGTGTAATAGTGATCCATGCCAGAACGGCGGAACATGCATCGACTTATATGATTCGTTTTCGTGTCACTGTCCACCCGAATGGGAGGTAAGTGATAAAACTTTTCTGTTTTCAAAAACAGGAGTATACGTAGTCATGATAATTATCAACGAGATTGATGCTGTTTCGTTCTTTAGGGCGATCACTGTACTGTAGACGTGAACGAATGCGAGCGATTAGCCGGCAAGCCATCTGGATGCCAGAACGGGGCAACATGCGTAAATGCGCTTGGTACTTTTAGGTATCGTACAGATAGGTTTATTTATGAACAAGATTTTTCGTTGAATAGTGAATCACCTTTTTTACAGCTGTACCTGCGCCCAAGGATGGCATGGTTATCTTTGCACAACTCAAAAGTCAGCTTGCGACCAATCGAATGACGTCGATCTTTGTGGAAACGGCGTATGTTTAAAAAACAATTCTCCTTTGGGATATACTTGCATATGTAAATTGGTAATGACAATTGGATCTTCGAGAAACATGAAATTTTAGTACTATATTTGTAAACTAACATTGTTTTCAGGGTTGGGATCATTTAGGTGAAAACGATCCGTCTTGCAGAAAAGATATTGACGAATGTTCCGTGGGACGATATCCTTGTTCAGTCAATCCACTCGTTGCCTGTCATAATGTCCCAGGAACCTTCTTCTGCGGAGTTTGTCCAGCTGGTTACACTGGCGATGGATATAAATGCCAAGATATTGACGAATGCTTACTTAACAATGGGGGTTGCAGTCAAACTCCACTCGTCGATTGTATCAATACATTGGTAAGTTTTAGATTGATAAGCTACATGTAATATTTGTTTTTACCTTTTTGGTATAATTGATAAATCAAGTGCAAGTTTCATAGAGAACTACTTTTCATTCTTCAACAAGGATTAAACATTGTATAAAAAAACTGATTTTGTTGCGTTCTGTTTGTCATGAGTATCAAAGATTGCTTTTTTGTATAGGAATAAATTATTAATATACCTTATTACTACACAAAAAATGATACGTAACTTTTCCTTTTAATCAAATTATCAAGAAAAATATGTTTATGTTGAAAAAAATCATATATTTTAAGTTTGGCCAAATAATTACAATTAAAACAAAAGATATCATTGTTTTTCAAGAAAAAAAATTAACACATTTGCTTTCAGCATCTTAAAATACATAATGATCTATTATTCCCTTGAACGTATTATTGCGCATAGGATCATACTTCGGCTCCAAACTATACATGGACTCTCCTGAGTCCGTCAGAAAATAGGTTCATTTAAATTATTTTATCCGTCCATCATACTTCAATGCTCGATTTCAATAGTAGTTCTATTTTATCCAACACAAGTCCTATGAAGGAGTAGAATGTCATTTTCTTGCTCAAGGAAAAAATATATTCCGTCTATATTCCATCGTTTGAGGAAGAAATAGTGTATTATGTACCTAGATTGATAAAGTGTTAGCAAAATTACGAAATACGTGTAAATATGTAAATTTTGTATGTTCTCATATACTATTTTCGACCTATCGAAACAAGGCTTTCACCAGTCATTTCACGAAGAAAGCGTCTACTTTCATAACTTGGGTAGAAAATATATTGACATCGATTGCATGGTTTATTTGTTAGTGTGCTTTTATCATAATACGAATTCTTAATCTAGAACTCCTTTATTTATCATGATTAAGGGATCTCGAACTTGTGGACCGTGTCCAGTGGGTTATCAAGGTGACGGCATCACATGTTTCTTCGTGGGAAATTGTAACGTAAACAACGGTGGCTGTCATAGTTTAGCAACCTGTAGAGAAGATTCAAATGCAAAGACATACTGTCTGTGCCCGGAAGGGTATGAAGGTAGTGGTTTGGGCCCACAAGGCTGCGTACCAGTCAGGAATGCTTGCCGAAGTAGTCCTTGCGTTCACGGTTCGTGTTTTTCTCAAGGTGAACATAGTTTCAAGTGTCATTGTAACAAAGGCTATTCCGGTAAGTCTTTTCTTTGCTAAAAACAGTTTGGCGCGTTCATATTGTTCACTGTTTACTTATAAAGGTCCGTTGTGTGATGTGGCTGTCGACCCATGCATTCAAAATCCTTGCCTCAACGGCGGCACCTGTCGCAAGAATACAAATGGGAGTAGATATTGCGAGTGTACTTCGAGTTTCTCTGGGCCATTGTGTGCTACAGCAAAATCTGCTTGTGGTGGTTTCTTCAGAAGCGAGACCGGTTCTATTGAATTTCCTGTTGAGGCGGGTAGCAAATACGACCATTCGCTGAGCTGTGCATGGGTCATTTTGACCAATCGGACACTCGTGTTGAACGTGACCTTCACTAAATTCGCATTGGAGACTGCGCACGGAAGCGATGAATGTCGACACGATTATGTCCAGGTAACCAGGTATTTTCATATTTTAGATCTATGAATCATAAAAAATGAATATTTAACTATTGTTGATTTTAAGATCCATGATGGAAGGTCGGCCGGTAGTCAAATATTTGGTCGATATTGCGGCGATCAATTGCCGAACAATGGCACGATAATTTCAACTCATAACTCGTTGTACATCTGGTTCCATTCAGATAGTACGATTAATAGTGACGGATTTGCTTTGACTTGGTCGTCGGTCGAACCTCAGTGCGGTGAAGAAATTGAAACCGAATATGGCTCGATATCTTCGCCAGGTTATCCCGGCAAATATCCAGTAAATAGAGACTGTTATTGGACCATAAAAGTGAGCCCTGGAAAACGAATTGCTCTGCACTTTATTATGGTTGCGATTGAGGAACATCCAACTTGCGAGTACGATTATCTTGAAGTAATTCCGAATGTTTATCCGATAATAAGTATTTGTTGAATAAAAATGTAATATCGCTATAATGGAATGCCGATTTTCTAGGTAAATGAAACAAATTACGCTGGTCCTCACCAATTGGCTATATTTTGTAACCACAGTAATCCTGCGATTTTGACCAGCACGGGAGATCAGGTCACTATCAGATTCCATTCCGACAATTCTGGAACAGACAGTGGTTTCCATTTGTCCTTTCTCAGTATACCAGGTATAATAGAGATACCAGTTATGCACAGAGAAAGGCTTACTTCGATGTTTTTATTTGTTACTATTTATTTACCGTAGGTTCTCCAGATTGTGGTGGCGTTTTCACAGCCGACACTGCTGAAATTGCTTCGCCTGGATATCACTCTGGTCAATATCGATCAGATGCAATGTGCGAATGGGAAATACGATTACCACCAGGTTCTCGTATTCGTGTCCAATGGCTAGATTTTGATGTTGAACGTTCGCGTAACTGCATGTTCGACTCGGTTCAGGTAAGTGATATTTCCAGTGATCCAAAATACGTCGTAAAAATAGATACCAGTGTAATATTAATTTGTTATTTTCTACAGATTTATGAAGGTCCAAGCATCGATTCACCACTAAAAGGCAAATATTGCGGTAACAATTTGCCACCTGCGATGACAATCCATTCGAATATAGTGCTTATCCGCTTTGAAACGGACACGAATCTCGAGGAAAAGGGTTTTATTTTAAAGTATGAAGTGGAATGCGGTGGCACTTTTACTAACCCTACTGGCGTAATAACGTCGCCGTTCTATCCGAACCATTATCCCGCATCAAAAGACTGTAAATACCTGATATCTCTACCGCCGGAAAAAGCAGTTGTTCTCACTTTCGAATTCATGGATATCGAGGAAGGAACGACAATCGATAGCGAGACAGAGTGTTATTTTGATAAGCTTGAAATTCGGGATGGTGACTCGGAAAACTCAACGCTACTAAAGAAACTTTGTGGTTCCGAGAAAATGATGCCTACGGAACCCATTTACTCTACACACAATTACATGTTCCTTGAATTTTTTACCGATTCAAATATTCACAATATGGGTTTCAAAGCAAACTATTCAACGATTGACCGAGGTAGGTATTTTATTTTGTTGAATTACGATTGTTGCCTTATAATGAAACGATTATAGAATGCGGAGGTATTTACCGAGAAGCGCCAGGATCAATATCGTTCACACATTCGTTAGATCAATCCAGCTACTCCTATTATAAACAAGATTGCATTTGGATAATACATGCACCTTACAAGCATGCTATCCAAATCAACTGGGTATCTTTTCCATCGCGTACGACGTCTGTTAACGAAGAATGCACACGAAATTACATTCAGTTGGAAGAGCGAGGAGACTATGAAGATAAAATATCAATGGGAAAGTATGTGTCATGTTTCTGTTTAATTACGATGGACAGAAAGTGCTTATAATATAATTTTTAGATACTGTGCTTTTATCCCACCGCCGCAAATGATGACCACTCAAGGAAATGACTTGACAATCACGTATCACCAGAATGGTGGTTCCGAGGATATCCAATTGTCTTTCAATTTTATCAATGACACTAATACTTGTGGTGGACATTATTATGCCGATAGTGGTTACATACGGTCACCGAATTATCCTGATGCGAAATACCCGAAAAATAAAGAATGTGTATGGATAATCGAAGCTAAAAATAAGTATTTGGTAACTCTCAATTTTCTTTCCTTTAAAATCGAAAAGTCCCGGCTGTGTTCATATGACTATTTAGAAGTCAGGTGAGTTATTTTATTGAAATTCATAAAATAAACTTATGCTCATTGTTATTTTTTCTTACGTTATTAGGAGCGGTTCTCAAGAAAATTCACCGTTGCTAGGCAAATTTTGCGGAACCCAAGTGCAAGATGAATTGACAAGCATGACAAATCAAATGTACATTAAATTTGTCTCAGACAATTCTTTACAAGAAGATGGCTTTGAAATCCGCTGGCATAGTTCTACAGCAGGTTCGTAAAACGCAAACTCTTTTGTGTTTCTTCATCGATCAACTATTAACATTGTTTTTCAGGCTGTGGAGGTAATCTTCACACGTCTAGTGGTGCAATAATATCGCCTAATTATCCCCAAAACTATTACCATCGAGCGACTTGCACGTGGAATATCCGGGTTGCTGCAGGCAGTGTCGTTCGTATTACATTTATCGATTTTGACATTGAAGAACATCCAAAATGTTTGTTTGATTACCTTGAAATAGCTGACATAATAAATGGATATGCTCAAAATCCTGCGAGATATTGCGGTTCTACAATTCCTCCAATTGTCATGACTCATAGTAATCAAATTAAATTGACCTTTCGAACAGATTTATTGACTAATTCTCGAGGATTCCATCTTAGATATGCCACTGGTAAGTCAATTTGTTAATGTGCATTTTTTTCGAGAAATTTTTGATAACAACTTTGAATTTTAGAGTGTGTCAACGAAGTTGAAGGCTTCCAAGGCGTGATTGAGTCTCCTAACTTCCCTGACAGTTATGAAAACTTGAGTAACTGCACGTGGACGATTACAGTACCAGCTGGAAACGCTATCAATATAACCTTCTCTCACTTCGACATCGACTCAGGTCTTCGAGGAAATTGTAATCAGGACTACCTAAAGATACAGGAAGGTGATGATACCCCCAATACTGAGCTCGTGACAAAATGCGGAACAGAGGAGGACGTCTTGCCATTGAAAATTTCTTCAAAGCAACGTCGTGTTTTCGTAAATTTTGTCACCGATCGTCGTGGCGTTGCCGGTGGATTCAGGCTAGAATGGTACGTGAATGGATGTAGCAGACGGTTCACTAAACCTGCAGGTACATTTACATCACCTGGATACCCGAATGGTGATAAATTGGACAAGGAGGTCGTAGAATGCATATGGTTGATAGAGGTAGAATTGGATAAGAGCATTGAAATTACCTTCCCAAAAATTGATAACACCAAGACTAGGAATTGTCTGTCAGGTAAATTTTGTATTCCGACTTTCAATTGCCATTTCCATTGTTGATTTTAATTTTGAAAAATTACTTGCTCAGACACGTCAGGATCGATTGAAGTTTACAATGGACCTAACGAGAAAGCTCCTTTGTTAATCCATAACCTCTGCTATTCTGACACGCCGACTACCTTCACCAGCACTGGCAATCGAATGACAATTAAATATATGTCGGAAACCAGCTATGCTAGTCACGGATTTACAGCGAACTACCATAGCGTTCCCATAAAATGCGGTGGTAAATTTAGTGGTCAATCCGGAGTAATACATTCAACTAACTACCCCAAGAATTATCCTCACAATGAGAATTGTGAGTGGTTGATTACTGTTGACAGAAACCATGCTATAAATCTAACCTTCGTAGATTTAGATCTTGAAAGAAGTCGTAATTGCACGGACGATTACATTGAGGTATCAAGTCTTTTATATGATCATTGAAAATATCTATAATAACTAAAATAATAATATTTTGTAGATTCACGACGGTCCTATACTGGGATCGCCCATACTAGGTAAACATTGCCATGCTATAGATGCGTTGCCGTTCTATGTTTCAAGTGGTAATCAAATGCTCGTGGTAATGAGAACCGATGCGTTGGTAACAGCAAAGGGTTTCATGGCACTATACAATCGCACCTGTGGTGCCCGAATCACTATTAATGGCCAAGGAGCGATTCAGTCATCGCCAACCCTACACACGTCGCTATCGCTTCTTAATTGTACTTGGATATTAAGTGCCGAGGATCCAGGTAAATATAAATAATTCAAAGACATAAATTAAGGAGTATCTTTTGAAGATACGCGTTCTTTATTATAGGAGATAAAGTGACTTTGACATTCAGTCACATAAACATACAAGAATCTGATGACTGCTCGAATAATCACATAGAGGTGTATGAAGGGGACGGTACTCAAGGAGTTCTTTTAGGGACGATATGTTCAAATAAAATACCAACACCTTTCTATAGTACTGGAAATACGCTAACTATTCAAATGACTGCTGAGTATGGGCACAGCGTGGGTGACAAATTTGAAGCCTCGTATTCTACCTTCAGTAACGGTCAGTTACATGATAAAAAAACCATTTCTATTACAATTTATTGTTAAATAAAATCAATATTTCAATTTGAGATTTACAGCTTGTGGAGGTAACTACACCGCAGAAAGTGGTACGATCGCGTCTCCAAACTATCCCTTGAGCTATCCCAGCCAAGCAGACTGCATCTGGATAATTCAAAATGCACCTGGCAATCGAATTTCCTTGACCTTTGATGAGTTTGAACTCACAGAAAGTGAGCACTGTAATGTTGACTACGTGGAAGTTCGGGAAACCAATGGAATTGGAAAGTTACGTGGAGTTTTTTGCGGAAAAAATGTTGACAGTATTACATCAGCACAACCGTTATGGATACGGTTCAAAAGTGCTCCTAATACTTTAGGAAATCCAAAAGGATTTAAAGCGGAATATAATTTGTTATTTGGAGATGAACTTACCGGTGATTTTGGGGAAATAGCTTCGCCGATGTATCCAGTTCCACATAGAAAGAGTTCAGATTATTGGTGGAGAATTACTGTCGACTTCGATTTCGTTATAAGGATCGAATTTTTAGACTTCCATCTCGATAGTTATGAAGATTACTGCTATTCGTCGGTGAAGGTAAATTCGTATTTTTATATATGAAAAGACGCGAGTGATCTGAATATTTGAGAAAAGTTGGTAATAACATTTCTTTAAATTCTGATGACGAAGGTTTGTTCTTTAAAGATTTTGATGTATTTTGAATAAGAATTATACAATACTAAAAAATTAGCTTTAAGAACGATTAAAAACATATTTAAAGTTTAAATAACAAAAAAGTCGTAATTATCATGTTTAGCTTGCTTCTTCATCATTTAAATTTTTTATAAATTCAATAACTATTGATGAATTGCAAACAATTTAATTACGTATAGATATATGATGGTTACAACGAAGATGCTCCAGAAATGAAAGAATTGTGTGGAATCGCTATTCCTGAAGAGCCTATCACATCTTCGAGTAATATTATGTATATTCAATTCGATAGTATTTATGATCAAGTAGGTAACTGGTTCCTTCTTAAGTGGACGAAGATTCCACGACCAACCAATACTGGAGAAATACAAGTAGTCGATAGTAAGTACTGTTATTTTTTTTATTTCAATTCTAGCATAACTATTTTTAATTGATGTAAATTTTGGAGATTGATGTGAAAAATAAATAAAACATAATAAGTTTCAATAAATGACCCATAATCTTGTCAAAGAAATTACGGTGCTAAATCAAATAAGCAATGAGCTCAATTGTATAAAATGCTTAATTTCTGAATGACGGAAGCTGAATTGAAAACTTATAATTTTAATCATGACATTAATAATAGATATAGCGACGCGAGCATCTAACAATCACTGATATGACAAGTGTTGATCAAATGGAAAGCCACAGTAGCTCGGTCATTTTTATTTTCTTGATTATGACCCTTGGCAATATTATTTTTATAGAACAGTATATACATTTATAGTAGAGTAATACAAGTAGTTCATCGTTATGTACCTATAGTCGTTCTTTGTCTCTGTCGCAAAGTAACAAGTAGTAATAAGATTATAAGAATATAAATTAATAAAATAAATATTGATTGATAAAATTGATAAATTGATATAAAAGAATATAATTGGGAAAAATTTTGAAAAAATATTTCTTATAAAAAAAGACTCGTGCCTTTTAGTTTTAGCTTATAAACCTTTTTTGGAACTTATTGAGTCTTATATATAATATATTACAAAATAAAATTTTGTTCTACCCCTAAATAATTTCAAATGTTATTAATAGAAAGTTGAGATCAATTTCATCCATTAAAAAAAATATTGTTATAAAAAATTTAACTGTTCAGAAGGTATGTCAATTTTAAATTTACAAATGAAATACCAAGTGAATTGCTGTGATCATAAAATTGGTTTTATATTTAATGAAATTTCGTTTCACCATATTTTATGAACGGTTGTACCTTTTTCCTATAACTTCTTTTTGTTAAATGAAACCTTAATTTTCTATTATTAGTTTTCTCAATGCGGTCTGCTCTTTTTTCAAAAGTTATTTAAAGTTAAGTAGGGGTTTCATTTGTTAATATATTAGATATGAAGACCTATAATTTCTAAAATAAACCTATGAGCTAAAACTAAGATACGTTTCATCTAATTTTTATAAGGAATATGTTCTGAAAATTTCTTCAAAATCGATCTCTCGCAGATCGAGTTGTCTCCTTGTAAGAAGGATAGAATATTATAAACTTCATAAATCTGTAAAAATTCGATGACTAATGTAATTATGTGTACGGTTTAGCATCTGAAAATAGCAAGTACATAGTTCTGACAACAACGAACAGCAGTTATACATTCCACTCGCCAGGATATCCTGACGGTTATGCAGAAAATCTTAAGTATTCTTGGACTTTCGTCACAGCACCTGGAAGTCACGTACTGTTGAGATTTTTATCTATGAATTTGGAAGAGTCGGAGAACTGCGTTACAGATTACGTTGCAATTTACAATGGCCATGTGACAACTTTCAATTCTAATGAAAATCTCATCAAAAAAGTCTGTTTATCTAACGCCACGTCGACAAGTTATTCCGGCCAAAATACTATGACTGTACAATTTGTCTCGGATTCCTATTTGAATAAGACAGGATTTTCGGCTATAGCTTTAGAACGTAAGTTAATATTTGCGATGAAATGTGCGATTACTGTAAAGTGATACTTGCCAACCTTTAATAATAGAATGCGGAGGGTTACTGGAAAAGACGTTCGGCGTGATACAATTCAATACTACCAGTGGATACTCAAGAGTTCGACCGTACATTTATGCCTGTGAGTGGGTTGTCAAAGTGAGACCTGGACGAAGAATTAGAGTTAACATTAAGCAGTATAACATTGAAAGCAGCCAACCCAAAACGGACGATAACTCTTGTAGATCTAACTATCTTGTGGTATAGTATATTACAATAGTTAAGTATTCTATTGATACAATTTGGACATTTATTCATTCGATGGGACATTTTGATGCAGCTGAAAAACGGTGAAACTGCAAGCTCGCCGTTATTGGGCATTGGGAAGTACTGTAATGGTGTTATACCCCCAGTACAGAATACCACTGGTAACTATCTTTACATCAAACTCGCTGTATCTTTTGCTAGTGTTAATTTGAAGATAATATTCAAGTAAGTGGACGCTTGATATATGTCACTCACATTTCTACCTACGTTTCATTTGTCATTTCCTTAATTTAGAGAACTAGGTCACGATTGCGGTGGTAGATTCGATTTATCAAGAAAGTCAGAGATAGAAATCACCTCTCCAAATTATCCTAATATTCCAACACCTCATACAGAATGTTTCTGGACATTTATGAGTGTTGATGAGCAACGTATGGCCATACACTTTGTTGAAAGATTCGACTTAGCTTTCAGTGAAAAGTACGTAAATTCGTAAAAGTACACTATAAAAATACAGTGTTAATTGTTAATGAAAATTGGCCTTATAATTAGTTGGTTATTTTTACTAACAGTTGCGAGAAAGAGTACGTAGAGTTTAGAGATGGTGGTACAGAGACGTCGGAGCTTCTTGGCAGATACTGTAAAAATATGGCTCCGAGTTCTGTAACAACCAAAGGAAATATTTTATTCGTACACTATTATACCGATCTACCAGAACCTCGTAATGGGTTCAAAGCTGTTATCACCTCTGGTGGTGAGTTATAATTACATACATATAATGATTTATATTTATACATACATATAATGCAATGATTTATTATTAAATAAAACTTGTGAGTATAAATTTTATAATTTATACTCTAAAGATGTATGCGGAGGTATTGAACGAAATCCTCAAGGTGGAGTAATAAGTTCGCCCAACTATCCTGACTCATATGACACCAAATCTCAATTGTGTACCTGGTGGATCATGGCACCACATTTCACTCGAGGCATCAAACTTCAATTCCAAGATCTCGAACTTCCTACTAGACGAGAGTGTAACGATACCGATCATGTAACAATTTATGAGAAAGTTCCTGGCGATTTCTACGGTCATAACGGTAATTAATTTGTTGTTGTTGTTACTTTAAACGGGATCTTGAAATTAATAAGTTTCTTTTTTCAGAGACCGAAATCGGCAAGTTTTGTGGCAGAAATAAGCCCGGCGTCATCGATATTCTAACAAGTGAAGCTATGGTAACATTTGTGAGTTCATTTACCAATACGAGACTACCATACTCCAGAGGTTTCCGACTTAACTACACCTTCAGCCATGATGGTATGTAAAATACCGTACACATACACTTATATAGAAAAGGGTCTTAAATATTATATTAATTAATCTGGAAATCTAGGTTGTGGAGGGAATCTGAATGGTATGATGGGTATGTTCCAAACAGTTGGTTATCCACGGCCCACAACGTATAGGTAAATGTTTTGGTACTATTAAAAAAATGCTAGAGTCCCGCTTATAATTTTGATTTACTTTTTATTGTAGATATTGCAGTTGGAAAATTAACGTACCGGAAGGATTTCAAGTCCAAGTTGACATTATTGATTTAGATCTGGCTGGAGTTACATATTCATCAGGCAGTCACGTCTCGGTAATGTGTGTAAAATCTATTGATTTTAGATTCGTATTAATAACACAAATTTTTATAGTTCCATCACGACCCCGATAACGTTGCTACTATTGCAGTAGTGAGGGAATCTTCGCAATCAATGACTATTGCAAGCTCAACAAATTTTATGAGCATCTATTATATATCGACGGGCGGACATCGTGGAATGAAAGCCAGATTCAGAGCCGTATATCCTGCTCGTAAGGATTCTGTAATTATTACTGACGATAGATACTATTTGGTCAATTTGTGTTTTTTGTTTAACAGCATGTGGAGGTAAATTAAACTCTTGGAACGATGTATTGACCAATCCACGTTCTGCCCCTTTCAACCAATCAGCATTTTACTGTAAATGGACCATCGAACAACCTGAAGATGTAGAATCAATTCAAAGAGATAGCATGACTCTTGCTATAACGATATCTGGTTTGATTAGCAAAGGAATCAAATCGATTGTGTGCCGCAACTATCTCAATTACATTTCAATCAAAGGTAAAAACAAAAAACATAATTTATTGTTGCTAAATTCAAATCGATTTTTGCTTCTAGGAGATGAACCTGTAGCTAGAGTATGTGGAAACTGGACAGCAGATAGAGTCACAGTGACTAGTCCTTTCAAATCTTATTCTATTCAGGTATTACAGAAATTATAATTTGAAATATTCAAAAATAACTAGCGTTTTTTATAACATGATATTCTGCATTTGTTGTAAGGCTTTGAATGCATCTAATGCCGAAAGAATGAGCTTCACAGTGACGTATAAATGGCACAAATGTGGAGGCATACTGACCGGACCATCTCATAAGATCCAAGCACTAAAAAATATAACATACCCAGTATACTGCGCTTGGAAAGTCAAGTATCCAGATGTTGACAATAGCATTTTAGTTACTTTTGAAAAAATGAATCTTGGATCTTGCGACAAATCTTACATTCAAATAAAGTAAATGCATCCCTGCTAAGCCTCATTGTATGATCTATTATAATTATTTGAAATTCACCTTCACATAGGGGTCGCACATTCCGTTCACCGACTCTAGGAAAATTCTGCGGTAACGAAAAGCCTCCAAACATTGTTAGTCCAACAAATGAAATTATGATCGAGTATTATGCCTCTGAAGATGTTGGTGATTTTGAAATACATATTAATCCGGCCGATTATGCATGTGGAGGTATTGTTACAGGCAAGCAAAGTGAAATCCGATCGCCAGGGTATGGTAAAATTGTATTCGCGAACTTAATGATTTTATTTTCATTTTATGAATAATTTTTCTTCGATTGTTTCAGATTTCCTAATAATTATCCAAATAATACCGAATGTGTTTGGGAAATAATAGCTAATAATGGTTTCCACGTCGGTCTTAATTTCATTGAAAGATTTCACCTCGAAACTAGTGCAAATTGTGAAAATGACTACGTCGAGGTAAAATAAGAGTAGTACAAGAGTACAACTGAAATCAAAGAATGCTTTTCACACACGGTCGATTTATAGGTTTCTGAATGGATAGAGGATGGCTTGAATGATCGTTACGAGAGTTTGGCAAAAGTTTGCGGACGAATTGCTCCCGACAAACCTTTCAACACCACAACGAGAAAAATGAAAGTGAAATTCCACTCTAACGACCTAATCGAAGGTGAAGGGTTCAAGGCTGTCTGGCATTCGAACTGTGGTGGCGTTTATGTAGTCTCTGAAATGCAAAAGTATATTGAGTCGCCTAATTTTCCAATGTCATATCCAATCAATTCAATATGCAATTATACTTTGATTGCTAAAGAAAACGAACAAATCATTGTCGACTTCAAGCAGTTCACTCTCGAAGGTACAATTTGATCATTCGTTTCTGATCGTTGATAATATTTATACTTAATCTTTTAATTGATATTATAATTATAGGCATGAGTGCTAATTGTCCATATGACAATGTAACAATTCGAACTTTTTCTGGTGATTGGATGAGGGGTGAAAATATCTTCTGTGGCGTTAATTCTCCCGGAAGAAGAATTGCAAGAGGTAGAATGGAAATAGTTTTTAGATCGGACAGTTCAGTTAATCGTGCCGGTTTCAAATTCGGATATCGACTAAATGGTAAGTATTTCACGAAGAAAGTATAAAATGAAAAAGAAAACATCTTTGATAAATATGTTTTTATAGATTGTGGTGGTACAGTAACAACACCGAGGATTTTAAATCCAATTATGGAAAATAATCCACAATATTTCGAATACACAAGTTGTCATTGGCTAATAAAAGCTCCTGTGAAGAAGAGCGTTTTGTTACGTTTCGAACAGTTTAACATATCGTCAACTATTGAAAAGTATTGCATTGTCTTGGAATATTATTAACAAAAGTTGAAGAAATATAAAATTTCAATATTTTTATTCTTGAAGCTGTCTAGGTAGTTTTGCGAAAGTATTCGAGGGTAACTCCACTGCAAAAACAAACCTAAAAGGAACTTTCTGTGGAGATTTAAGTAAAAATTTACCGGTATTGCAGTCTCTTGATAATATAATGACCCTCATGTTGCATACTAGTCCTTATGGAGAAAAGAGTTATGCGTTTAAAGTCGCAGTAAGTGCTCGCTCCGCCCTTTGTAATATTGTTCAATATTGTTATCAACAGAACTTTAGATACCGATTCTATGTACATAATTAACATATTTGTAGGTACTTTTTGTAAACAGTCCTGAGCAAGGCTGCGGAGGAAATATTGAATTGACGAGTACCACGCCATTTAAAACTCAAAATACCGATTATTACGATCCACTTCAAGATTGTCATTGGCTGATCACAGCACCACAAGGTTATAATATTGAGTTTACGATCACTGACATAGATCTTAAAGATACGCCATTCAACGACACGACAGTTAATAAGCGGATGTCGTGCAATAGCGATTATATTGAGGTATACGAATTTTATGTGAAAGTCCTATTTTTGTACCTTTAGTTTTCCAATGATTATATTGTAGGTTCGTGACGGCGGACCTTATGCGGAAATTATTGGTCACTATTGTGGTAACACGGTACCAGCAACTATTACGAGTACTTCTAACTTGCTCTGGATTAGATTCGTGTCTGATAGTATTGGTCAAGGTCGAGGCGTCAAAGGATCGTTGAAGGCTGCAACTTGTAATAATTTTAATTACCTCGTTATCAGACGCACAATAAAAGGAATGTATGAAACTATAAATTGAGCGAATTTTGCAGCCCCTTGCGGAGTTGCCGATTTATACGTTGGAAATACAACTCAAATTCTTACTTCACCTGGTTATCCTCAAGCTTATCCTTCAGAAATCACATGCAGGTGGGTAATACATGGCACTACTGGGAGATTGAAGCGAGTAAGGATCGTTTTTGAAGACTTCAAGTTAGCCGACTCCACTTTGTGCGAATCTGAATTTTTTAAAATTGTTGATTTAAATGTGAGTAAATGATTGTGAGAATTTTAATCTATCTTTGTCACATAAATACGTTTGAAAATGTGGCCATTTATATATAGAATCGCGAGGTAATCAGCGAAGGCTTTGGCGAGAATTTAATCGTCGGAGGAAGTGGCAAACGTGACATGACTGTTGTCATCGTGAGTAATTTTATAAGTATCCATATTTGCCTTGTAATTAACTTAATTTAATATTAACCAATACAACTGATCATAACATTTGCAGGCCAGTCGAATTCCCCAATCATTCCTCAAATATTGTGGCTCTTTGAAGCCGCATGATTATTATAGGTACACACCCAGAATTCTACATAACACAGTTTTTAGCAAAGCTTTCATGGTTATTATATAATTTCAATTTCAGTAATTACAAAGACGTAGAAATCACTTACAAAATGTCGCCTTCTAATTTGAAAAAGAAAGGTTTCAAACTCGAGTATGGGAAAGCTTCTTGTTCAAGAAATTATACGGCCATTCAAGGTCGAATTATTCACGACGATGTTGGTGACTGCTGGATGACGATTGAAGTACCGAAAAATTTCACTATCAATATATATTTCAATCACTTCTTCTTACCTGGCGGACCTGACTGTTCAAAAGCGAAAATGGAGGTAATTGAAAAGATGATCATTGGTATTTTATTTCTCGAACTTATTAATGATTTCATTCAAAGATACGAGAGGGGGGTTCTGATGGTCATCTTATCCAAAGCGTATGCAATTACGAAACACCGGAGCCGGTATTCAGTACTGGCAATCGTTTGAGTATTCACACATTCGTCGATAAAGAACGATCTTATTTCAACAATATTTACGACTTCACTTATACTTCAACGAATTCCGGTGAGTGCATTAAAAATTTGATTCAATCCCTAAAATTGAGACTTTAAAATTGATGAAATTTTAATTCAGGACGAGGTTGCGGAGGTGATTTATACAACTACGGTGGAGTGTTCACCTCACCTTTCTATCCTAATTCATATCGAAATCGAAGCACGTGTACTTGGAATATCAGCGTTCCCAAAGGAATGAAGGTTTCCCTGCATCTTAGAATCTTTGATATTGGTCCAAAGAGTATGTGCGACACGGATTATTTGAGCATATTCAACGTCAACGCCAATGGAGAAAATGGGGAAGCAGCTATAACCTACTGTGGAGGAGTAAGTTTATTTTTCCCCTAAGATTCTTCGACGAAAGTTATTTACACGGTTGTTCTTTTTTTTTAGGATATGCCAGCAGAGTTTACGGGACAAAGCAATCGAATTGCCGTTACTTATGTTACGAGTGTGAATAATGGCGGTTCAGGATGGTTAGCACATTTTGCAGCCGTTTCATAACATATGCTATTTTTATTATAGTCTTAATGCTTAGTATCGAGTACTTATTAAACAAATAAACGTTCATGCATGTTTTCATTGTATAATTTCTAATTCAGTATCTCACTTTGTCATTAAAATATAAAAACTAGAAGAGTAGAAAAAATTTGTAAGAATATTAATATACTGCGATAATAATAAAATAAAACAATTTTAATAAATGAATATACTTTTATTTGAAATAAATTAGAACTTGATTGAAGTATATGAGAGCAAGTATACATCAAAGACTGAGCGGCAGCAGTTCTTTATTTGATAAATATAAATGGACAAAGTTTTGAAGCATAGAAACTGTAGTGTTAGAAGTTGAACGAAATTACTTTAGCCTCTACCAAAAAGTAGTATATTTTCGTCCGTCACTGAGAATGGCTAAGTCGTGGCAATAAATCGTACGCGCATGTTATAAAATAAAGCAGTAAACACGTATTTTATACGTTTGCTTTAGCTTTGCTTATACTTAAAATCTTCGCTTTTGTAACGTAAGCTATTTTGTTAGTTATGGTAGAGGCGGATTACATTCGGAACTGTACTTAATAACTATATATTTGCTTGGAAAACTTCATATGATTAATTATATAAAAAAGCATTTGATATTTCCGCTTTTTTTTTTTTTTTTGAAGCCTGAGAAATACACACTACGATCTTGATCAGGATGGAGCCAGGATTCAACGCATACTAAGATGTCGACTTTCTTCGGTATTTCTTCAATTGTAGCTTTGGTACTTCGACAGTTCCAGAAAATAACTTTTAATTCAGTTGGAAGAACTTCAGATTTGTTATACTTATTGGAGTAATCCATTTCTATCCGTCAGACGAATCACCCTCTCTACCAGTTTCGGATCCGGATTTATCATGGTTTTGCAATTTAGTTACCAGTCTCGTACATCTAGCCTTTAGTTTCGATTCATAAATGAGACATTTCAGCTCTCTAATCATATTGGAGAGCCCTCTGAGATCGTTTGTGAATTCAAGAACGATTTTGCAGGCGTTGCTTTTGCCGTACGCTTTTATAAGGAATTGCTTGAAATTTTCGTAGTTCAGTACATATGAAGAGCTGTTGATCTCGATTTCACCTTTGACCGATGCTAGAATGTCGTCCATGTCGTCGAAGTCGTTTGTATCAGAAGCATTGTCGGGCTGCTCATCAGCGTCCTTTTTGGATTTTTTCTTTATTGGAGGTTTCAAGGTAGGTTGAGATAGCTTAATGTTACGAGTGATTGTTCCTTTAATATCAGAAAAACTGGAGGTTGAAGAGTTACTAGAAATAGATAAAGCTCTTTTTTGATGAGAGTTTGTTGGTAGGAGGCAATCGGATGAAGAAGAGTTTACGTTAGTGGGTGTACCATCCAAAACGGGTACTTCATAGGGAGCATTCATTGGAATAGCTTCTTGAATAAGAGGTGCTTATTTCATTATTATCAGTGGATTCGAGTGAGGGAATAATAGACGAAGGGGTGTTGTTATTAATGGGACATTGCCTAGAAATCTGCCCAGCTTTATGACACGTGAAACAGCAAGTAGAGTCGGTACTGAAGAATATCCAATAACTTGTGTTGTTGTGATTGATTTGTAACGATTCGGGCAGTAATGACTCATCACCTTCCTTGATGTAAACTTGGCGTCGGAACGAAAGAATGTGAGAGTGACCAGGTTTACTGGTGCTAGCACGGATATGATGAATATTGGAAACTATATGTACTCCAAGTTCACTCAAAGCACTGACCAAGACTTGATTTGGAATTACGGGGTTAATATTGGAGTTCACTACACGTTTGTTTTTTTCAATGAGGGGTCGTATATTGAGTTGATGATTGAGCACTTGAATACTTTTATTTTCCAGATCTTGTACGGTAGTTTGGTTTGAGAGAAAGATACAAACACGCCCTCCGGAGATTTTGGAGATGAACTTGATTTCGTTAACATTGATCAATTTTTCAAGCCCGTCGATATAATCATCCAATGTCAAACCTTCTACAGCTTCGATAACAATAGCATGTTCGCTTTTAGGCTGGTATGTAGCTTAAGCGTATGTAAATGGAACTTGAGAGATTGGAGCACTTTGTTTAACCTGGATTTTAGCAGGGCCCTCCGCTAAAAGAACCATAGCTGGTTGATTTTGCAGTTAAAAAACTGCGAGAAATTATCGTCAAATCGTGGCAGGCAGCGATATGCCTCAGATCGCGATGAAGGCGTGGTGCTTACATATCACTATGTTATAAGCACGAACGTAAATAAAGCGACTATACACAGGGACGTTGATACACGTCTGCTCGCTACAACTGCTCAAGGAGCACTGATATTTCCGCTTTATTGCACTAAACAGAAATTTTTTAGCAATGTAAATTAGTCAAATATTGCTACAATAATTATTTTCATTCGAGAATATGGAATACGAGAATATTAACAATTAATAATAATCAATAAATACAATAATAATAATAATAATAATAATAATAATACAATAATAATAATTATAGTGATACAATCGTACCATGATTTTTGCTTCAATCTTTAAATTAGCTGCATAAACAATGGAAAAATCTACAAACTTACCTTTATTAGGAGTCGGAAAGTATCGCTATGGTGCAGTACCTTCAACTAAAAATACCAGCAGTAACTATCTCTACATCAAACTCGTGGTAGCTTATACTAGTATATCGATTGGAGGATAATACGAGGGTGGTCCGATAAGTACTTAGCCTACAAAAGAAAAACGAAAATTTTGGAAAAGTGGCGTTTTATTTTTCAACATAGTCTCCTTTTAGTTCGATACACTTGGCCCAACGATGCTCCAACTTCTTTAACCCGTCTGAAAAATACGTTTCCTCGAGGTCTGAAAAGTAGGCTTCCGTGGTAGCGATCACCTCCTCATTCGACTCAAATTTCTGCCCGGCGAGTGACTTTTTCAAGTTTGGAAACAAAAAGAAGTCGCACGGGGCTAAATCTGGAGAATCCGGTGGATGGGGCAGCAGTTCGTAGCCTATTTCGACCAATTTGGCCATGACGACGGCGGAGGTGTGAGCCGGTGTGTTGTCATGGTGGAAGAGCACTTTTTTCTTCGCCAAATGGGGCCGTTTTTTCTGCAATTCGACGTCGAATCGGCCCAATAATTCGGCATAGTACAGCCCTGTGACCATTTTACCCCTCTCCAGGTAGTCGATGTAGATCACACCTTGTGAATCCCAGAAAACGGTGGCCATCACCTTTCCGGCCGATGGGACAGTCTTCGCCTTCTTCGGAGCACTTTCGCCGGGTAAAGTCCACTGTTTCGACTGTTCCTTGGTCTCTGGTTTTACCAGTGGATCCATGTTTCGTCAACTGTCACGAAACGACGCAGAAACTCCTTCGGATTGCGCTTAAGGGGGTATCCCTATATTGGGGACGTACATGTGGTGGGGGGAGAGAACAAGGTCAGCTAAGATGGCGACGGGAGTCCGCATCTATACACGTGAATCATAGGGCCAAGTGCAGTTTTTAAGGAAAATGTTACTAACTATAAATGAAATTTGCATTTGGGCTGGTGAAAATCCTAGTCAAAGACGTTTTGTGGAGGGAGAACGAATTCTTGCTGTAGGTCATTTACTAAATTGTGGAAGAACGGACGTTAAAGTTGGAGTCGTCAAGGTGAAGGCTTTTTGTTTGCAAACTACGGCTATCAAAGAAAAGCCACACGAAATTGATATTGATATCAGTGAATCTGGCTGTATATTAAATTGTACTTGCACTTGCAAAGCTGGCCTCAGTGGCAAATGCAAACATGTGGTTGCTGCATTATTGCACTGCTACCGGTAAATACCTAACCTCCATTTTTGTATCACATGTTGAATGCTTGTATATAACTTTTATTTTTGTTTAAGGTAATTCTATTTTTTTAGTGATGGTGAACACATACAGACGTTCTCATGCACTGACCTGACATGTTCTTGGAAAAAACCGCAAAAAGAAATTCTGGAAAAATATGATCCAATACCAATAAGTAATATGGTCCAACACCATTAGAAAACCATGCATGTTTTCAAAATCCTGACACTTATCACCTTAACAACATTAATTTACAGCTCAGCCCAAATGATATAAAAAATATTGATATAAAAAATCTACCAAAGTCAGCATTCTCAAAAGATATGTAAGTATAAATAAACTTCTTTTTCTAAATAATAATTTGAAACTTAAATCTCATTGCATATTTAATTGCTTCAATTATGTGTAGGTTGGGAAGGCACGAGTCAATTGTTGCAGTTGAAAAAAGTGTTTCGGAGGCTGAGAAGATAGCAATAAAGTTAATATTTTTACATCAAGAGAACCAACTTTTAGAATCATTAAAAAAACTTGCAGTAAATCCTCTTAATAACTGCTGCATCAAAACTTTAGACATGCTAAATGGGAATTTTGAAAAAATTTGTGAAGATACCAAAAATTGGTTTGCATGTTGGCAAGAAGAGAGACAGTATCGAATAACTGGTTCTAAATGCTACTCAATTTACACATACTCATCAAACAAGAAAGCGGATTAGGATTTGAAATGTAGGAACACTTTTCATCCGAAGGATTTCAAGTCTGATTTCACAGAGTACGGTAACAAGACTGAGTCGAAAGCACGAGAAGCTTTTATAAAGTTCACTAATATTAAAGTTATTGAAGTTGGATTAGTCGTCTCAAAACAAAATCCTTGGCTAGCTTATTCACCTGATGGTGTTGTATTTGACAATTTCAGACCAGTAGCGTTATTAGAAATTAAATGTATTTATCTTGGTAAAACTTGTGGCATAGAAGCCGTTATTGAAGATCAGATAGGTATATGCTTAGAAAGAAAAGGAGACAAAATATGTTTAAAAGAAAGACATAAGTATTATGGTCAGATCCAATTAGGCATGGCTGTACTGAATGTACCTTTTACGTACTTTGTAATATACTCTTCTTTTGACAAACAGTTATTTACATTGAATGTTCAGAGAGACGTAGATTTTTTAACCAAAATGCTTAGTACTCTGAAGAGAACGTATTACAACATAATGTTGCATCACATTTGTAAAAATGATCATGGTGATGAAAATGTTGATACAAATAACAACCCAGTTATTGAAAGTGAATAAGTTAAGCCAAAAAAAAAAGTAGGGTGATCAAAAAAAGCATTTATTTTAAGTTTTCAGAGATGTAGAATTATTTATGTTAAGTCTTGAGAGGTGTAAAATGTTTAGCTAAAAAAGTATGGTTGTGAAGAAAAAAAAGTTATTTATTTGAAGTCTTAAGAGATGTAGAAAGTTCAGCGAAAAAATGTAGGGTTAGGGAAAATAAACAGTTATTTATTAGGAGTCTTCAAAGGTGTATAAAGTTCAGCCAAAAAATAGGGTTTTGAAAATAAAAACAATTATTTATTTGAAGTCTTGAAAGGATGTGGAAAGTTTAGCTAAAAAAAATAAGGTGATGAAAAAAAACCAGTTCTTTTTTTGTAACATTTAGTTTTATTAGCCCGTTGGCTTTAATTTCAATTCGCTGTGATAAAAAAGTGATTGTATTATAAGTGTTTGTATATTACAAATAAAGTTTATCAAAGCAAAATAAACGTTCACTTTTTTCATACTCTCTGATCGGGTTCCATTTCAATATGTTCATCTACAGAATTTTTCATGAAATTTGAATCAGCTATAATCGGTGAACTTAGATTTACTGTCGCACAAATTACAATAAATATGTCTTGTAGAAGTTTGTGTACTTCACACGGTACCATTGATGAAAGTATTTGATAAACTTTTAATCCTTGATTAGATCTTTCTATATGAACTCTAGCTTTAGCTATTTCGCATGATTTATCAGTATCAACTCTGCTCAGCTGTTTGTCTCTAAGATATGAAGGCCTATACAACTTCCAGCCATTCTTTTCACAAGTTCCTTCAATCAGAAAACCTTTATCGACCATCACAGCATCACCACGTTCCAGTAATTGAATTAAATCACTTTGATTAAAAATAGCAGTATCACTGGATTTTCCACCATACATCTTACTCACAAATGTTATACTACCTGAAGGAGAAACGCCAGTCATAAATTTTGCAGTTAATCCACCTTTGTACTGGGAATAGGTTGACATTTGGCAATCCAGACATTTAGTGTGTTGTATGTGTATCTCAGTGCAATCTAAGATAACACGGACATCTTCATATCCCTTGAAACAAGAAGGCAGATTTTTTGAAATCGTTGATCTTGAGGGCCAATCAATCATCACCTGTAAAGTTCTTCTGAGCATAACTATTGTCTTTTCAAAAATTCTTTGACAGTGTTGCCGAGACATTTGAAATAGTATTCCTAAAGCGCTATAAGACATATTCTGTTTCAGTTTCATATAAGTCATTATAACTTTGCTCGTTGTATCCAAACTACTTTTTTCAAATTCTTTTGAAGTAAAACATTTCTCCAAAATTTCTACAATAGTCTTTAATAGTGTAAAAGATTGTAATCCTGTCATGGTACTTAATGCACTATCATTTTTAATAAAACTGATAACATTCATTGTCTGAGTTTCAAGTGACACGTCTTTTATCACTGGTTTAATATAACATACGGCATCCCTCATCACTGGTTTGGCTTCACATGCAGCATCCACCTTCAAGATGGTTTCTAATGAACTGTTATAATCAGGAATGTCCATGGTGTTTATTAAATTACTTTCTTGATCAAATGGTTGGGAAGCTGAACTTTGTACTGTAGCCACAGTTTGATTGTTTACTTTTGTTTTTTGAATATTAGCACGTTGTTGCTTTCTTAAAGACCTGTTTGTAGGTATTATTTTCTTTACTGGTAAGTTTTGAGTTGGAACTACATTTTTTTTGAGATTTTTACATGAGATGCCTCCTAGCAGTTGGAACACTTGTAAAAGAAGTATTTATTTACATATAGAGTCTATATCGTTAATCTAATTCTTCATCTTACCTGGTAATAGATAATCATTTTTCTTGAAATGAAGGGAACACACCACAAAGCTTTTTGAATAGTTATTACCAAGACCAAGAGCCTTTTGCCAAGCTTTCAGTCGACTGATTTTCTCAATTTTTCCAAAGTAATTTTCATTATTTACAAAACCATCGTTCGGTCTAGGCAAGTGGTGAAAGCGAATATCAGAAATTTTGGTTGATTTACTCTCACAGAATTTCACACAACATTTCATCTTTGGATTAACTAACGGTTTTGGGTTCGATACTTCGTTAGACATGATTTTTTAAACAATTATACAATAATAAACACTGTTTACCCATTACACGCAACGACAGACTGCGGACCCGTTTACTTTCATTTTTAGTCACCAGAGGCGCTCACGATCAGATGTACGTCCCCAATAGATGGGCAAAAATGAACCAAAACTTTGCGATTTTTTTTTTCTTAAACTATACAAGATTTTTAGTTGAAAATTTTATAGTTTATTGCTTAAACATTGAAGATGCATTAAATATTTTTTTTTACATTATTTTGTTTATAAAAGTTGTAAAAAAAAATGTTGAACAATCCAACTTTTTTTTTTCCCCCAATTTTGTGTGTACACTTGTCGTCGTCGTATCTCTCTGAAACATAAAAGAAGAATTTTTTTGTTATTATAAGGTCTAAATCTCGTCGACTAACCTAAATTTAAAGTATAAAAAAATTCCATAGCAAAATGGTGGACTTTTGAAAAAAAATTGTAACATTTTTTTTTATTATTATTGCAAAATAGTGGTTAAATAAATTTTTATTTCAAAAACAAGTAGGTTCATTGACTAGATTTTTAAATTATCTTCAAAATGCTATTTTTTTTTTAATAAGTTAAAAACTTGCCGAGAAATTATGCCCCCAAACACGGACAGTCAAGAAATTTCCTTTTCAAGTAAAACGCGTTTAAAGTTCGCGGTAGCCGAAAATCGCATTTTTGATTGACTCACCATTACTTTTTAATTTTTTTCTTAATCAGCAATGCCTGGGCCATAAAGGAGGTCATCTTCTTCATCTTTTTCAGGAGCAGCTCTTGCTTTTTTAGCCAATCTACCTTCCTTTGTGGCACTCGAACTCTTCAGCTCTTGACGCTTTATTCGGTTTTCATCCATCTTTTGGGCGTAGTTGTAAGTAGGCGCTCCAATAGTGAACTTGAGGATGTTCATTGTTTGCAGGATTGATTTATAACCGTCATTAAATAATCCAGCAGCAATCCAAGCTGCAATTTCAACGGTTTTTGAACCACAGTGCAGATGCTTAGGAGCCAAGCGCCATACAAGAGCATTAAAACTTTCATTCGCATTTTGGGTATGTCCGCCCAAGCACCTTTGCAGTAGATCTTCTCTCGATAAATCTTCATAAATGGGCAATAAATGCTTTTGTAAATCTTCATGGAGAGCCGGTGGTTTTGAAGAGAAGCCTCGTTTCTTCCATGATCCATCGCCAGATACTTTCATTTCAAGTAATGGCTTTTCTGATTGCTCGTTCAGTTTCTTCTCTTCTTCGACAGCTTTTTGACTTGTTATTTTGAAATAAAGTTTTGTCGCTTGATGAATGTGCTCCAATATACTGTCATATGCTGTATTACTGAGTCCTTCACCAAAATCCATCAAATTAGAAAACAAATTTATTCCTTGCAAACCAATACCTAAAAGTCTCATCACAAACACTATACGTCGATTTACTTCGAAGCCATTGTTTATGTGGGGGCCAGAAGGTATAGTACTCGTGCCACATTTACAAGAAACGGAAAGTTTCCATCCGAAACCACGGAAGCCAGTCTCTTCAAACTTCACTGCTCCTTTACAAGTTTTACAGCACAGCATCTCGGAAAGTACCGAGAAAATAGTCACAAATTCAATTATTCGATATCGGTGAGATAGATTGACTGGCACGTCATCAGCAGTTGCTGCTGCTAATTTTCGTGCACTAGCACTGGCCCCTTTCACTTCGCCGTCTTCACTCATGTGCTGATTACCATGGTAAGATCTCTTTCTACGGCTTGCACAATAGTTGCTTCCATGTTCGCCTTTCGGATACGATGTCATGATGAATGTTGAGAGAGAGCGATGCAAACTGCACAACAGTTACAGTAAAACTGAACCAACTGTAGCGAACCGATGCTCCAAAACGAGTTTATAGCTGTACTGTACACTGTCTATCCTACTATACTATTGGCTCGTAAAGTCTTGTTAGGGTACACACAAACACACTCACAAATCACAGAACATCTGCTCTTTTCATTATCGAAGTATCCCAGCTCAGCGGGGAGCTATTGTGTCTGAGCGCCTACCTGCCTACCTGCGCCGCGCGCACCACCCGCTAAAGGAAGTTAGCGAATATGCCTATAGCGGCTAAACGGATTCAAATTTTGCGCTAAAATTTTAACAGCATACTTTTGAAATGTTCTACTTTCGATTTATGTAATAAAAAAAAATCGATTTTTTGATCGATCTATATAGGGATACTCCCTTAAACAGCGTCAGACATTGCTCTGAAGTTGTCTCACGGTTGCGCTTGTTGTCCGGAGTGAGCAAACGCGGCACCCATCGCGCCGACAGCTTTCTTATACCCAAAATTTCATGCAGGACATGACCCACGCGGTCTTTTGAGATGCCTACGATCTTAGCTATCTCGCGCACCTTCAATCGTCGATCTGCCAATACGAGATCGTGAATTTTTGTCACGTTATCCTCCGTGGTAGCCGTTTTCGGAGCATCTGGACGTGGCTCTTCAAAAATCGACGTGCGACCATGTTGAAACTCGTTAAACCAATTTTTGACAGTCGCCGTCGAAGGAGAAGAGTCACCGTACACAGCATCCAAGCGCTTTTTGATTTCGCTGCGCGATTTCCCTTCCAAAAACAAGAATCGAATCACCGACCGATACTGCTCTTTTTCCATTTTTCAAAAATCAACGGACACACTTGCTTTCACACGCTCTCAAAAATAAACTACAACTTCGATCCGGCTGAAATCTTGACAGTAACCATCGAGAAGGTTGTACTACGTGATAGAATATTTCTTTTGCGAGAGTGGCGCCATCGGGCGGTGAGGCTAAGTACTTATCGGACCACCCTCGTATATATAAGTAAATCAACACGTGATATAATTCGCATATTGATTTACAATTGATTTATCATTTTCTGAATCTTTCTATGAACAGAGGTTGATCATGATTGCGGCAGTAGATTTAAAATATTAAGCAAGACCTACTCACAAACTATATTTACATCTCCGAACAATTCCAATATTCATACGCCGCTGGACTTTTATGACTCTCGATGAGTAACGTTTCTCCATACTTTTTTGAAAAATTCGATTTAAACGTTAATAAAAAGTACGTGGTTTCCAGTATTTTCAAGTTGTGAGTAATAGTGAAAGTTATTGAGGGTTTTTTATGCGTAACTGTGAAAAATAATACAAAGAACTTACACACGGTGGTACGAAAACGTCGGAACTTGGTAAATTCTATACTTCGCCGACCTTGATAACAACACGGAAAAATATGTTGTACGTACATTATTACACCAATCTGCCAGAACCTCGAAACGGATTCAAAACTATCATTACCTTTGGTGGTAAGTTATGAGTTATAATAAAACTTGTGCCAATACCAATTGTGTAATTTCTATTCTAAAGATGCATCTAAAGGCATCAAACTAAATCCTCGAGGTGGAATAATAACTTCACTGAATTATCCTGACAAATAATATGACAAATCTCAGATGTGTAGTTGGTGGATCGTATCGCCGTTTGTTAATCGAGGCATCAGATTCCAATTTCATAATCTTGAACTGTCTGATAGAAAGAATTGAAGTGATATAGATCATGGTCACTGTTTATAAGAAAGTTCCTGGTTATGAGTTTGATCGTAACGGTAAGGAATTTTCTTTTTCATTATTTCTTGACTTTAGAGTTAGCTAATATTTCCTTTTCCAACTACTAAAATTGGAAAATATTGGGAAAAAACCAGGCGACATTGATATAGTATCAGACGAAGCGATAATAATATTTACGACCACGTTTGGCAAAAACACATTGATTGACTACCCGTGCTTTCGACTCAACTATACCTTCAGTGGGAACAGTATATGTGTGGCGTTCCCTCGGTTCGACCATCCCCATCGAGATGGCATCGGTCAGCCACGAGCGGCAAGACATACGCTCGTTGAATATATATGGGTAATTCTAGGCTATTTCGATTGACTTGTAACCCTTAGGTTACGGATTTTTTTTTAATTTGGCACAATTGTTGTACACATAAAACTGAGATTTTTCCCAAATTTTGGAGACGATACATTAATTATATCAAAAGTTATTAACAATTAAAGAAAAATGATAAAAAATTTTCAAACAGCTATATTTTAAAAACTAATAAAGATATCGAAGTCGGATTTTTTTCAAAATACTTATAATGCCTTAAAATTTCGAAATAATTACAACAATAAACAATAAAAATTTTTTTTCGAAAGTTATTAACTTTTTGTTTAAACAATTGCTAATATCTCAAAAAGTATATTTTTTTTTTGAAAAATTCTTGCTCCTACGTATTCGTGAGGATTTTTGCTATCGAAATCAATCATAAAATTCAAGGGTCCGACATATCGGAAAGCGTAGCCCTAATCAAAAGAAGACGCCTCAGCGTAAGACCACGAAAACGTCCTGCTGTCGTTGCGACGTACACTGAGGCATCTTCTTTTGATTAGGGCTACGCTTTCCGATATGTCGGGCCCTTGAATTTTATGATTGATTTCGATAGCAAAAATCCTCACGAATACGTAGGAGCAAGAATTTTTCAAAAAAAAAATATACTTTTTGAGATATTAGCAATTGTTTAAACAAAAAGTTAATAACTTTCGAAAAAAAATTTTTATTGTTTATTGTTGTAATTATTTCGAAAGTTCAAGGTATTATAAGTAATTTGGGAAAACTCCGATTCGGTATCTTTATTAGTTTTTTAGATTAAAGCTAAAGTACCTTTCGACCGTGAGTCCGCTGGAGCGCTACCGCAGCCTTACGCCGAGGCGTCTTCTTTTGATTAGGGCTACGCTTTCCGATATGTCGGGCCCTTGAATTTTATGATTGATTTCGATAGCAAAAATCCTCAGGAATACGTAGGAGCAAGAATTTTTCAAAAAAAAAATATACTTTTTGAGATATTAGCAATTGTTTAAACAAAAAGTTAATAACTTTCGAAAAAAAA